CTTCGTCTTTTGCAGGTTGCTTTTCCCCGTTCTTGGTCATCAACGGCTTGTTGTTCTGAAGCCCGGATGGGCGTTTAAAAAATCCTGGTAGCCGGTTTCAGTGGGCGCTCTGGCTGATTACACTGCGTAGTATTTAATCAGTAGCACTGCAGCGCGATGAGCGTTTGCCGATGCACAGTCGCTTTCCGCCCAGAGATCCTTGATCGCTGGTTTGGTGCCGGATGGGTCGCCTTGTTTGAAGCCTTGCAGCGGGTAGTACCGGGGTTGATGGGTTGGTTGGATTGAAGGATGGGTCTTCCGTGCAGCAAAACAGGCCTTCTAGAGTCCGAGGATAGAACAAGAAGAGAGAGGAATCGCACTAAGCTTGTCCCCGCCTCCAGGAGCGACACTGGCTTTGGTGAGTGGCTAAATAAATGGGCCGAGATGGGCCCTGGATCTCCAGTGTTCGGCGCACCCGTTTCCCGTGAAAGAGGGAACCACTATTTGCCCGCTTGCGGAGTTTGGGAATGGTGGCTCCGCCATACAAGGATATATGATGGCCACATACCACCCTCCTCCCTCCTGTTGTTGCTCCCGAACTGATAAAAATATGATATTCTACAAAATGCCATAGGCTAGTGGGATTAACATATAATATGGCGACAAACACTTGAGATATTGCTGTTGTATTTATTTCTTCTCCGCTCAGTGCAGACAGAGTACACTCAAAATACAGAATAGTGGAGGAAAAGTTGCAAGCCAATTCCGTACCCCTAAAATCAAGGCCACATGCAGCGTTAACAGTATGGCCATTCTTTCAAGTGACATGCTTCCAGAGTCATGTTCCACATATGCGGTGACTACGCGCGCTAAATCTAAATCAATAGATGCTCGTATAGATATATATGGTAGGACCGATCCATACAATATCCGCATTTTTGGGGAAATTTTTACCTCCCGGAGCGGTTAAATCCAGAATGGGCGAGCAGATAGTTTGTATTTTCCTGGCAAAATCAAGTAACAAGCCAAGAATCCTCCGGCAGGCCGTTGATTCTCCAAGGTGGAGCTTTGAAAAGATTTCCTTGACGTCTCTGGGGACCACATTCGAAAATCACCCTAGGGGCAGAAGATTTAAGCACGATTGGGAACGAATGATGGCTTCTCTGAGGCCAGCAACCTGTGTAGCATTATTTTGCATCGATTCGAGGTGGCTACGAAGCTGTTTAATCAAAGGGTATAGTTCCGAATCGGGATCGATCTGTTTCGATTTTGTAAATCAGTTGGACAAAGTCGAAGGGGACAAAAAGAATATTCGACGTAAGGGCATTTTGTCCCATACCTCGCACAGCATACTGGTGTTATCTTTCGGTCCAGTGAATGTAAAGTCTGTACTCCCATCGCTTCGCTCTCCCGAGCGTTCCAGACGCCGAATGACTGGATGAGCCTAACATGACAAGTCAGCGCCTTTTGTGAAAGGGAACCTTCACTAATAATGCAGGAAATAGCGTAATGTACATTTCTTGTCTGTCGCTTTCTTTCCACTTGTGCTGTTCTCGCATTCTTTTCCAGCTCCTCAAGCTGTGCTCTCTCTCTTGCAAGCTGAGCTTCTTCTCGTTTGATCTCTGCTCTTAATAAATCCGCGGAATTAGCGGCCGTGGCCAATTGAAGCTCCAAAGCGCGCTACACAGCATTCTCAGTTCTAGCTTATGTTCACATCAAATTGAGATTCGAGAATACTAACATTGTCATCCAATGCAGCTTCGTAGTCGAAATCGGCATCCTGAGTTCCCGGTGGGAATGGCATTCGAGGTAACCGTCTTCCTAAACTGTTGTTCGCGCCAAATGTGCTATTAGCAAGGTGCTATTATGGTGCGAAACCAATTTCCTCCCTGATAAAAAAAATCCGAAAATTTGCAAATTCAAGGGTTGATACAAAGGTGTACCCTGTACATACTTTTTTCTGACGGCGAGTACTGCGGATTGGGCTTCAATTCGCTTCCTTTCGTCACGATGTCTCACAACGACCGGCCGCTCAATCGATCGGAAAAGTTCTTTAATTTTCTCCTGGACAGAATCAGGTAAAGTAGTCCATTTTGATTTAATCGTGCGTTCCGAGATATGACGGGTCCTGGGTTTCAACATCGCGAAACTCTTGCTGTCGTGCTCTCCTTCATCTTGCCGCTCGTCGGCATCATCAGAGCGCTGTTTGCGCTTTGGAGGCATGATCGCTGCGGTCCGAAGTGGGCAGGCAATTCAGGATAAATATCGGATCAACCCACAAAACTAATCGCCCATATCGATAGATATTCTCCAGGTCTCCTTGTATAGATGAACTGGCTTTGTTTGGATTCCAAGTCACGCTCCCAAGCACAACACGCCAAGAATTTGGTTACCTTATCTTCACGTGATATGGAACCCAGCCGCAACCTCCACTCCACTATCATTTCAGAGTCCACCTTGCCCAACATGAACATCTTCGAGAGAGCGGGAAGAACGAGCGAATATCCACAAAATCGAGACTATCACGATTTGCCGGGCCTAAAGCCTTAGCATCAGACATGGACCTAGCTTAGGAGGGTCCGTGATCTAGATGTCCCGTTCACTCGTCGATTCGGATGCACATTACGACCATGAACTCATCCCACTACTGTCTCATCTTGTTTTTAGTATGGCAAATATTTTATAATAACGCGACCCATGTGAATCTGTACGAGGAACCGCATGGTTCAGCTCTTTTGGTCTTCTCACTAACAAGCGTGGCTTTCTCGTATGCCAGGAACCACGGTTTTTCGGCTGCGTGTTGCATGCGTGAATGATTAGAATCCTAGCAACCCTTCAGCAACACGCCTTGTTCTTGAGGTTTTATCCTTCAAATTAGGGATGCATATTGTGCCTTTATTCATCATAAGGGTTTGTGTCTATTGGAACGCAATCTCGAAGGAGCTGCAGGGTTCACAGGCGCACTCGACGTTAAGCCCCGCGAAGCTGAAGACTACCTGCAGTTTACGGGTCATAAAACAGAGCTCTCCATTTGAAATGACGAGTCAATCTAAATTTCCACCTAAAAATAAAGCCGGCTTGGCTTCGGGCAGATGGCAACCCAGGTCCAGCCATTTTAGCCCAACGTCCAAGGGGAAGCTCTCTTCTTTGCCTTTGGCATGTGATCCCCCAGACTTTTTGGTGGCTGATTTTGAGAAAGAGAGAGAGAGTCAAATACGAAAACGAAGAGGGATCACCCGCACTTACTAAAAGGCTCAGGATCTCTTCTGCTGAAACAGACTCTCGCTAGCGGGATTTTGCGGAATGGAAATGAGGAAAACTTGGAAGAAAATCACCCTTTGTGCTACGGCCGCCCCTTGAATAGCTTTGCAAAGCAAAGTTTGCGGATCTTTTCCAAGGATCACCATAACCCTTCATTTCTTTCCCCAGCACATTACCAAGGCCCTCGTTTAATTCGTCGCCGTACTCGGGACTGGGAAAGGAGAATTTCGGGTGTGGGTTCTCCCTGCTACGAATCTACGATGCCCATCACAGTCCGTCTCTCCACATAATTCTCCGCAAACCCCTGATCACAACGGCAACGTACCGGTTTTGCCAAGCTATATTGCATATCCAACCTACAAATAATTTTCCCGCAAACTCCCCAGTCTTTGCTTACTATGATTTATCAATTACTCCTTGAACTTGGATATGACTGCCCCTTATTTGTGGTTTTGCCATCTTCAGGGTATTCGCATCCAGTTTCTTTAAGATGCCTCCGAGGCGAACGTGATCATGACATGATCAGATCTCTTGCCCTAGCCAGGGTTGTTTGATATTTCATCCAGCCTTTGAACGTCACCATAGTGGAAGCCCGCCCGCCCACACCCTAATAAATTCGGCAAAAAAAACCCCAGTCAACGTCCAGACTCACAAGTAGCAGAGAGCAGGTTGAAGCTGAGCATATCCCAGCCGTACTCTCCCCCTTCCCCGCCTCTTCTTGCTTAGCTTCGGAGCAGCAATCTGATCATTCTCTCCCCTACCAAATTGCTCGCATATACGAGCTAAAACTCATCCGATGGTGCCTGCCAGATAATTTGATGATGGTATCAAAGAAACAAGAACGTACAGGCCAGCCCATGCTCACCCGGTACTAATAACTTAGATACAATAACGGTGCTTACATGCAATCACTCTAATAGGCTAACTCCCTCCAACTTTCCCATCTCAGACGCGAGCGCGGTGGAGGAAGCCGGATGGGGTCCTTCTCCGAAAAAAAACCAACTCCGGAATCAGAACGAGGGGTATCGAACCATCTCCACTGGCAAGTCAACTAGCTGGCTACCCCATACTCCTGCCCCCCTTACAGCTTCGCCACACATCCGCAGATCCTTGTCCAAAGTCGCCAGTCAGTTTTTATAGACTCAAAACCATGATCATTATTATTGTCATTCTCACTATGAGTATATTCTCACCCTAACTCAACTCCTTGCGTCACCCAGCCGGCTCTACCTTTTCATGACCTTATTCTCACTCTATTCTAGCCATTCAAGCAACTTCCAAATGGTGACATGTACGCAGCAGCGTCGTACATCCAAACACGCCAGCCAGCCATGTTATTAGGTATACCCCGTAGCTACGCACGGAGCACCCCCAGAGGTAATCTATATTCCAGTGCACTGATGTGTATGTGTTGACGTGAGATTCTAGTTGGCCAGAGCGCCTCTCACCCTGTGTGTAAGGACGTGGCTGGCAGAGCTAAATCAAACCTTTTTTTTTTAAAAAAAAAAAAAAAAAAATACAAGTGCCAGGTGTGTGGAGAAACGAGTTAGGGAAGCAAGCGGGAGCTCCAGGTTACATGGGACAAAAATAAAGTAAAAAAAACGGAAAAGGGAAAGGGAAAAGCCAGAAATGAAGTAAAATATCTACTCTCCAAGGCCAAAACAAAAAGCCTTGAGACGGAATCTAAAGTACATGAACCATTCAATGGTCCGTATACATGACGAAAGGAACAGATCAGGGCAGCGCTAGCAACCAAATCAAGAAGTTAAAATAGACCCTCTCGGATCAATCGTCGCTTGTTTCCCTTGCCTCCCTCCCGCCTGTGCTCCCCCCCCCCTCGGGACCTGAAACCACCACTCCCCGTCCGTCCTGCCAGAGTTAGAAAATGAGGAATGAGGAATGCATGAGACAAAAAAAGCGAAAATCAAGATATAAGTGTAATTGAGCTGTATGTAGTTACCAAAAGAAAAAGAAAGGAGTAAATCGGAACGAAGCAGACTGGAACGGGCTGGTAGGTAACGCTTTTATTTATCCTTGTTATTGTTGTTGTAGCTTCGTAAAGGAAAGAGATAGAGATAGAGCTAGAGAAGAGAGTTGTTTGACACTGTTTTATGAATCGTTGTTTTATGTTTTTATGTTTTTATTAATTATATACATGAAAACGAAAGATGCGCGAGGCTTCGTCCGTGGGCTTTCTCTCTTTATTTCTTTTTCTCTTTTTCTTCCGCCTTCATTTGGGATAGAACCAACTGTGTTTGTTTGTGGTGGTTGTGATGATTCATCCCTCCCACCCATCTCTTCATTCAATAATTGCAGCAGCGTAATAGGCGCGAAATGTGGTATATAAATTAGATGCAGAAAAGAAAGCATGATAGCTCTGAAAAAGTAAAATATCAAAAAACAGAGGTATGGTATGATCAGGATATATATATGCATATATATATAGAAAATGAAGACAGAGTGAAAATTTATATATATGAGAATTATAAAAATGTTCGGGGAGGAATGACAAAAAAGGAAAACCAGGGGGAATAAAAAATAAATGAAAAAGAAAAACGTAGATTTTTATCCCGTGGTCATATCCGTCGCCATAGTAGTAGTACTTGTATTCGTACCAGTCACATGCTTCTTCTTCAACTCATCCAGCTGATTCTGCAACCTCTCATTACCACGCAATAGATCCTCTAACCACTCCGCAGCCTGCACGAGCATGGTGCTCTTGCTGAAGCCGCCACCGTGTAGTTCCGGTACGAGAGCGCATAGGTCATCGAAGCCTTGCTTGATGAGGTTTCGCCGCTTCTGCTCGGAAAGGATGTGGTTGGTTCGTTTCTGCTCTTCCGTGAGGTTTTCGCGTGGTTTGCCGCCTTGTCCTGTCTTGGGTTTTCGAGTTGTTGTTGTCGTTGTTGAATCTGTGCCGGTGGAAGAGAAGCGTCTGGATCTTGATGAGGATTGGCGGCCGTTTGGCTCTTTGTTGTTTGTGCTGTTATTCGTGCTGTTGATTTTATTGTTATTATTTGGTGGGTCGATATCCATGTCATCGTCCTTCATTCTGTTCCTGCTCTTTCGGCGCTTCTTGGGTCTTGAGCCGTCTTCAGCTTGCGTTGGATCGTTTTGCGTGGGTATCGACGCTGACGAAGATTTAACGCCGTTATTTGTGCTTGGGCTTGGTGCGGATGTGCCTAGGGAAGCCCATTCTGGCATCGCAGGATCAAATGATCTTCGAACAGGACTTGAAGCGCGTGTGTTGGTTGCGCTACTTTGAGACTCCAGGCAATCCAGGTTTTGTAGTAGATCTTTGGTACGATCTTCTTCGTTAGGTTCGTCTACGGGAGCACGGTAACGTCGATCTGAAAATCTGGAATCTGAGCCCCATCGGAGCGTGCTGATTCGCTGTTGTTGTTCAGGCCCGAGATGGTGCTCGACGTCGAAATACATTTTGGTGGTATGGAATCCTTTACCAAGCACAGCAATGTCCTTAGGTAAAGACCCAGGTGGCAGTGCCTCAACGAAACGTGGAGGTAGGAAGGAGGATTTTGTCCTCGAGCTATTGTTACTATGAGAATTGTTATAGCCGTGAACGCCATTAAGATAATTGTTGTTTTCCGTAGTGAACATGTGGTCAGGGGCGTAATCATGCGAAATAAGGTTGTTTTTATGATAAAGCATGGAAGCGGCAGCTAAGACGTCCGAACTATGCGACGATGGTGTCTTTCCCACAGTAATTCCCTCTTGATGTATCCCGTTCGCGAAGGATGGAACTGGTCCCAGAGACGTTGTTGAACCTTCAAAGGTAGGAGGGAGCTCATCGGGCCATTCAAACCCAAAGTTTCCGCCCGGCTTATCTTGACCGAAGGAGAACCAGAAATCGTTATTGTCCAAATGATCCATTGACATGAAGAAATTGTTAAGCATACTAGATTCCGTATCATCTAGGAGAGAGGGTCCAGGTGGCGGCGCGGGTGGCCCGTCATACGGCGAATCGACATTGAATGCAGGATCTGTTGATGTTATTATGATTGTTCTTTTCTTTTCCTTTTTTACTTATATTGGATTGGAGGAAATGGACAAGGATAAAAGGACATATTTTATATTTTATATTTGCACGTACATCCAAAAGGGCCTGGAGGCGGGGAAGCTCGCCTCAGGTGGTGATCATGTTGATGGTGGATAGGTTCTGGCGCACTCGTTTCCATCTTGGACAACGGATCGAGCCAGCGATTTGTATATAAAAACGCTCCTCTCGAACCTGGGCAATCGAAAAAGCAAAGTTGATTTATATGTGTGAAGCGCGCGTCAAACTCATGAACGGAACGGGTGTAACATGCGTTGTTGGCCGGGCCGTGAAAATATGGGTGTGGTATAGGATCCGGGGATTTGGCGGGGAGGGGAGAGTTTTATAGGAAGGGAAACGGCGCTGTTCTAAAGGGAGGGGGAGAGAGGGGGGAGATATAGAGAGATATAACGCGAGAGACAGACAGACAGACAGACAGACAGATAGAGAGATAGACAAGTTCCGTCGGAGAGTCCCGAAGCTTAGATAGAATGAGGAGGAGCAAGAAGTGAGATGATGGAGTTACTTTTGCGGTGGAAATTCTGGAAAACCTGGAGAAGGTCGGGATTTATAAACGGAGGGAGAAGTGGCGCAAGTCTGGGGAAAGAAAAAGGCCAGCAGGATTGTTTGTCTGTTAGTAGTCTGATAGCAAAGCGGGAAGTAGGATAAGGATGTCTTAGCCTAGGCGGGGCCACCGCAACCAGTGACCAGCATCAAAACTTGGAGTCGAGATGGTTTGTTGTTCCGGTTAATCCTGTTAATTGTGCGATTCTTGCTATTATGATTATTATGTATTGATATATTTTATTTTTTTGTTTTTGCCCCCAAATGGTTTCGGCGCAGACAACACTGTCACATGCTCCGAACCCGAAGCCGAACACACAACTGCGACGACTGACTTTGGATGACTAAGCTTCCCCCGAGCTTGTCCGTGAATAATACCGTACCGGGCCCAGTACATTATTACGCCCAAACCCCACAGCTTTTTACAAGGCTGCCACACCTGCCAACCCCTCGCGTGACAGATCGCTGTAATTCTTCGGCAGTAATTCCCGCAATTGTACGGAGTAGCAACTGCTGTACGAAGTACATTACACGCTATTCCTAAATAAGACTAAGCTGCCAGGGTAGGGTCCGAGCGTCCCTTGGCGTTCATACGTGCCCTTAGTCAGCTGCGTCTAGTCCGGATCGGGAAACCAAGCTTCTCACCCGCGACATCATCCTGGATAAATTCCCCGACAGCTCTCCGCAGGAAGAAACACGCCGCGGTCGATGCAGCGTCAAACAGATAAAAGCGATCGCCGGGCCATCTGATACCATACCTGTCGAGAGGAGCAATTCCGGTTTGCTGCTACCTGTCCAGCACAAAATTAGGGAGATTGCGGCGTCAACGGCTCCGTTTCATCCACACCTTATTATTTGACTAAATCCACTTCGCGTAATTCCTCCGTATTTAGTGCTCTTTTACAGCTCCCAATTGCCCCGTTGACTCCATCCACACGGTCCACCACTCCGGGAAAAAATCCATTTGACTCAAATATCGTTATAGGCTGCCGTACCGGGACTTTTCACCCGCTAATAAGTTAGTAAGATCTCGCTGCGCTGCAGGGACCGAGGTCGAATTCACACACGGTGCTCTGCAAATCGGATTCAGGCCCAGGTAAAACGCGCACCTTGTCCGCACCGCATCAGCTTGAAGAGTTAATAATAAATAAAACGATGCAGGCTGTCTGAAACAGAGCCTCTCCATCGCACATTAGCGCAGTTCTCATTTCTTCAAACAACCCTATCCCTATCAATGACGTTTTCGCGCTCCAGTAATCGCTATTATCCCTATTGTTATTCCTCTCTCCTGTTTTCGCGCGCAAACAAAGTTTCGCCTGCTCGCTGATCCCGACCCTACCGGCAGCTGGAGAAGGGGGAGAGACACTAACTACTATCTTCGCTTATATCAACTGGCGTGGCCGCGTGGGCTAGTACCCAGCGGGACCCCTCACCATAAACACATCACTATCGCGACTCCCCTCCTCTCTTTCCGACGGAAGTTGGGGATCGTCAGGAGCTAAATATCTTCGTTTTGCATGCATAGTTTCCTTAGCATTTTCTCTTCTCTGAAAATCTCCGATCCTTCCCCGCATCTTTATAAAAAGGGGTGATATATTTCCTTGCGTCAGTGGTGAACATGGAGGCAAAGTTTCTCCATGTTCAACCCCTGAAACTTAATGCGAAGATACTCAAGCCGTATGTAGAGTTCTCACCACCTTCTGTGATCACTCCTGGTTTTGTCGTAGCTGGGGAATATTTTACTGTGCGCGAATCGCCGCATGCGGTATGCCCGTTCTTGATAACTGACAGTCTGAATTTGGATTTGAACACAGAATACTTCGCGCGCACGTTCTAGGTTATCTTACGGTCACAGGACCTAAACTGATCACTTTTCTCAAAGTACTTCGCAGAAAAGATTTGAGTAGCGAAGATAAATTCAACCGCGTGCGTCTAGATTCCTTAAAATCCCTTGCATAGATTTATTGAATCTACGTGTCTACTAAGACGAGCTACAATTGGGCCCTATGAAAAGAAAAGAAAAGAAAAGAATTAAAAGAAAGTACTGACGTTTAGCGACACCCTTGGACAGCTCTTTAAAGTTTTAAGTGGATCGTTTCACTGGAACAGATTCCCTGCGTTTTGCGCATTGCTTGTCGGAGGCTCAACTCTACTTCCAGCCATCCTTGGGCCGCTCTTCAAGGGAGCTTGGGGTAAAGGAAAAGTCAAAGTTCGACCAGCCTTAGCACAGAGCTCATTGCGCACGATTCGTTTTCTTGCTGCCCTTTTATCTGCGTGGCTTTGCTTCCCCATTCTTAACTCTAGAAATGAAACCCCTCGAACTGAGGCCACCTCGACTTCGGAGGAAGAGGCTGCAATTAATGACATAGCTCCGAAGGCAAAACGGAGCAAACGACAGAAAGTCCCAGGCCCTCCTGGTCTAGCCGGGAAAACACTCGACTTAAGTCTTTTCGCGCTCATCAGAGCAACAGACGCTGTTGCATGCATGGCATGGGATCGTTGGCGAAATCACCGAGAGGCACGAAGTAAATGGACATATGCGGAGTCCATCACCCCTCAGTTAACAGACGCTGGTGTCTTTGCTATAAGCTCAGCCATAGTTATGTGGGCGTGGTTCTATCTACCAGAGAGATTACCTGCCTCCTACCGTAGGTGGATCGGAGAAGCCGCGCAAGTCGACAACCGTCTGATCGAAGCACTTCGCTCAGCCAGAAGGGGCGAATGGGAATATGGAAAACCATCAGAGAATGAACCACCACTACAATCTATGTGCGCTGACTATAATCTACCTCGAGAATGGGGAGATCCAGAGAAAACAATCCCTTTCCCCTGCGAGCTTGTCCACATGGGCTGCGGCCCCAGTTGCGAGAAACATGCCATATGGAGATTTGCCAAAGCTTTCCGCTTCGCCTGCGCCACATACCTACCCATCCAGCTTGCCCTGCGCTGGCGATCACGGTCCGTAACTGTATTCATCAACGCAGTTAAAAACGGCATTCGCTCCTCTGCTTTCCTAAGTTTCTTTATCAGTATTTTCTACTATTCCGTTTGCCTGGCGCGAACGAGATTGGGACCACGGTTATTTAGCCGCAAACACGTTACACCTATGATGTGGGACTCCGGGCTTTGTGTTGCTGCTGGATGTATGATGTGTGGTTGGAGCATTTTGGTTGAGAATGCGAAGAAGCGTCTGGAGGTTGCCCTTTTCGTGGCGCCGAGGGCGGCGGCGACGTTGTTGCCGCGAAGATATGATGAGAAGGTATGATTTAAATTAACTCTCCTTCTTTCGACGTGCATTTTTATGCTAATTGCTTTCCTCTCCCCGTCTAAAAAAAATAGTATCAATGGAGGGAGCAAGCCGCATTCTCCGTCAGCACCGCAATCGTCTTAACTTGCATCCAGGAACGACCAGAAATGATCAGAGGTGTCTTGGGAAGGGTTTTGGGTCAGGTTTTCAAACATTAGCGCTCTCTCTGAGGGCCCTGGAGGTTTACTCGCGAGCTCTCTTCTATGTATATAATTTACACCACTATTATAATATATAATAATCTATCAGCAAGAATAATGGGGTGTTGCCTTTGTTTTTGTACCCCACAAGATCCGCTCTCCTCCTGTGTCTTTCTGCTTGTGTGGGTGGGAATGTGCTATTTTACCCTAAAGCATAGTCGTAATTCATGAATTGACCTGAAGAGAGAAGAAATGACAAGTGACACTGTTTTTTGAAATTGTCTTTGGCTTTTAATGATCGAAAAGTGCTACTCCACTATGTATGGTGATTTTGCCTATACTTTGTAATGGTGCGCACTTGTTTTTCTCTTTGGAATCGCCTTTCGAAGAGAAAATCCATCTGGTGTATCTTCAATTAATTCTAAACCGGGAAAATATATGTAAAAATTCGAAAGCCATTTCCGCGTTAGAAGCTCAAGCTGCAGGTACCGCCAGTCCGCTCCGCTCCGCTAGCTCCGCTAACCGACCCATCACGTGATGAGCAAGATACCTTGGAGGTTCATCTCTCGGCGATTCTACCGCAACTTTGAAAACCACTCTCATGGATTAAATAAAACAAACCAATTCTTACAAATTGTCGAGAGATTGAGTTGTTACTATGGTGCCGCGGATAGTTCCATTATGGAGTCGAAGACTTCTAGGGCCGCAGCCATTCTCGATTTCGTCTTTTATCGGTAGACAACAGCGTCATGCATTTTCCACGCCCGCTGCACGACAGCAGCAAGTACGCACACCCACAATACAGAATAAGCTGTCTTATGGAAGTAATCAATCTGCCCTGTGAGTGATAGTTCTTTTCCCCGCCGGCTTCTTTGTCACAGTTTGATTTATATCATATGCCAATGCTGATTTTTTATTCTAGGTACTATGCTATCAGCTTAATTATTGGAACTGTTGCTCTTTCATATGGATCGGTTCCCATGTACAAAATGGTACTTAGCTTTTATTGTTTTTGAAATCTTCCGTACGACGTGTACAAAACGTGGCTAACGGGGAGTCGAACGATAAAATAGATATGCCAACAGACCGGCTGGAACGGCCAACCCGTCCAAACCCACCGCACCGAAGAAAACCCCGCCTCCCGCCTCAAACCCGTAACCTCATCCCGCCGATTACGAATTACCTTCAACGGATCCGTATCCGACGTTTTGCCTTGGAAATTCACACCCCAGCAGCGGGAAGTTAGAGTCCTCCCCGGCGAAACGGCACTGGCGTTTTACACGGCAACAAACGAGGGACCTGACGATATCATTGGCGTTGCTACTTACAGCGTTACTCCGGCGAAGGTGTCACCGTACTTCAGCAAGATCCAGTGCTTCTGCTTCGAGGAACAGAGATTGAGTGCGGGTGAATCGGTGGATATGCCCGTGTTTTTCTTCATCGATCCTGATTTTCACACGGATCCGGCTATGAGGAATATTGATACTATTACGCTGTCATATACGTTTTTCAGTAAGTTGGCAGTTTTTGGAGTTGGATGTCCCGGATGGGTTTCAGAATCAGTTGCTGATATGACGTTTTTACTACAGAGGCTCGATATGATTCTGATGGGGTTCTGAAGCCGATCCCAGGAATGGCTGTTCCCGCCTAGTATTCGCACTCTAATTATGCAAGCGAACGGTCCACTCTTATAGGATTTCTATGGAGCATGGGATTTTCTTTTTTCTTTTTTTTTTTTTTTTTTTTTTTTTTGGAAATTGCAATGCTCTTCCGGTTGGGGAGTCGTAGACCAGATGACTCCGCAGACCCCCCCCCGCCCATCCTCCACCGTCCACCCATTCGCATCGCCAGTGGACCATTCAAGGTCCATCCTAGGTCTAAAACTCCTATATATACCTGGGCAACTCGGATAATTTCACGAAGAAATCATTTGGGATATTGGCGGAATATCTGTATCTATAATCTCCCCTATACCGCTATGTATATTTTGGGCAAGGATTACTTCAACGATAAACGGCGTTCTTTTGGGGGAATTAGATATTTATGACTAAAATAAATAGCATCACTCTTATCACTGTATAGAATTATATTTATAATATTTAAACCCGATATACAAATTGCGAGGTTCTCTTATCCCATAGCTCTGTTGTCCCGCTCGCGTTTCTCTCCCCCACCAACCCTCGGTAGTCAGCAAAAGCACAGACCACTAATTAAGGGTCGCGTGCAGCACGCGTCCGATGATGAGAAAGTTCTCTTATATCAAGCATCCACAATTCAACAACTGCATTTCGATTCCCAGTACTTGATTTACCGCTGACAATGGCACTTCTCGTCGATAGACTCAGGCCTAGAAACCTTGATGCCCTCACCTACCATCATGATCTTTCTGCCCGATTAAAATCACTCGTAAGCATCCAAAACAAGTCGTACATACCCCAGTCGATCCCTACTAACGACAGAGCTCGTTGGCAGGCGCAAAGCGGTGATTTCCCCCATCTTTTAGTTTATGGGCCGTCGGGAGCTGGTAAAAAGACAAGAATAATTGCTACGCTCAAAGAACTTTTCGGTCCTGGCGTCGAAAAGATTAAGATCGACGCGCGAGTCTTTCAAACGAGCAGCAATCGCAAGCTGGAATTCAACATTGTCTCCTCCATCTACCACCTTGAAATTACCCCATCCGATGTCGGGAACTACGACCGGGTTGTGGTCCAGGAGCTTCTAAAGGAAGTTGCGCAGACACAACAGGTCGACTTGTCCGCGAGGCAGCGATTTAAGGTCGTTGTGATTAACGAGGCAGATCATCTCACGAGAGATGCGCAGGCGGCCCTACGAAGAACGATGGAAAAATACAGTCCTAATCTGAGACTTATTCTACTTGCCAATAGCACAGCGAATATTATCGCGCCCATTCGGTCCAGAACTCTCCTTGTTAGGGTCGCCGCGCCCACTGAGGCTGAGATATGCCAAGCGCTGCAAGTTGCAGAGAAAAAAGAAGGCTGGGCAGAGGCACCAGGCCTTAACAAACGAATAGCCAAAGAGAGTGGGCGGAATCTAAGACGTGCTCTTCTCATGTTAGAAGCTATATATGCACAGAAGTAAGCTTCAATTAACTGAGACTTTCCACCAGAAACGTCCAACTGACAAAAGCCCATTATCAATAGCGAGAAAGTGACGGATGACACTCCTATCCCGCCACCAGACTGGGAGGCATTGATTTCTTTGATAGCAGATGAAATCATGGCAGAGCGCTCACCCGCCAGAATTCTTCAGGTTCGAGCGAAATTATACGACCTTTTAACGCATTGTATCCCTCCAACAACTATCCTCAGGGTGAATAAGCTTCCTCGACCCAATCTATCTATCAAGTTTGGAATTTACTATTCTAACATTTTCTTTTTACGTTGTTTCCCCCAGACGTTGACTTTCAAATTAATACCTAAAATCGACGACGCATTGAAACCCGAAGTTATCAAATGGGCAGCTTTCTACGAACATAGGATAAAGCTTGGAAGCGTACGTTCATGAAGAAATGAGATCACCACTACAGGATAACATGCTAATAGATATTACTTCACAGAAGGTTATATTTCATCTGGAAGCGTTTGTTGCTAAATTTATGCGAGTACTCGAGAGGTAAGCTTCATTGCAGAACAGCTATTTTCCCCAACTAACAATGTGGTAGCTACTTAATGGGCCTCGAATTCTAAGCACTCGTATCTCTTCCATGTCGTTAACGCATGGCGTACCTGGCGTTTTGGGGCTGTGGCTTTGGTTTGCTCTGAGAAACCGTGCAATTGGGATCAGGGTCATTGCTGTGATTTTTTAGTCTTACGCTGTGGTTTGATCGTGCGCTGCGCAGGGTGGAGCAACGCCTATCGAAAGCAAAAAGATAGCAATGTGCCATTGCCAATCTTTAGAATCCGGTTATACAAAATCTGTTTATATATTCCTCTGTTTATTGGGAATCCCAAATGTGCCCATTGTCTATTCCAGGATGCCCCCTTCAAATATCCAGACATGAGCCACGTTATTTTGCGGCAAGTAAGAATGCACACCAATTTTTTTATTGGGAAAGCTCTTCTATTCGACACATGGATATTTTAACGCCGTAATGTACATGTACACGGAGAAAAACGGAAAGAATTTATTGCGATTGCGCAGGTGCGGAAACCTCCGGCGGTGGTGGTTGTGCTGCCTTCGAATTCAACGGAACTTCTCTCCGCGCCCTCTTCAATGATTCCAGCGTAACGCCATTCTGCAGTTTTGTAAGGCCCACCATAGGAGGATCGCCCTTCTTCACGAATTCATAAAGCCCTATGAGGAAAGTCTGTGTTAGCTATCCGCCATGCGTCTCTGTCTCTACTCAAACTTCCAGCCGGAAAACAAAACGCAGCCTAAGAAACATACCAGGCATCTTGGCGGCTGCCAATCTAAACGCCTCTCTCGCTACTTTCTCGTGGATATCCCCCTTCAATTCGAAAATGATTCGATTAACCGCGACTCTTGCAGCCCAGTAATCGAATTTACCCTTTCCCTTCCCCATACGCTGCTCGTTACCTTTCGTATATACACCGATGTTGGCAGCTACTCGCGGGTAGAACTTGTATTTCATGCCTCTGAGCCGTTTCTGGATCGTTTCATAGCCGGTCTTCAGTTGATCTGCCGACACTCGACGGTCATGGTCTTTCATACGAAGGCCATAGTCGCCCCAGATGACTGTTGTTCCACGGGAGGAACCACCAGTTGGCATCCGAGGCCGGCCTTTTTGCGATTTCCTTTTCTCGCGGTGCTTTGGGATCAGCCAGTTGAAGGAGGGGGAGGTCGTAGAGAAACATCGTATAGAGTTGGGCAATAATGTGGAGGAGGTGGCTGTTATCAAAATGCATGAGTTTCATATTCCTTAGAACGGGAAATTTGGAAGGGATACTCACGGGACGGGCGTAGAGAGATTAACTGAAGCCCCTGGAAGATATTTAATCGGGGAGCCATGTTTCCGGCGTGGAATCGAATCGTTATCCCTCCCAATGGCGCGGAAGCATCATTTCTCGCTCCGACCTGCGAAATAATTCTCCTCAGGTGTGCACGGACCAGCGACGAGAGCCGCATTAACTTACATAAGCAACTTCCCATCAAGGTAGCCGCTTCACGTGTTTTGGCGCGTCACTCATGCGGCAACGACGTGTCGTAAGGTCAAGGAAATTATTTCAACAATCTTCATCGTCTGTGTTTTGTGGCATACTGAGCCTGCCCTCCTTCCTTAGGGCCATTTGGACCTTTTCTAGTCTGGTGGATATAATTGGATTTTTTTTGATATACATTGAATGACAATGCCTGCGGACATAAGGAGCTTTTTTGGCGGCAGCGGGAGGCAGCCGACCAGTTCTAGCAAAACAAAAACACCTGCCAAAAAGCCAGAGGTATGTGGGTTTCTTTGATGGTTGGTTGGCTGTGAATTGTATAGGGAAATATATTCCGCCTAAATTGGTGTTTCCGAGTCCTGCTTTCGTGCTAACCGTAATGCTCATCCTTCAGGATGCATCATCCTCGAGAAAACGACGTGAGAAAGGTCCTTTCGATGGATCAAAATGTCGATATCTTGCTAACCTTTTTGACGACCTATAGGTAGTAGAAAGGTAGTAGAAGATAGTGATGAGGATGAAGATCTTGAACAGGCTCCTCCACCAAAACCCCAGCCAAAGAAAAAACAGTACGCTGCCTAGATTCTACGCCATGCTTCCCCTAATACTGAAATATCCTTAATTAGCAAGCCCGAAGAACCCAAAGGTGAACCCACGACGACATCTGCTTATTTCGCATCGTCCAAAAAGAACAAAACCCAACATAAAGAGAATGAATCTGGTGAAACAAAACAGGCCAGGGCAGATGCTACTCCGGAAGTCAAGACAAATTCTAAACCCAAATCGGAAAGGAATGAACATATAGATATTCCCGTTCGCAGCTCACCCTCAACGCGGAAGACGCAACCAAAGCATAAATCCGCTAAAACTGCTCAAATCATCGACGATGAAGACGACCTTGGTGCAGATGATATTTTCGCAACCGGTTATCGAAACCCAAGGAAGGGTGGAGACGACGACTATGTGGAGGGGGACGACAGCGATTTTGAGGACATAGAAGTGGAACCACCAAAGGCTGCATCGTCCAAGTCAAAGCCAGCCAGAACTACCCCACGTACCAGACGTGAGAATAGAATAAAGGCTACGGAATCACCGTCTCGAAATGTACGAAAACGTAAGTCGGAGGCATTAGGTGTGGATGAAGAGAGCGATGACTACATCGATACGAAAAGAAAACCATCCCGTGCCCAGGCCCAAAAAAGCCTTTCCAAATCTGCAGTGAAGAAAACAAAAGCAACGAAAACGGACCGGCCAGAAAACAAGGGCATCCAGGATATCTTTGACAGCATTCCGATGGTGCGCCCGCCATCTCCTCCGGCCGCAGATGGCACTAAGAAATTCAATTTCGCCCAACGTTCTAGAGACCCTGTTACATCTGACACAAAAGAATTGCCCGTTGGCGCAGAAAATTGTCTGGCAGGCCTGTCGTTTGTCTTCACCGGTGTACTTGATACGTTAGGCCGAGAAGAAGGCCAATCGTTAGTGAAACGATATGGTGGAAAAGTTACTTCAGGACCAAGCTCTAAAACCAGCTATGTCGTACTGGGCAATGATGCAGGGCCTAAAAAGCTAGAAACTATCCGGAAGTTCGGGCTCAAAACCATAAATGAAGATGGGCTATTCGAATTGATCAGAAGGCTTCCCGCAAATGGAGGAGATGGCAAGGCTGCTGAACAACACGCAGCGAAGAAGAAGCTGGAAGAGCAAAGAATCAAGGACATGGCGGCAGAGATAGACCGTGAAGAAAAGAAGAGGGCTGCGGCTTCTATGGCATCCACAAGCAAGACCACGAACGGGGCAAGTAAGCCAGCGCCTGCCGCAGTTGACAGTCGACTTTGGACCTCGAGGTACGCACCTACATCACTTAGCATGATATGCGGTAATAAAGGTGCCGTGGAAAAACTTCAATCTTGGCTTCGGAACTGGAGAAACAGTGCAATGGCGGATTTTAAAAAGGGAGGGAAAGATGGCACAGGTTTGTATCGTGCCGTCATGATACACGGCCCACCCGGTATCGGGAAAACAACAGCTGCACATCTTGTAGCAAAGCTTGAGAACTATGATGTTGTTGAAAGCAATGCAAGTGATACTAGAAGCAAAAGCCTTGTTGAAACAGGCCTTCAGGGGGTGCTGGATACTACTTCTCTCCAAGGTTACTTCTCTGGGGAAGGGAAGAGGGTGGAGAGCGGCAAAAAGAATTTGGTTCTTATCATGGATGAAGTAGATGGGATGTCGGCTGGAGACCGTGGTGGTGTTGGAGCCCTCGCTGCAGTGGCCAAGAAGACTCGAATCCCGATGATACTAATTTGCAACGAACGAAGACTTCCCAAAATGAGACCTTTCGACTCCGTCACATTCGACCTACAATTCAGGCGCCCTACTGTGGAACAGATCCGTGCGCGGCTATCTACTATCTGTTATCGCGAGGGATTAAAAATAACACCGCAGGTCCTCGACAATCTAATCCAGGGCACCCACGCCGATATCAGACAAGTAATAAATATGTTGTCTACTGCGAAGCTTGACCAACAAGCCCTTGATTACGACCAAGGCAAGCAAATGTCTAAGGCCTGGGAAAAACACGTTATCCTAAAACCATGGGACATTGTTAGCAAGATCCTGAGTGCTCAAATGTTCTCTCAAAGTTCACAAACGTCTCTGAATGAAAAGGTCGAACTTTACTTTAACGATCACGAATTCAGTTACCTAATGTTGCAGGAGAATTATCTCAATACGAAGCCATCAGCAGCGAACTCATACCAAGGCAGAGAGCAGAAGTTCAAGTTGTTGGAGTTGGCCGACAATGCTGCTCAGAGTATAAGTGATGGTGACCTAGTGGATCGAATGATTCATGGAACTCAGCAGCAATGGAGTTTGATGCCCACCCATGCCGTATTCAGCTTTGTCCGACCTGCTAGCTTCGTTGCTGGAAACATGACACGGCAGCCGGCATTCACAAGCTGGCTCGGTAACAATAGCAAGCAAGGTAACTATCTAGACCCGACCGCTGCATTCGTATATTATTCCTTCAAAAGCTGAATTTTTATTTTTTTCTCTCTAGGCAAGATGGCACGTCAGATCAAAGAAATACAGGGACACATGCGACTACGATCTTCTGGGGATCGGCATGAAATCCGCCAGCAATACCTTCCTGCTCTGTGGAACAAATTGGTACGACCGTTACAAGTCCATGGCAAAGACGCGGTTGAAGAAGTCATAGATTTGATGGACAGTTACTTCCTCACACGCGAGGACTGGGATTCCATCGTCGAACTTGGCCTCGCCTCAATGGATGAAAAGAAATTAAACATCGACTCACAAACGAAAGCCACTTTCACACGCCTATATAATCAACAATCGCATCCTCTCCCATTTATGAAAGCCACAAGCGTTGTCGCGCCGAAGCACCTTGCCAAGGTGAAGCCTGACCTTGAAGATGCCATTGATGAGTCGGACGAAGGCGAGGAGATTTTGGGCGAAGAAGAAACTAAAGGCGATGAGAGCGACCTCGACCTGAAAAAGGATAAATATGTGAAACTGCCGAAGAAAACCCCAGCGAGGAAAGGAAAGGCTGCTACAAAGCCACAGGCGAAGAAGACCAAGAAGAACGTTGTTGACGACGATGATGAGGATGACGAAGAGGATGTTAAGCCGAAGAAGGGCGCACGGAAAGCTCGAAAGCCCAGAGGGAAAGCGTAGGTCATGGGCTGGACTGACGCTTCTCTTTTTTGGTGCAAAACGTACAGGGGTCTGGGTAAACCCTTTTGTATAGTTCGCTTACATTAGTTGAGTTTTGATAATTATAAAGTCATCCGCACACTATTTTGCAAGTATTTTCGACTGAGGATACCTTATGTGTCTGTGTCCATGCGTCATTCTGTTATATTAGTCTTCTGGACTTAGTAATCGCTACGGATTCAGATATTTCAATCAGCGTCTATTGATCAATTGAAACTTCAAAACCTCCTTTCCGAACCATGTATTATTACTGCTGAAACAAGGATATAAAAACTAAAATACAGGCTCCATATAGGATTTGAATGCCTATATTCGAGTATCAAACTCCTATCTTTAGTGAGATAATACTAGTTAAATAACCCAAACAACGAAAATAAGCCAACAGTTTAGTCATATCTACGTACCAAAAGTATGGTGAATATAAAGGTATCAAACAAAATAGACATAGAGAACCCCAAACATAAAATCGTGCGCCACCCATCATGTCAAAAACGTAAAAAATAGCTAGATCCGCTCCAATCCGTCTGCCTATCCGTCGATGAATCTTATGACACCGCCTTCCATGGAACATGCACACCCAACGCATCAGCAACCCGCGTCGCGGATACCACACAACCTTCCAACAAAACCATCCCATCCCAACACCAACCCCCCACCAACCAAACATTCCCATCTCCATTCCGCCACTGATGACCCTTCTCCGACACCCGGGAAGCACCAGAATCGCCCCCAAATATGCGATTTACAACCTCCCTGCTCTGCGGTGTACGAAGCACTCTAGTGAAGCGCGTTCGGTGGATAATCTTGGACGGATTGATGGGCGTTACGGGGGCGGTGGTGACGAGGAGGGACGCAGCGCATTCGTGGACTGCCTCCGTGAGTCCGGCTGGCGAGGAACGGACATGAATGACTTGTGTCTCCGGTGATGAGGGCACATGGCCGGTGGCGTTTCTCTCCTTATTGCCAAAGAGGCAAGTCTGTGACAGTGTGCGGAGCGAGGAGGTGTCATTGTGTACGATACTCTCGACGGGGGTCGTTGGCACTTGTGTCATCGTCGATCTGAGCGGTTGAAATATAGCGCCAACAACATCCGGCGTGACGGCCATGATGGCATGGTCAAAATCCTGCTGATGGAGAGTACCCTCCCTTCCAATCCGGTAGGAAACGCGCACTTTTGAAGAAGAGCCAGATAGCGACTCCACTGAGATTACTCGCGAGTTTAGCTGGATGCTCAATCCCTCGGCTAGCTTCTTTTGGACGACGTTCACACCCCCGTGCACGACGTAGTAGGGCACGTTAAACGTCTGCGTCGAATAATCTATCAGGTCTTTGGCCGGGAATTTAAGAAGAGCTTCGTGAGAGCAAGTTGTCACAGCTGAGAATTGGGGGATTATGTAGTTTTGCGTAAAGTACGTGGGAAGCCTTATCCGCCGGAGGTATTCACCAAGAGTTTCGCACAAGGATGCGTCTTCCAGCTTTGTTGCACCAGTGGGCGACACGGATTGGTATTGGTTTCTTGATCGGTAAGGGGGTATAAAAAAGCAACATAGCGTGTACCACGTAAAGCACAAAAAGAGATACGCAAACTCCATTGTCCAATCCCATAACCCCAGGTGCTCAGGCCGCACAGGAGGGATGCGATGGCTGTTGGATGAATGGATAAAATACGGCTTTGGCGGGATGATTTTCGTATCGTCGTCTTCCCATTCGCAGGCGTCATCATTTTCTATTCCTTCACTTGAAAGGGATGACGATTTTCTGCTAATTGGCGCTCTTGACAGTGGAAACAGGAACTGCATGGGAATGGATTTCACCCCTAGGTGTTTGTACATTCTCCTTAAATTGCTGTAGAATCCGCCCGCGAAAGCCCGCATTGGGAGATCGATTCGCATCCCCTCCCCATCTTCTGAAGGGACTGTGATTGATGCTGAATCGAGAGATAGTTCATCTTGCTGTTAACTTTGTTAGTACTGCTCCAACGAGGTTATCCCATTGCATGAATTGGCCAATGAAAATAAAATATCATATATTATAAGGACATAAATAAATGTAGAGAAAGTTTAGAATAAACAATTGAGTTTTAAATTCCGCCGAACGCCAAAAAGGGGCTATATAAAACCCCCTCTTTAAGCTTGGGCTGGGGCAAGAGGCTCCAAAAACCGCCAGACAAGGATGGAACCATTTGAACCTGGTGGAACAACTGGATAGGACCAAACTACAACTGGCGAATGGCAAGTTGCCCAATATATTTAATAAGCGCACAAAATATCATAAGTTAACAAAGCTCCCAACTTTGGATGGGAAAATAAAGGGAAAAGAATACCTGGATGGGGAGACTTGAATTGGAGGGCAAAAAAAAAAAAAAAATCACACGTGGCGAAGACAGGAATAAAAACCATTAAACGTACCATTTCAAAGACCTGGACATCGAATCGTTGATTCCGATCTTGCTTGAGTAGATATCCCGTCACAAGTCCTGCCATACCTGAGCCGATAATGGCGACAGTTGTTCTGGGGTTGTCCTTGGGCTTCCTCATAGTGCTTTTTAGGTATAACTAACTAATCTTGTTTCTTTTAACTAGGCGTGGAAAATGATAAGAAATGAGGTATCCAAAAAGGCCAAAGAAATGAATAATGAATGAAGAAGAATTATAAAGAGAGGAGTACGGAGGCGGCCGTGAGTTTATTCCAAACGCAATCAATCCAATCGAACAGTGGCCTGAGACAGGCCATCTTCACGCAAAGTGTTTTATTCATTTTTAGGTTATTTTTCCTGTTCTTCTCCACTTCCTGTGGCGCTAATTCAACCCGGAGCGCTGAGTTGTGCCGTCCACAATACTCGAAACCCCGATGCTTCGTGCGTACAGAGGCTCGGCCACACTGACCGCTAAAGGCTGCTTTGGCCAATCAGCCCCTGTCTTGTTGTTTGTTTTATGGGCGCCTTTCCACTCGGAACGGGGAACGTTGCGCCTTGAAGCGTCTTGCACTTGTCACCCGCATTTCTCGAAGTAGCTCAGCCACAGCCACTCAAGGGCGGGAGGAGCAATTAATAATTTATAAATCTAATTCTCCTGTGTTTTAGCTGCGGGAATCCTCCTTTGCACGAACTGACATTTATCTCTGCGATATTATTGTGGATTCTCAGTTGGACAGGAGTTGACGGTTGTACTGTACGGAGTAGAGAAGGTTGAGCTATCCATGTCTAAGTTACGATCTGCGCCACCGATCATGGCTCTGATACGAAGCAGGCTAGGCAGAAGAATATGTATGTATGTCAAACATCTTCCTCTTTCGCATCGTTCCAGAAAGAATACTCCTGCGTACACAGGAGGAGATAGCTTTTCGAGTGGTGACGGATTGTCGATGGATTTATTGAGGTGGAAATAAAGTTGTTTGGGAAGTTGCACAGAGTGCTTGAGCCGCATCTGGCCATTTTTGCTGCTGGAAAGTCGATAACATCATTGCGATTTTGCATATGATTACAGGGTGAAATTCCGCATCGCAATGGAGATTTACTCATTTACTACGGAGTACTTGATGTAGTGGCTTCTGAACCCTTCTCTCAGTTGAGAGACAGGATAGCAATATATCTCTTGAAACGTCTTTATATTCCGTATGCCCTTACCGTAGGCAGATTTTACCGAGACTGTCCCCGTGGTACTTCCATCTGATCCGGTACAAGAATGCAGCGAGGGCTGGAGGAGATAAATGTGTCATTGAAAGAAACACTATGGGTTTTGAACACCTGTTTTTCGAACCCGTTGCCACAAGTGGCATAGAAATGACGAAAATCCGGCATTATCCGAAGACTCATTTTTGCATGCAAGAAATAGGAGATTACGCGCTGGCCTCAAAAATCAGATATGGCTGGTGAACCAAGTTGTATGGAGTTGAATTTCCCAGCAAGGAAAAACTTACACCACTTGTACACGTCGCTCCTGGCTACAAGGTGATTAGAGTAAACTACATTTGGAAAAGGAAATCGTGGTTCAGCTCATCATTGCAATTTGTAGCAATGGTAACAGTGCAGTGAAAAGAAATTCAGATATAGAAATCGGGGGGTTATTGAGACCGGATTCAAGCGACACTGGGGTGGCAAGTGGATGAATGTTTTACTAGAGCCGCGTTGGCTGGCATTCTATTTGCTTAATTGAAGCTTTTCTCTTGCATTCCTCATTCAGGGATAGACATCAAAAGTGGTTACCGCGCTTACCTTCCGCTGACTAATCCATCCATAGCCGCGCGAAAAACTCCGACCTCCGATTTTTTGATGCCAGCGCCGGATCTTGCTTGCTCGATTCCTCTGGGCTGCGGTCGTTCACTTATGATTCTTCCTGACGTCGAATAGCTGTCATCTTTTTTTCTTTCCTCTAGAATTATTTCCTTCTGTTTCTGTATTTCACAATGTTTAGCCCGGCTTCGCGATCTTTTCTTCGAATAGCGCCCTCCGTCCCAAAACATATCCGACTCCCCCAAGCAAGACGATTCATAAGCACCGAGTCCACATCCTCGTCGCGCAAGCCGTCAAGCTGGAAGGGCACAACGCTGAGATGGGCCCTTGCCGCTGGCGTGGTTTATTATTATAATACGAGCACTGTATTTGCGGAGGAACCTGGCTGTAAGGCCCTACCAACAAAGATTAAAAGAAAAAGGGCGAATTTGACTTGTCCTTCCCATTTTACCCCCTTAGTTAACGTATATGTAATCGCCGCATAGTTTCATTCCAACCGCCTTCTTCTGCCTTTAAAGAAAATGAAGATGACGCTTCCCTACCAACCCTCGACTCCATAACATCGGCGAAGAGAGCGAAGGTCACATCGAAACCCTCCCCGGCGCCCTCGACGGCAGATACCCGGTCCCCCTCTTCCTCTTCCACAGTAACATCCGACCTTGCCGCTACTGCAGATATAGAGATTCCGTCGTCAGAACCGGAGCCCAGGCTCTTAACGCCAGGGGAGCTTGAAGAGGAAGCCAGTAACGAAGGCGCCTTCAACCCCGAGACCGGAGAGATCAATTGGGATTGCCCCTGTCTAGGTGGCATGGCGCACGGTCCGTGCGGAGAGGAATTTAGAGCTGCGTTCAGTTGCTTCGTGTATTCAACGGAAGAGCCCAAGGGGATGGATTGCATTGAAAAATTCGAGTATGTTTCGCCGCGTTCACGCTCCTGGTCTTGTTTCCCTCATGGTTGCTGTTGGGCCTCGATTATCCGTTATGCAGCTTCATCCCCACTCCCCTATGCTGTCATTTCAATTGTGCAAAATGGCTGATCTTAAAATCTTTCACTTTCACTTTACAGGGGCATGCAAAACTGCTTCCGCCAGCATCCCGAGATCTACCCCACCGAAACAGAAGAGGAAGAAGTCGACGCCCAATTAGCTGAAGTAACAGCAGAATCCCCCCGCCCCGACACGACACAAGAGCGAGAAAACCCCTCCAAACCGTCAGAAAGCCCCGCAGAAAGCCCTGCGGCCGCAGCATCTTCAAAAGAGGAGAAGCCCAAGGCAGAATCGAAGCCGTCAACAAGCTCATAGTTAATTTCTTTTCGGCGGATGACACGATAAAACCGGTTGGCTGAGGGATGAAGAAAAGAACACATAGAAAAAAACTAGGGAGGCATGAGCCAAAATACCCGAGAGTGTACTCGTCTTATCTTCCTCGGCACTCAGCATTCAAGCAAGGGGTGTTTGCTGTGTTTCATTTAAAAAATTTATGCCATAATATATATACAACTAAGCACGGCCAGCCGATGTTACGCTCCCGTATTTCCTTTTTCCTATACACTAGATTCCTCCTCGTTTCCTTTCCATTTTCTATCTCATTTTCTCCCACTTACTTTACCTTCTTGGAACACTCCAATGTATGTATGTCTGTCTACAACTGTACTTGTACTTGAACTTGCGCGTATTTATACTTGCTACCATCATCTGCCTGTCCGCTCTTCCATACCTCAACCACCCAACAACTAAATTCATAATCGAAGGATATTATGCATTTTTAAAATGGTTCGTTCATGGAAACCCTCAGCAGCCCGGCAGAGCAAGTGAAATAGAGCCTACAAGGCACTTGGAAAAAAGGTGGTTGCTTGCTTGACTAGAGGAGATAATAATAACCAATACTTAGCTTTTCCTCCGTTCTTTACATTCCTCCCTCCCTTCGCTTATCCAATCCCATTACTCCTTCCGTCTCCTCTCTACTCATGCAAAGACCTTCAATTCTGAGAGTATGAAAGATACACCCACCCACACCTCCCGAAACTTTTCCAATTACTTCATCCTGTATCCGAAAATCCAAAGGTTGCAAGGGATATGAAAATAAAACGAGGGCCCAACAAACCTAAACATGAGAATAGCAAAAATAAGAAGAGGGCAGGAAAATAAACCGTTAAGAAGGGGGAAGCCAATAAGTACTAGATAAGATATAAACCAACATCAAGGGAACCAAAAAACCCCTCATCATAATTAAAATAGAAAACAAAAAATAAGAGCACAACAGCAAAACCTAAGGAACAAGTATCCAAACTAGAACAAATCGAATCCAAAGCAAAAAGCCAAAGCCAAAGCTAAACCAAGCCCAATTCACTCCCCAGCTAAAAAAGAAAGAAAAGCACAGCGCGCGGATATATGTATAAGAGGGAACGAAGAGGAGAAAACCAGAACTACCGCATGGCTAGAAAACCGGGGGGAGGAAGGGCAAAAGAAAGACAAGAAGGGAAAGGAAAAGAAAAAGAAACCCAGCTACAAAAATATCAAAATCGTAACATACCCAACGAATGAGGGGTTTCATGAAACATATAGAAGCAAAAAAAAGAAAAAAATAGATACCGGAGGAACAAGAAAAACAAGAATGGAAGAAACCAGCCCATCCCAACTCCTGAATCACAGGTTCAAAAAATCCATGCTTCCAAAGAAAGCTCAGAAGTTCTCCCCTCTACTTCTCCGAAGGACGTTATTCTTCTCCCTAATTTTACCCCTTCGTTTAAACACTCCAACAAAACCTCCTTTTCCTCCGAGCTGTCCCTGACAGGAAACTTAATCCAGCCAACAACCCCGATCACGTATCATCCCCCGTCCAACGTCCAAACAATATCCAGATCAGTTAGTAGTAAAAGAAAATGGAATAAAATGAAATAAAAAAACACACAAAGTTAAGAATTTCACCTCCTCAGAATCGCCTCATACAAACTCCCCAACATCCCAATGGCGGACCCAGTCAACAAACCAGGTAGTCCACCAGGAACCGCACCGGGAACAGCCATCACCGTCGTCCGACGGTACACGTTCCAAAAGGTGAAGATGTTCGTGTACACCAGGTACGAAACCAACGCCTTGGAGACGTTATAAACCAGTGGGTCCAGGTTAGCGGTTTCAGCAACCCTTGCAGCAACCGAGGTGGTGGTACGACGCGTGCCATAAGCATGGATGCTGCTGCCGCCGCCTTGCTGAGAAATCTTCAAGCTCAGGTTGAAGAAGTACGCGAGTAGGGACGGTAGGAATATACTCGTGGTAAGCCAGAGGGAGAAAGGGCCCCAGAAGGACGCGTCGAGCAGGATGAAGAGGTCGGGGACCTTGATGGCGTAGTTCGGGGTCCCGACAGAGGGTACGGCAGGGAACGTGGCTAGGTAGCGCATAGGAACGATGTCGGCGAGAAGACCGTACAGCTCGATCGCAAGGGTGATGGTCTCGATGGCGCGGACGCTGCTGAGGCAAGAGCGTAGCGCGTCGGAGCGCTCGGTTATGCCGGACGCGTCCCAGGCTTCAGACATGGACTGGCGGGCTTTGGTGGTTTGGCGATCGATCGCGTCTGTGATGACAGCGGGGGATGGGGGGAGGGAAGAGAAGGGCAGTGAGCGACGCGCGGGGGTGCGAGACGCGGGGGTGGACTCTTTGCTAGCGCTGCTGTCGGATTCATCTCTAGATTTTGTTGTTAATACTTCTTTTTTATCGTCGTGCGTTTTGCGCAAGAGGGAATAAGAGAAAACGCGTGATGGCAAGTGAGGAAAAAAGAGAGAGAGGAGGGAGAATAAGAGGGAACGAACGTGGCTTCGACTTCCTGCTTTGGTTTTACTTGTCGCCTCGACCGGATAGGTCTCCTGGTATCATCACTAGACATTGCAGGCTCAGGCTTGGGTTCCCTCTTGACGGGAGATGAGCGCGATGTGTGCGACAGACGCTTGTAGTAGTCTGCCAGCCTCTGTTCGCCGGAAAGCAAGGCACGATTCGCGGCGAGATGTTCGTCGAGCGCAGCCTCGAGCTCGGTCTTCTTGTAGTCCTCAAAACTAGATTGTCTGATTAGAAAATGTGCGCGACACGGTATACCATTGTTTTCAAAAAGCATATATCGAACAAAAGAAACGGGACATACTCCTGGAGATTCGAGACTTCAGCGAGAACGACGAGGTCACTCTTGCGCAGACCGCGCAGGTAGGGTAAAGCAGGCGACATGGCTGGGTGGGGAAGGGACAATATAAGGGTAGAATGTGAGTCGCGTAGAGTATGCGATTGTATTTATTGAAGCGTGAAGAGCTGTAACTGGGTATGCAATGCAGGCGGTAAGGGGAGGATGACGCGGGTGGAGGATCAAGGGGGATGGATGAGATACGTCGCGGGGAGTCGAGGTTGGACGGATGATGTTGTTTACTCGGCGCCACTAGCGTGTTTTCATCACGGCTTCCTTTCCCCAAGCTTGAGCCACGCCGGGAAAGGGGACGGTGTCAACAATGGCATTAGCTTATTGTTTGTTATTTGATTCATTGTTATAGTTATGCTATTATAGGACTACTCGTAGAGTTATATGGAGCATTCTTCCATGTCTCTCAATTAATAAAAAGAATTGCAGTAGAGTTATTCCATATCCCGCCAAAAGTGTATGTATGAGCCACAGAAGGGCATCCTCTGGTACTGTACAGTTATATCAACAGCGACAAAATGAGAGAGAAAAAAACAATACGAGGACACCAGAAGAAGTGATATACATCAAAAGAAGAAGTAGAAGAGGTAGAGAACCGACACCAAACGCCTGTCTATGCAAAATGACACACATCCCTGGCTAACAACGAGATGGTATAGCTCACCCTCTAGGAAACAGCAGAAGAAAAAAAGAAGAAAAAGGGAAAACAAAAAATAAAATGTAGTATAATATAAAATATACCATCGAAGAAAGGAAACCACTGCTGTGTGTAGGGTGCGCTTGGGTAAAGGAAAATCATAGAACAGCCCCACCGCCTCCCAACTCACCCTCGCGTTGCTCCTGGTATGTATCCAGCTTCTTTAGCAGATACTGATAGAGCACCAACATCGTCCCGCTCTGCACACTCGTCCACAAAAACCGTGGACCAACCCCTCGAAACCACCCCACAATCCCTTCTGTCCGGTATATCATTTTCAACCCTGTAAATACTGACGACGTATCTAGTAGTGACGCTCCGGGTCTCACGGTGGATGTGGATGGGGAGGATGTCGATATTAATCTGGAAGACTGTATATTCTTCGACGCCGCTTCTTTTATTTTCATCTTATGCTTTCCTGCCACCGCAGGAGCAGGAGCAGGAGCAGTGGCAGTACCAGCTCCACCACCAGCAGCAGCAGAAGAACAAGCTGCTGAGGGAGCCGACCTAGCAAACGAATCCGGACTCTGCTGCGTCTGCGTTCTCGTTTTGACAACGTCAAGCGGACAAGTAATAACGCCCGCCATGCCGCCCGCCGTCGTAGCCGTTAGTATCTCCAGCGGCAATCCAATCTCCCTACTCCCAACCCACTTTTTCGCAAGTTTCTGCTCTTGCTCATAAAACGCAAATTGCAGCGCAGAGAAAGGCAGGTCGCGGAAGAGCGTCGCCTTGTATCCCGAAAATAATGTGCCGAAACCTTCTTGGCGGACGATTGTGCGGAATGCGTCGATTGTGCCTCTATAGTTGTATCCGGAGCGGAAGAAGGGGTTGTTGTATCGTCCTTGCAGCTGTTGACGGGTTTTTAGGACTTCTGACGGGACGTAGACAACGGAGGCGACGAGATCGGCGATGAAGCCTAGAAATTGGCTTTGTTAGCGTAGGTAACAAAATAGTGAACATATAATGTGTAACTACGTACCGCCTGCAAGATATGATAACGACGGATTAACCCCCGCATCCAACATGTGCCTCTTGCTATACTCGTACGTGCCGAAAAATATCACCGTCCCTGGAAACGAGCCCAGGAATGCCGGTGTGACTCCGCTATATAACCCTCTCCGAATCCCTTCCTGCCGTAGAATGGTAATATACGAGGAGGACATGGATGTGTACTTGGGTGGGAAGTGCGGGTCGCCCTGTTGCCGTGTCTTGACGGTGTCCAACGAGTGCATGAGCAGGTCCCCGCTGGTCCCGCCGATACCACCGGCTATCATTGACTAGAAATAGTGAAAAAAGGTTAGTTATGAGAGTAAATGTGATCCCCCCTGTCTGTAGCGCATGATCATAAATTCCCCCCCCTCCTTCCTCCCTAGTTAAAAAAAAAAAAGAAAAGAAAACATCACCCCTCCTCCTTTTCCGAGTAATACATACATGTAGATACGGCGGCCTTGCAGCTTCAACATCAACATCAACATCCACATGGACATGCGCAGTGATGGGCGCAGGAGCATGAGCATGAGCATGACCGTCTACCCGCTCATCACCCCTCATCGTCCTAGGCCGCTTATTTCTCCCCTCCACCCCCAACTCCGTGGTCATCGTCGCATGCGCCCGATCCCGATCCCGATCGCCGTCGCCAAATACAGTAGGAGGTGGGAGAAGAGCAATGGCGGCAGGAGCAGTGACAGGGATGGTATTGGTAGCGGAGGCAGAAGCAGTGGAGGGCGATGATGATGCACTCGTTGTGTTGTCGGCAGCGGTGGTCGTGCTGCTACTGGTGCTCGTGCCGGAGGAGAAGAAGCCAGGCATCGACATCCACGAGTTTGTCGTTGTCGAATTCTGGCTCATCGCCGCCCCCGTCTCTCTCCCGTTTCTCTTTCTCTTCGTAAGTTTCGTTTATACTAGGCGGGGATGCGAATTGGGATACTTTCTTCTGTCTCTCTCTTTCTCTTTTTCTATCTCTCTAGTGGGTTGGGTGCATATGTATTATATCTATATCTTCTAATTGGAAAAATATTTTTCGTTTCCGCTCCTTTTATTCCCGGTCCGAGGAGGCCGTCTCCGCTTCTCCCGGCAGGTTCACCGATTCGGATTTAGGGCGGGTTGGCGGAGCGGGGATTGCGGACGACTCGGCGAGAATAGAAGAAGGGATATAAAACTTCGTATGTATCCAGATTCTCCAGGTAGATCCTTATGCCCGGTTGTCCTGGGGATATTCTTTCCAGGGAAGCGGAAGCACCAAGAGGCAGGCAATGGAGCGAAGGTAGGGTAGGGAGCAGTAACAACCAATTACCAACTTCGAAACGAAGGGCGGACGGGCGATTCCATCCTTATTCTTGCGCTGGTCAAAATATATATATATAAAAACAAAAAAACAAAAAACAAAAAAAACAACAGAATGCGGAGCTGGGGTTTGCGTGTGGTGTGGGCGGGTGAAGGAATTGAGTTGTCGTGTATTTCCTTTTTTTTGTCTTTTTTTCAACCTTTTTTTCTGACCTTTTCTGATAGCTGGGGTATCGGGCCGGTCGGAGGAATGTTGATCCGGGGCGCCGGGACAGCTAGTAGTTATTGTAGGTTATTCATACCATATGAGCAATCGTGACATTTTGTTCATATGGAATTCTCGGGGGGTATAGTATATTGGGATTGAGAGGAAAGATAAGAAGAAGTGCAGTCAGTTGATTATCTGTATATTGTACTCATAAACTCGGTTGCTCATTTACTAAGGCCTTTTCACAAAAGGAAATACGGAGTACAGAGGCAGAGACAAGATACCAGTACAGCCCGGATTTGTCCCAGAAAGAGATATTGGACGTATGGACGTATGAAAGAAAATATGAAGAAAAATACAGATGAAAACGTTGTCGCTCAAAAAAAAAAAAAAAGGATACGTAACAAAAATAAAAGAATATGTAGGATAGAACAGTAAACAGGCTCACTTCTGATGCTTCTTCAAAAACCCAGAAATCAAATTACATCCAAATCACACACGACAAACAGGCAACAAGAAAACAGAAAGAAATGATGAGAATGCCTAGAAGTACAGGCCCTTTGCTATTTTGTTGTCTTTTTATATATTTTTTTTCAAAGTTTTGTTGAAGAGACACACCGCTCCTACCTATCTTCCTATCTTTGACTCCCTTCTACCCGTCCCCTGCACACTCAAAAGACAAAAATCGCACTCAAACTCAGATAGATAGATATTATTCTTATTATGTTCACCGTGGTCGCGTGACAAACATCCCCAACCCCATACTATCTCGCCAAAATGAAGAAACAAGCGAGGGAAAAAGAATAAAATGAGAATGAAAATTAAAATGAAAAGGGAACAGGAAAAGGATAAGGAAAGCAAAATGGAATTCCGTCCGCGTGGGCGCTGGTAGTGGGAAAGGCCCCAAGTCAGCCGGTCTCTGGCTCCGGATGATAATGATAATTTTGACGCGTGCGCTTGCATGCATTTACGATTTAAGAGGGTCCGTATGCCGCCGCGGAGGGTTGCTCCCCTCACCCTTCCCCTGTACTATACATAGACATGCACATGCACAGCAACCGGGTCCGAAGTGATAATGCGTCATGTTATGGCTGTATTCCGTACACACAAACGACAAACCGGGAGGGAAATGAGTCCCCCAAGACTTTTTAAACACAAAAATAAAGGGAACATGCTGAGAGCTAGGAAATAGGTGTCGTCGTGGTTGCTGCTGTTGTGTACAATCATCATTATGTTTCTTTTTCGGATCCCGAGAGAGGTTGCGGAAAAGTGAAAACAGGAGTAGCGTCAGGAGGGAGGCCGTTCGGAAATAATAATAATAATAACAATAACAATAATAAAATTATCAAAATTATTATCATTATTATTATTATTTTTCAAAAACTTTTTACTGGGGCTTCTTAGCTCCCGCAGCAGCACCCTGGTACCCACCCAGATACCGTCGGATATCCGTTACGTCATAGGCCTGCCGGACAACACCCTTGAACATCTCCCAGCCTTGTCTCACCTGCGGTGGGGTATTCTGGTGAGAGATGGCGGCATCAACACGGGCAGTCGCACGGGCCACGGTGCCCTGCACAAATGAGCTCTGCGCATACCGGGAGCGGAAGAAGGAGAAGTATATGATCAGCAGCACCCAGCTGCCGCTTGAGAAGGTCAGGGCGGACCCGACGAGGCGGAATAGGAGAGTCATTTCAAAGGCGGCCACGAGGCCCATGCTAGCGTCATAGTATCTCTTGACGAAGCGGCCGATGCTTTCGGCGAGCGGGGATTGTCTTGTGGCGGGGCGGCCGGATGGGGAGGTTGCTTCGCCTGGTGCGACTGGTTTGGCGGGTTGGAGGGTTGGGATGAGATAGGTGCGGCTGTAGGTTGCTACGTGGAAGACGGAGTAGATAGCGAAGGGTAGGAGGGCGATTGGGATCTGGCGGGAGTAGAGCCATACGAGCGCCATGACTGTTGTTCATGGTGAATTTCTGTCAGCGAGGAGGTAATATTTTTGACGGATTTTTAATATAGCCATGCGAGGGAAGGGGGGAGGAAAGAGTAAAAAAAGCCCACTAACATAAATATTGGACATTCTCGTCACCGGCCAATTTGATGGCAGTGGCGGGGATGGAGCCTCCAAGACGGCCACGGGCAATATATGCTTTATACACGACAATTCCATATGTAGCGGCAGCGGATATGAATGCAAAACGATATGAATATCTGGCCATGCCTGAGTAGTAGTTGAATGTAATGTAGGAAAGGAAGTATCGGAAGACAGCAAGAATCAATGCCAGGTGTCTATAGATGCGCGGTAGAGCAAGTTAGCCAGCAAGAACCATCTGTGTTTATTTCCATAGGAGCCGCAGTCTCCATATTCCCTGTTATTCAGGATCAAACGGTTCCAGCATCTCCGTCTTCGCTTGTCTGTATTTGTATATCTTTTTCCCTTTTCCTCCTTATTTTACCTCCCTCACCGCTTCCACAAATACTCCAGGACTGTTTAAGTGAACTCGACATACCCAAGAAACCAACCGAACCTATAAATAGATTAGCAAACGGCATTCTCTCTTTCGGTCCCCTGAGGGGGATGGACGTCTACCGGGGAAACATACTGTAGGGTCTGGGCGAGCAGCTTCAAACGCTCGCCCAAGGGCAGGGTGGAAGGAGGCGGAGGAGCCATCTGTAGCAAGCAACAGTTAAATGCCCCAGCCGGTCAGTGAGAGAAAGCGGTGCGTTGTCGGGACGAGAGGGAGAGGTGAAGCAGAGATAGCTGGATAGAGCAGTGGTAGTTGAGTGTATTTATTTATCTATTCCCTTGGAGCCAGGCTGCAGGATATCATCAAAAGGTCACGGTGGAATAATCGCTGATCAGGCCAGAAGTTGAGTTTGTGACTTGTCGGGAGGATTTGTTTTGTGCTCTTGGATCAGACAGACTCAGGTTGGAGCGTGTATTGGCGCCGTATCGGGTGGCAGGTTTCAGGCAGCCACGGCTGTATCAAGCTGTATCACGCTGTATGTAATCGTACGACAATACACCCACACCAACCCCCAGCCACCCGCAGCCAATTGTCATGTGACGTAACTAGCTCCGACCTTGGAAACAATCATAATAAATATTTTTCCTTCAACAAACAGCAAACAGCAAATATCTCTTGTTGCTTTCTAGCTTCTACATCCATGGATATCTATCTCTACGGAGTACACAACCAGGAGAAGCCCCGGTACAAAGACAAAGACCAGCTCCAGGTCAAACAGCCCAATTGCACCACTCTGCCCTGTATCTGCAATGGCTCTGCTCACAGTCGGAATGATTTGCTTACACGAATTACCAACCAATGGCTCGACGTCATCCCGGCCAACTCCTCTCTTCCATGACAGACGTCAGTCGATGAACTAAATCCTCAACGCAATCGATAATTGGGCAAAGGGGGGAAAAGTCTGGCATTTTCATACCATGTCTTGTTTATTTTTGCTTATTAGCCACAATTCATGCTTTGCTTCTCCAACTGTTTCAGAGCAACCATTGAATGAAGTAAAGCTGTCTGTGACAAGCTGCAGAACCATTCTGAACTTCTGATACTTCTGAAATCATGAACCTGGCTCCTGTTTCTCGATCTATAGCTCTATATTGCATATTTGTTGCATATGAATATATTCTGTTCTCGTTTGCTGCAGAATATGCGTACCTCTGCATTCTCAGATGTGCATTAGCTACATGCACTTCTACCCTCATCCATGCAATATCCAACTTGCAAATCTACCAGACCAGATATAAAAACATTATCCAATTACCCAATCTTCCAAAAAATAAGATATTAAAATCAATTAAAAGGGAGACGAAACCCTTCGCATTCTCACTCCCCTCTTATTCAGCTCTCTCGCTTCTCCTGAAAAGTATTTTTCATCCACCCCTTCCACCGCCCGAGCAGCCCTCCCGATTTCCGCCACCGCTTCTTCCCCTTGCCTCTCTCTCTCTCTTCTCCCTCCTTTTGTGATTCCTCATTAACACACTTCCCGCAAAGTCCCTCATCCCTATATTGTTCAAACTGGATCTTCCCCGCCTCCTCCTCCGAAAACTCATACTCCGTCTCCCAAAACTCCGCAATCCGTAAATCCCCCGGATCAATATGAACATCCGCTCCTATATCAACCTTATTCTTCTTCTTCTTCTTATCACCATCCTTCCCCTTATACACAAAACACTTCTGCAAACTCGCCGCCTGCACCCACGTCTTCGAATGCCCACACTCAAACTGCCACACTAGATTCGGCATCTCTGCATACCCCTGCCTATCCCCCGTGCTCTCTACCACCGGTCTTGCGCGCAGCTTCGCCTCCTCCTCGCACGCTGGACACAGCCCCCGGAGCTTCAGCACTGTGCCATGCCACGCGTCTATGTCGCAGCAGCGCGAGGGGTGGAAGCCGGGCTCCGTGAGCAGTTTTGTGATGGTGTGGATTGGGAGGGGGATACCGTTGGGGGCGTGGCAGTAGATTATGTCGTATTTGAGGTGGCAGGGGATGGTGTGGGCACAGGTAGCGTATTGTTCGTGGGAGGTGTATTTGCACATTTTTTTTTTTTTCCTTCTTGCTATTTCTTTTTGTGTTTTGGGTTTGGTGGTAGTTTTAGTTGATCGAGTGGTGGAGTATGTATATTGTTTCCAGCAGGTAGGTGCCCAGCTTAGGAGACCGCTTGACGATGAATAGGAGGAGACAGGGGAAAGCTAGCTTAAGGGCACAGTAGGTAGGTCTAAATATGTACTGTGGTATTAGATGTGCCGAAGTGAAGGCAGTTACACATTCTAATTGTGAAGAAAGTGGGAGAGGGGCTATGTTCTTATATATATCATCCATATATGAATCCTATCTCAAATTCACAACATCTAGACCTGAGAATATATATTCCCTTGGTTGTAGACGAGTGGTCATCACCGGCTGTATCCCCTCTGTACCTCCTACCTGGGGAACTTTTAAGATACAGAAAGAAAAGGAATGATCCCGTGGATAGATCGTTTGTTCCCTTTTCCCGCGAAGCGCCTGTACCCCTTGAGGTGGTAAAAAAAAAAAAAAAAAAAAAAAAAATCTTACGGAATTAAAACAAAAAAAGGCAGATAGATAGGATAGAGCGAGGTGAACACCCAGTTAGAGATCCAGTGTATACATATATCCATTCCGATCATGCCCCCCCTTCTTCTCTGTTAACAAAGAGAAGGGAAAAAGAGGAAATCAGGGAATATTCCCACCAGCAAATATATTCTTCCCTTGTTTTTACCCTTCACTGGCCACGGGGAACAATGAAACCGGGAGGCAGGGGCCAGCCTGCCCAGAGTATTTACTCCTCGACTTACTATCATTCACACAGTAGATGTACCTGGTACAGTTGAATAAAGAAAACAACGGCGGTAGAAAGCGAGCAACGAACAATAGAGGGTGAAGAGGAGGAACGAGGAGAGGAAGAAGAAGAAGAAGAGAAGTACCTCCTTTCATTTACCCTTTCCATCATGTTTGAAAGAAAAACACCGCATCGTTTCAAGGGAACAATGGCATTGAGTATCTAGAACCTTACGATATACCTCCCGTAATTTCCCTAGGTTATACAGAGTGGATCGCTGCTATATCTGGTGAAACCTATCACATACCTATCAGAGATAATATACTAGCCTACGCAAATACCCATCTCTACTAGTTGTTTTTTTTTTTTTTTTTTTTTTTTTTTTTTTTACTAAGACCGTGAAAAAACGTTCATGAAACAAGATTTCTTTCTTTACTCGAGAGATAAGACAGTGGATCAAAGTCTTCTACCGTAGCGTAAAGAGAGAGGTATATTTTTTAATAGAACGCAAGGCAATTATCCCTATTTAACCAGATATAGCAAAGTAACTTACTTCTTTCCTGTGTATTTTCAAGGGGTAATTAATGAGAGGAGAAGATGGCAAACGTACATGTACATGTACATACATACCTAATAAAAGAAAAATAGCAGGAAATAAATAACAAAAACGCAGGATAATAGAATAAGAACAAGAAGAGAGAGGAAGGGCAATCGATTGATGAGTTACTAAAAAAGTGCTAGAGGAAAAAAGACGGGGAGACACAAAAGGGATATTGGAAGTAGAACGATGAGGTTGAATAGAAGGAAGGGGAGAGGGGTTGGTAAGTAGACGGGTTAAGGAGAAGAAGAAGCAGAAGAACCTCAGAGTATATAATCAAAATTTAATCACAGATAGACAGACAGACAGATGGAGAAGAAAAGGGGCGGGGGAAACAGAAGAAAAGGGGGAAAGGAAAATTTATAGCTAGTTAAGCAAAGAAGACAAGAATATATGAAAGAAAGCAGAACATAAGCTAAGATTCAAAAGACCTTTTTTTTGGCGGTTTTTTTAAAGCATTTTTCCGGACTGGTAGCAAAAGGGTTATACGTAGGAAGAAAGACGAACAGAGAAGCAGGAGTGGGATAAGGGCGAAAAAAAAGGAAAGAAACGAATTGAAAAGAGGAATAGCAAACTACAGCCTTTGATCAAATCAGACCCGTGTATATATCTAGTCGGACCTCTCAGCAACGGAGGTACACGCCAATCAATTTACCAGATCAAAGCAGGGAAAAGAAATATTAATAGTTAAAGAAGAAAGCGAAGAAAAGACAAGATTTTATAACCCTCGCTCACGCATATATATATCTTGCCAATCCGCTTAGAAGCATACTTTTCTGATGTCGAATGTTCGGGAAAAACTATGCCTGCGCACTCCCCCTCAAACCCGCGCCTCCCTTCAATCCAAACCAACCCCCAATGAGAAAGAAAGTAGAAGATAAGATAAAAGGGGGAAAAAAATAATACTGTCGAAAAAATTGAAACCAGTCGATAGATAGATTATTAAGTTTGATACAAATTTGGTTTTTCTCCGTTTATTGGTTCGAGAGACTCAACAATCAAGCAAGAAAACAGACAAACAAGGGGAGAGGGCGCTCAAGAGAAAAGAAGTAAAGGGGAAAAAAAATAAAAAATAGAAGTCATTACAGAAATGAGATAACGAGCAAGAGGTATAAATGAAAGAGGAGAAAAGGAGAAGGAAAGGGAAGGAAAGAAAGCAAAAAGAGAGTGTGTGAGAGCGAGCCGAATATTCTTAAATGAAAGGAAAGGGAAAAGTGAACGAAGAGGTATTAGAGAGAGCGCTGGAACCATGAGCAGAAGAGAGGGGACTCAAAGGAGAGGAATACTAAATCAAGCAAAGAAGGTTGTCCGCATGTCGTAGGTAGACGTCCCATGATGTCCAAAGGGTATATCATCAACGGATTGACCGTTAACGGAGCGAGAAGCCCTTTCTCTTTATCTTGTCCTCGAGAGGTCTTCCACTCTCGAGACGGGCCTTCTTTTCTTCCAATTCTGCACGTTGTCGCTCTAGTTGATCTTTCATCTCGCGATGCCGAGCGTAAAGCTCGTCTTCGCTCTGTTTGAGCTTGCTTTCCTTCTCTTGCACCTTCTGTTGGAAAACCATCTTCATCTCTACCTCCATCTTTGCAAGCTTTTGTTCGTGCAGCGTGCGCTCTTCTTCCTGTTTGACCGCAGGGTTGACCTCCTTGAATACACTTGGGTCCTGAGCAACACCCATCTGTGTGAGTTTATCAGATCGGTAGTTCTCGTACAGGGCATTATTCGTGTGTTCCTTGAGCTCTTCCATGTGGGTACGGATAAGCATTTGGCGCAGTTTGACGAAGTCGCAGTGTTCCTCGTTGTCAACCTCGATGACTCCCCATGGGTAACGACGACCTCTGACCTTGCGGCCCTCGCTGCTGGTGACCTCTGAGTTCGCTCCAACAACGGCGAAAGGAACTTTGGACATGATCTCCTGGTTTTCGGCGATGGTTTCTTCATCATCAAGTTCATATCGGGGTCCTTCGAATATTTGGATGGAATGATGTTGGATATCGGCGAGAATCTGTGGAAGCGTCAGAATATATATATTATTTTGCAAAGGAAGAAGTGAGTTGACTGGAAAACCCCAGAACGTACCCTTTGCTTGAAGAGGGCAATTTCCTCATCGGTGAGAGTATCAGCCTTAGCGATGACGGGGATGAGATTGACCTTGGTGTGCAATCGGCGCATGACCTCAATGTCGAGCGGCTTCAGGGAGTGGCCTGTGGGTTGGATAAAGTAGACACAGGCATGGACGCGGTTGTCCACAATATTCATGCGGTTAACCTTGTTCTCGGCTTCGAGGTAAGCATCGAAGCGCTGTTCGATGTTCTCGACAATTGGACGCCAAGAATCATCGTTGTTGACAAAGTCCCCGAAACCAGGTGTATCAACAACAGTCAGACGGAGGCGAACACCATTCTCCTCAATATCGGCGCTAATAGACTCTATGGCAACGGTTTTGGGAATAATGTCGAGGCTAGGGCCCTTGCGCTCCTTGGGGGGATACAGGGAAGTGTTGAACAAAGTGTTGACCAGGGTAGACTTCCCCAAACCAGATTCACCTAAAATCGCCGTTTTCAGCACAAGTTCCAACAGAACCACGTGGAAGCAGAAAATATATATAATTACATACCAACAACCATAACATTGAAGTTGAATCCTTTACGAACACTCTTGCGGTGCCATTGGTTTGGAAGGTTGGCAAATCCAACGTAACCGGTCAACTTGCGACGAACAACGTTCCTCATGTCGCTAGCAGCTTGGGCAGCGGCTTTGGGGTCCTTAGAGGTGACGGTTTGGGCAGCACCCTGGCCCATTGGGTTGCTGCGTTCGACATATGGCGATTTTCCGGTTGCACTGCCAGCAGCTGGAGAAGGTCGCGTGGGAGCGGGAATACCGTTGGCGGCGGTGGCTGTGTTATTCACATTGTCAGTACTAAGTGCAGTAAAGTTCGTCGTCTTCAGTTTGTATTTCCGTAGAGAGTTTGCTATAGACGGCCCTTGAAGCTTTGGGGTATTCAGGGCTTGCGCAGTGCGATGGCCATAGTTCTGACACTCCTGCTTGGGTGCAGAAACGCGGAACTTCAAATGGCCCATGACTAGGATCTCCTATTTCCGGGCCGTAGAGACCAGGGAACAACAGGACAAGTTGCACACAGCACATAAAACGCGGAGAAATTAACGACTTCTCCAGAGAAGCACAGATACTGGTGATGTTCTTCGCTGTTGTGATGCTGGACAGAGCTGTAACAGAAAGTAAAAAATAAAAAATCGAAGCTTACCCATCTTGTAGGTTCAACGGTAGAAGGAACGATTGGGATTATATTCGAAGTATTAGAAGGGAAGGAAGGGCAAAGGAGGATAATCTGCTGTGGATCGCGGGTGTTGGTTAGCTGGTAGTCTTGGGGACACGTAGAGAGAAAATAGGAGTATGTCAATGACGCCAGAACTAGGGGGAAGCACCGGATACTTTCTTCTCTTTTTTAATAATCGTAAGAGTTCAGAAAATATCTAGCATTCAATGTAATGCAGAGAGGAAACGGACTACCCATAAAAAAAGATATAATAATGCAGATGAAACAGGGGTTCCACGGCCTTACCAAGAGATATTTTTTTTCTTGTTGCCAACACGGGACACAAGAGGAGATCAACGAAAGACGAGAACCAAAGGGTGTGGGAAGCACAAGCTTAGAGCTTCTCTCTTTATATAAAATAGAGCAAGGGATGAACGATAGAACGAAGGTGGACGGGAAACGAAGGACTCAATTGGGGGTTGAAGGGGTTGTGTGAAGCCTTCACCTAGGAGTATTTGGGAGCGACGCACGCTGCTAAGGTAGTTAAAGGGATGATGGGAATAGAGGCAAGAAGAGAGAGAAGAGAAGAAGAAGCAGAAGAAGCAGAAGAAGAAGCAGAAGAAGAAGAATAGGTGGAGGGAGGAGGAGGAGGAAGAGACGAGATCTCCTACAGGCGCTGTCGACGGCGAGAGAGAGAGTCTTGGGGGGAGTTGGAGAGGAAGAAGAGCAGAGAACGGAGGGAGGAGACACAGAAAGGGGTTGGTATGGTATGGGGCTGTACGCATCGTACGGATGGTAATCATGGAGGTATTGTTCTCCCTGACTATGCCGCTTTGGGGCGCCCTGGTACCAAGTGATACGCGCATCCCATCCTCGATCCCTGCCTGGTTATTGTATTATTGAATGGGGTTGTGTCGCGGAAATGGGTGTGTGGTTGGTTTTGTTGTTTTGTATTACGATTACCAGACCAAAGCTTGTCTCGATCTGGTAATAATATATTGTAGACTTCCAAGGTTAGTTCCGAAGTCCGAAACAACCTTGGAAAACTAAGCCACTAAAAGCAGCATCACGTGATATACTCTCGGAATTACTTTCCCCCGCTCGGGCGCGTTTCTCGTCTCGGATTGCCGTTCTGGGACAGTGTCCGACGTCACTCACTGCAAAAACAGCTGCAGATCTGCTACATACATGATCCATGCCGAGCTATATACATATACTGTACATGTACTGTAGATAGTATCCATGGATGCATGAGTGATTGATTGATCCCTTTCTTTTGTGCGCTGATCTGTAGCTGCTGCTATTGCATACAATAATAATAATAATGGACTGGTATCCCGCGCAGTTCTTCAACCCTGCAGCCCCACCGCCATCTTCACCCTTCGCCCTTCTTGTGCTCAACCAGCCAATCAACCAAAATGCATACACGATCCTCAAGAAGCATGGTGAGTTTCATGTCCTAGCTGTTGAGTGGCCACATATATTATTATAATGTAAATGAATAAATCAAAATTGAACTGACACTCTCTTTCCAATCTAGCAAGCTTCACAATCTGTGCAGATGGCGGGGCTAATCACCTGTACAACCTCATGCGTAAATCGGGCAGAGAGTCAATAGAGGTAGATATATACATCCCCTGAGTAGCTATTAACAAGATATCATACTATATATTAAGAATAAAGAAAGAAATACAACAAATAAGAAATTTATTTTTTATAAAGAGCTCATTCTAACAAAACTACTCTTCAGCTCCCCGACGCCATCGTAGGAGACCTGGACTCCATCTCCCCCAAGGTCCGCAAACACTATGAAGACCTGCAGGTCCCCATCATCTACGACCCGAGCCAGTATTCTACAGATGTGACTAAATGTCTGTCCTATTTGCGCTCGCGTACGCAGAGTATCAATGCACCCCGTAGCAGCAAGAACGGTGCAGCGGTAGCAGCCGCACCAAGCGCATCCACAGTAAACGAGAACGATATAGATATCAACGTCCTCCTCCTAGGCGGGCTGGGCGGACGAGTCGACCAAGCCTTCTCGCTCATCAATCATCTATATCTCTCATCAACATCATCTTCCTCCCCAACCCCAACCGAACAACGGCACTTATACCTCATCTCCGAAGAAAGCATCTCCTTCCTCCTCCACCGCGGCCGGAATAGAATCCATGTGCCCGGCGGCTCCTTGATGGGCGTATCACCGTCTCCAGCGCCATCACCTCCATCACAATCAACAACAACGGCAACAACAACAACTACAACTACGCAAACAACTCCATTCGCCGAAAACGTCGGCATAATTCCCATCGCCGGTCCCGCCGCGATAACCACCCAAGGCCTCGAATGGGACATCCATGACTGGAAAACCCGTTTTGGCGGCCAGGTTAGTTCGAGCAATCATGTGCGCAGTGAGGTTGTGGAGGTGCTCGTGGAGAGTGAGGGGCCGGTGTTGTTTACCATCGAGCTGGCGGGGTGGCTGAAGGGGGGTGAGGGGTTGTAAGTTTTTTGTAATGTTATGTGCTGTGTTTTAGAAATATATGCGGGTACAGTGGCGTTTTCTTTTGATAGATTTTATGATTTACTGTAACTATTATATGTATTTTTTTCCTAAGAAAAAAGTCGAAATGTAGGATAATAATCAGTTATATGTGTAAAAAGGATGCTTCCTTCATACACCTATACCCGGACACAGCAAACTACATAATTTCTTCCCCCCATTTTTAACAGACAATCAATTCTCTAATTCCCTCTTCTCACTAATATTTTGTATCTGTCCTGGTTTTAATTTTATCTGACAGCACTTAGAAAGCTTCCATACAATCCATCCACCCATCACATTGCAAGAAAATCAATCATCAATCAATTCTCCCAGCAGCAACAACCTCCACCCTTCAAAATCAGCATGTTTCAATCCCTCTGCCGGGCCGAAATTTCAGAAACATACATATATACATGAGAAGACCTGTTTCTATACTTTTTTTTTTTTTTTTTTTTTTTTTTTTGTTTTGTTCAGGAAGGGAAAAGGAATACCACTACCGCCCCCCTTGTCCATCTCCAAGGTACAAAGGAGATCAAGTCAACACCGTAATCACTAGGACTATAACGGGTCGAAATACTGACTTGGGCCTATGAGGGGGGACTGGGCGGTGATGGACATGCGTGGTTTCGCTTTTTCCCTTGGGGATCGGAAAGAAAGAGGGTAAACGTTGAGGGGGCACTGCGCCATTTGGTTTTCCTTTCCCCTGCGTTTTCCGCCGCCGCCGCTCCCGCTCTTTCCTTACTGGAAACGAATGCGTTGTTTTTGTTTTCGTCTTTTTCTTTTTCTTTCTCTTTTCTTTTTTCTTTTCTTTTCTTTTCTTTTTTTTTTTTTTGGTATGTTTATTTTCTTTTGTCTCATTTTGCTTTTTTACCTCGCGCGGTCCAGGTTCTAGAAAAACCACCACCAACAGTGAAGTAGAATTGTTTGCTGAAGGGAGGGAGGGTGGACGGCAGAGTTAACACATCCAGAAGGTAGTAAACACTAGGTTCGCTCCCGTACGAATCGGAGAGGGAATCATAATGTTACGTACTACCCCTCCCTCCACTCTCAGCACATGGAATTAGGAGGGTATCCGGAGGGCAGCATAGCGTTCTCCATCCGCCCTATCCGTCATTCCTGTATTGCTTCAATTTCGTACAATCTTTCTCGGTTTCGTCTCGTTTTGCTTCCTTGGGCGAGGGGGTATGCTTCGGGCCGACGGTGAGGGAGAAAACTAGACACGGGAACGCAGTATAGATATGTTGTATATCCCGTATTTCATTTCTCCCCGAGGTGGGTGGGGTTTTTTTTGGCTTCTGTTGCGGAAAGGATTTTCGTTTGGATTTTCTCAAGTCCTATATGGGTAAAACAAATGAAACGAAGAAGCACCAGAATTAGCATATCTCTTTTTTCCACGCGGTGGCTGGTCCCTTTCTTATTTTTTTTCAGTTTTCCGTAAGAGTTTTCCAGGTAGTCTTCCTCTCCTGGGCCAAATGTGGGTAATATGTAGTCTTTAGGGGTGATGGATTGCCACGGCCACAAAATCGTAGATGCATGCACGCAAGGCACGAGCAGAGACAGGAGGATCGGTCGGATGAAAGTTGCAAAAGGAGGGGGAAAAAAAAACTAATTTGCGTCATACCAATCAACATCGCTAAGTTGCAACTTGCGGGAACGGAACCCGCTACGATTCGAGCTCGATTTATCAGCGGTCCGCGGGTCTCGATGGGAACGTTTCTCTGGGCCTTTTGTTTTGCGCAAAATTGCTTTAGTATTAGGGTTCTTTTCTAGGGGTGGTAGTCCTGGGTATTTGAGAGGAAGAAGGGAGGAAGAAGTGTTGAATTCACCGTCACTGGGCTCATTATCGTCTCTCAAGTCATAGTTTAGCACTAGGTTCTTGATGCGCTGCTGCTCCTCGCGCTCGGCCTGTTGTTGGGTTTTCATCGCCACGGCAAAGCTAGAGTCGGAGGGTAGGTCGATTGTGCGTGTCTATGCGAAATTAAAGAGTGATCAGAAAACTCTGCGCCAGAGACAAGAAATAATGTGTTTTTATACAAATAAACAGAAATGGGATAGGAGATGCAAGATAGAGACCTGTTGTCGGTTCCCTCGTTTTGTCATGAGCGAAAATGCCATTGTATTCGGTGCGTGTTGACTGGCCTCATTATTCTCTTCCGCAGCTGATGATGGATGTTGCGGAGTGCGTCTCATCGGTAGGGGCACATCGAACATTGCCTTGCGTTCGAATTTACGGGACTGCAAACTTTCAGCCATCATTTTCTCAAACTCTCGATCAAATTCAGCTTCAGCTTCCGGGTCAAGTTGCTCTTCCTGGCGGGTAACGAAGATCTGTTCTTCCTCCTCATACTCGGAATCATGTTCCTGATCTGGGTCACGAACGGTCTAAAAGGACAGCAAAAGTTAGACATTTACAAATTTCCACTATAGCATAGAGGAATTTTTAGGATCCATACTTCCTCAACTTCGTCACTAGACGAGTGCTCCTCATCCTTTTCTTCGTCCGCGTCTGGGATTGCATCGTCTTCATATCCGTCGTCGGAGGATGAACTCTCTCCGTCATCTTCCGGCTCAGGGCCCTTGTCCGCTTCTTGCACAGTCTCCTGTACCTTGTAATTCTGTGCCACGGCCTCACCAAAAAGGCGCGTAGCTTCAGCAGGATCAGTAGCAATCTTCCACTGGGGTCGTGACAAAGCATAGGTATCCTGAACGAGGAAATCCACATCCATTGGCAACGGGTCTTTCGTAAACAGGTAGTACTGTAGTAATCTATTAGCTATCATATCAAAAGACGAACTTTGTCGGTTTTAAGAGGATAATACTTGAAAGAACGTCAAGAAGAAATCGAGTTTCTTTTTCGCTGATCCCCGATCGAAACACACTCCGCACGTATCAAGGAGCGTGCACACCAGTCGAATTCGGAAGAAATCATCAGGCATATCCAATGGGTTAATCTTCCCGGGAACCGGAATGCCTCCCTCTAATATTCCATGTCAGCAACTCTTGCCTCGAGAAGGGTTCTTCTGTCTGTCTGCACGTACCATGTCCGAACGTAACGATCCGGTAAAGCGTATCAAAGATGACCGGTGAATCGACCATTTTATAATTGTACAGTTCTCCCAAATACTTAACCTCGGCGATCCGTCTCTGATTGAATTTAAATTCATTCTGTTCCAGCCCAAGGGTAATGTACTCGAGTATGTTGTCTACAATGCCAATGACAAAACTCTGATGATATCGGTAGAGGGCGCTGACAAGGATTGCTAGGATATGAATGTTGCCGTACTTGACCTTTCCAGGCTTGCTGAATATTCGCTCAAGAATTTGGACGACCTGCGTTTGTCAATACATGTTTGTCCCACAAAACGATATAGAATTCAAAACTCTTATATCTCACCTCTTGTTCCTCCCAGTGAAGCTTTCGGATACATTTCAAAACCTTAGGGTAGTTGCGCTTGTTCATATCCAGGTAGACCAGTTTCCTAATATAAAGTTCCATCGGAGTGCGCTCCTTTTGTTGAATAGCGGGTCGCTGGGGAGGGTCGACGTAGTACATCGCATTCTCAATAATCATGCGCTCTTGCTGGCCAAGATGCTGTGCAGCTTTCTTTCGACTAAGCGTCTCCAAGAACGACACCATCCGTGGGGATGTTTCAGGGTTCCGGAGGAGGTATCGACCACAGTTCTCCAGGAGATTGCCAATGATCTCAATATTCATCCGAGAGAAGTCGTCGAGACTGACTTTGAAACAGTGGAAAATGACATGTTCGGGGACAACGCCAAACTTGGTTAGTTCAGCTAGATATCGAATATTGCTTGTGCGGACCTGGCCGAGAAATTCCTTTTGTTTACGGCGTTGTAGACTACGGAATTCCTCGTCAAGGTAGCTGATAAGGCCCTGTGGGATATCGGGTAGATACTGCCCGAGGGTAGCAACCAAGCGGGCATAAAGAGGAAGAAGATCGGCGCGTCCCTTGGGCGCTTCTTGGATGGCCTTTACCAGCCTGTTCCGTGACGCTTTGGAGTTGAGAAAACAGAAATCCAGCGCCAGCTGGTCAACTGAATCTTTAGTTTGAAGTTCGGGAAGTTTTGCCAGCAACGCATCAACCTGGGCACCAACGGTTTTGTTAACCATAGCGGTAGACTGGTCATCAGCTTCCTGATTATTGGTAGGTTCGGAGGTAGTTGCGCCTGGTTTCGAAGCCTCCCCTTTTCCGGACTGGTCCGCTGGCACGCCATTTGTAGCTTCGCCGTCAACTTTCTTCTTCACTTGATCATCCCCATCGGACTTCTTCTTTTTCCCATCTTCAAGAAGAACAGCTGGAACTTTGCCCTTTAGATCAACTAAATTCTCATAAAATCGGCGCTCCTCCTCGTCTTCCCAGATACCAGGGCCTTCTCCTTGTCCGCGCAAATATTCTCCGGTCTTCACGAGACCTATACTACTGCCGTGTGTAGAATCAGCTGCCTCTTTCTCTAATAGATCTGGCATATCCGAACCGAGAATCTCGCAAAGAACCTGAGTGTTCGAGACGAGCTTTTCGTGTGCTTTTGACTGCTTTTCGAAATTAGATTGCCGATCTTCGAATATTTCACCACTCTTCACATATGCTTCTGCATTTTTGCGGCTCTGTGTTGCCAGGGCCTTCTGGTCGCGGACAACGTGTGCTTTGACGTCCTCGAGGTAGCGACTCAGGATATTTCTAAAGCGGAGCTGGAGCTTCTCAGATGATAGCGGCGGATCATCTCCAGTTGATTCAGCATTAGCCTCATCATCGCCAGATCCAATCTCCGGCGCATCTTTCCCTATAGATTCCGCAGTGGCACCATCGGCCTCCACGTTCTTCCTACCCTCCTCCATCCCCTTTGTCCCCAAAATATCCCAGCTGTAGGTCCTCGCAAACAACACTGCCAGTGGCAAGTTGACATGCTCGCGGTCATGTCCCAAGAGGTCCTTCAGCACTTCTAACGGAAACGGCTCCGCCTCCCTATCTTGATCGTCCTTTGCGGCGGCCTGCGCTGTCTTAGATTTCGCCGCCCCATCAGAAGTAGAAGAGCCTTTGCCACCACCACCAATAGTAGCCGAGCCATCCTGTCCCTTCGTACCCAGATCGTCCGGCCTTTCCACATCATCCAAGCTTCGCAGGAACCCAACAAGCCATAACTCCGTCACGATACGCAATAGAACCCGTTGTCTACCCAGCCGTTCCTTTTCCTCCCGCTCACGCACGTCCTGGGTCCAAGCCTTCAGCTGTGCTTTATCCGGCGTCGTCAGACCTCGACCCAACAGCCATCCTAGCTGCTTGGTGAATTCATCGGGCCCAAACCGCTGGTGCAACGCGCTGGCGATTTCCACAGCCGCAGCGATTTCCCCGGGGGACTTGAGTTTGCAAAACCCTTCGTAGGCGGCGGATATGATCTCGGACAGGTATTTGTGCAGCGATAGGGTGCGGATATCGGTAAGGAAAGTAGGGAGGGCGGCAGCAGTAATACCAGTTCGGAGACGTTTGATAAAAGCCGTGTTTTTCTTCAGAGCTGAGTCGAGAGATTTGTTGACCGGGAAGATATCTATACGCGTATACAAGGAATTAATTTTTAAGCCCAGACATTAGATCGTCAATCTCATTCTCGAGATCGAAAGGTAATACAATAAGAGGGGGTGTGCGGGCGGAGGGTGGGGGAGAACTGAACATACCTGTCTCCCTGGCCCATGCGTGTGCATTCAAGGTGCGCAGCTCTCCTACAAAACGCATAAAATATTAGCAACACATACAGTAGAAGAAGAAGAAGAAGATACAGCTCACGCCTGGAATAGGTAATGAATGAATGACATACTCTTCCTTGCGCGATCCATCTCACGTATTCTCTTGGGGCTACCACCGTTGTGGTTGTTTGCGGGCACTGGGGAGGAGAGATGCGGTCAAGCCGGGTGAGATCCCCTCAAAGTTCCAGAAGCAACGGAGTCGAGAAGGGCTTGACCACCTCATTCCAGGAAGCCCGGAGCTGGACAGGATTGGTAAAAAAGGGTGTAATCAAGGATAGCAGCAAGTGTTGTTTTGACTGAGAAATGCAAAGCCGTTGAACCCCACAGCTGCAGCGGCGGGATAGATAGGTTGTGCTGGTTGGTTGGTGGTTGGAGTGCAGGAAAAAGGAGCTGGTGAAGGAGAAAAGTAAATAAGTAAATATTATAGCTGTATTTAACTAATAGTAGTGCGTCACTGGAAAGAAACTTTGTATATAATAAGAAGATATCTTCAATTCAACAAACTCATATTTTATTTTAATTTTAATTTTTTGGTCAAAATATTGAAACACATATACAGTCCATATCTTTTTGGCATTCCCATTGATGAATATAATAATATTTAATTCATAATGCTATTTAGACACGATCAGCCCCGCCAACGCCACAGATTTCGGCTTATTTATATAGAGAGATAACAGTTATAAACGCCACACCCCCGGAATAACTAACAGTTTGCTTCATATATTTAGTTATAGCAATTTAATACATCGTGTGATTCATTCATTCATTCATTCATCCCTTCATCCCTTCACCCATCTCGCCATCACAGTCCCTCTCCCCCTCCTTGACCTCCCTCTCACTCTCTGTGAAGCCGCTCTCCCGCCCTTTCTCCAACCCCGTCAACCGCTGCTGCAACTGATGCTTCATATCCTGCTCGTTCAAGCTCTGTGTCCGATTGAACTTCGGCTGCCATCGCGAGGTTCTCGGGGACGTGGCTGAGGATGGCCGATGTCCTTGCTCTGCATTTGAAGGGCGGGAGGAGGCGGCTGTCTTCGTGTCGAGAGTGGAAGTCTTGGTGGTAGGATGATGGGGTTTAGAAGTGCGAGAGGAGGCTTGCGATGTCATTTTTGTAGTAGTCCTTTGTTGGAATATTGTTTATCTGAGGATGGTTTGTTGAGGTTTGTTTTGTAGCTGTAACTAGATGGAGACTTTCCTTTTTGATTCTGATGCGCTGCTCCTGTTCGACGAAGTAGATAGTTACGTTGTGGATGGATAGGTATATAGATAGATATTAGATACTTTCTTTCTCTTTAGCTCAAGACATAAGGGATATTTAAAGAGCAACATGAGAGACGATATCCTTTTTCCCTGCGCCATCTCACCTTTTTAATATCCCGCCACAAGAGCAAATTCGACCACAGCCTGGCCCACATATATTCCTGTTTTCCTCGCCATCGCTAAATAATACATCATCCTGATGTCTATATATTTTTATGTTTTGTATATCAAGCGTAATATAGGCTTCCTCCTCGCCCCGCACGCCGTTTTCTCCCGTTGGATATTGTCACGCGCATTTGTTTGCTTTAACTTTCCCTTCTTTGCCCGTTGTTTGTAGTTTTATATTCTATGTTCTTGTATACTACCAGGTAGGGCTAAAAACGGCGGGGTCCTCTCGGGCGAGCCTCTACATATAACTTTCCGTAGGTTGTCATACCGATTCGTTCCCGACTGAGCCCTGCGAAGGTGCGAGTGGGACGTTGTATAAGAGGATATTTAATAGGGTGCCGTGGACTTTCAAGGATTGATGAATGCACCATACAAGGCACAAATCCACTTCTTGACAACCAACTACCTGTGGGAACCGTGAGGGGAAGAACAATTTCTGCCCACGTATCCATTAGATACTCATTGTCTTCATTGAACAAGTGCAGCAAGTGCTCCATGAGACCTTGTTTGGACGGTTCTTTGGCATTCACCACATCCGTCAAAACGGCCAGTTCATCCAGTTCATCAGGGGTTTGTCGCGCTTGTTGCTGCTACCTCAAGAAAATACACTGCTCATATACAGACTATTGCTTGATAAATCATGTTTCGTCATCTCCAACAATATGGAACATCCTGCAGGCACTGGTCATATCCAGCTATCTTCTAAACCTCACTCTTACTGGTAAATCGTCTTTGACACAACCAATACCCTCTCCAGATCTGTACGCGCGCGTTCACCATTAACAGTCTCCGCCGCCGCACCTATCCCATCCCTTTTCTGCATCACGTCCCACTGTTCATAATTTAAAGTCAAACTCCAGCTCACGTACAGTAAGAACCGACGCGAGCTTCAGTTCCAACACCGCCAGTTCCTGCCCGATGCATTTCGTATTTCCCAGCTCGAAGGGTCGCCACACATTCTTAAGAGGATACAGAGCATGGCCCTCCGAAACCAGGAACCGATCTGGTATAAATTCCGTCGGGCGAGGCCACAGTTCTGGATGGATGTGAGTCATCGTCGGACTTGTTTGGATCTTGCACTCGTAAGTGGGATACCACATGCCGTCAAGCGAGAAGTTGAATCTAGCGCTGCCTTGCCGGAATATATTGGCTAGAGAATGGATGCGGAGCGATTCCTTGATGACTGCCGCCGTGTAGCGTAGCTCGTTCACCTTATGAGGGCTTTCTTGGAACACCTTATTTGCTGATTTTGGGTCGGGGCCTAGCACTTCATGCTCTGCGCGTAGTCTTTGGAGGATGTCGGGGCCTTTGGAAATTTCGTAGAGTAATCAGCAACTAGGGTACATAGTCAGAACGCATATATGAAACAGGTATTTCTAGACGACTTTGCGGGTTTTGCAAGAAATGAAGTGATGGGGGAAATATAAATATATCAAACTAACATAGACTGAGCCGTGGTGTCATGACCAGCAAACAAGAACGCCTTTAAGTTGCTTATACTGATACAGATAAACTCGGGTGTTGGCTGCTGGCGGCGCTCTTTGAAGTCTTTGATAGCAAGATCGATAACTGTTTTCTGATTCTTTGATTCAAGAGTGTGTCGCTGAAGCGCGACTGAACCTGCGGCAAGAGAATATCTCGCATAGTTGCGGCATTTTCCGATACAAAGTGCTTATTTATATTCAGGGGTAAGCCGTTCCAACCTGGTCCTGATGTTCTTGAGCTTAACGCGCGAAATCAAATTTCTCAGAGCCGTAAGCAGTGGCCCAGGACCCGTTGTTTGCTCGTGGAGATGAAGATCACTATTATTGCATGTCTCGTCAGCGTTAGAAAGGAGGAAGTGGAAAAGGGAGGCCCCCTGCTGTCCGGAGTAATAGGAAATGGTAGGGTCTTACAGTGCAAATCTTGAAATGACATCAAAAGTCAGAGCAACCGCTCCATCGTACAGGGTAAACATACTGCCCCACTCAAGACTGTCCGCATCCGCAGTGTCTTTCAATTTTTGAGCAAAGATGGAAACCTCCTCCAGGACGGTGGGCATGTTTTGAATGACGTTCCGAGACGAAAACCCCGGATTCAGCCGAGAGCGCCATACTTCATGGTCAGCCATGTTCATCGATATCAAGTCAATACCGTCTGTCACCGGTGTTAAAGCCCATCCGAACATGGGATGCCTCGGCTGAGGTGTTTCTTGCGTAAGTTGCGAGCAGAGCTCAGGATCGATAACCGTGATTATAGGCTGAGCCATGAAGGGCCACACCATCCATATAGATCAATGGCGGACACTTTTTCGCGCCGGGGAAGTATTTCTCCCAGTTTTGGACTATCTTCATCGTGGAATACGAGCGATGAGCGTCGCTTGGTAACCCTTCGCTCAAGCTCCTCATCAATGGGAGATGACCGAGGAATGGTGAATAAGGCTAGATGATGGGCCATGATGGATGTCAGCCTCAACCCTGGTGTTGGATGTTTGCTACAGCTACCAGTCCTACCGTCGGCTTTGGGAATTGAGGTATTAGATAACGCCCAAGCAAGCATTTGACTTCACCCACAATCCCGCTGACCTTCATTCTGTAGAACCTCCGCCGGATCGAAAATCCCCGCATGAGAAAACGTGCTAGGAATGTTGCAACCACAGCAAGCCCGCCTACAGCTATAATAAGCTTAGGTGTACTGGATGCGATAACCATGTTGAGGGTTTGTCACTATTTTTTGACCTCTGGAGAAGTGATAAGACGGTACTTGTGATGTCATGAGCTCAACCTTTTTTTCATGTAAAATATTGAGCTTTCAGACACAGACTCCCTTGAGCTGCTACAGGAACCACCTATATAGCAGACAAAGTAAATTAAAGTTCTCCAAAAATAGCCCTAGTTACAGAGCCAACTTCGCGCCCTTGTAAGCTCTCAGCCCCTGCTTCGCCCACAGATATATTTTCAAGTTCTTTAAATCCGAAGCAGCTGCTGATCAAGCGCGGAAGGACGAGGGTCCGGAGCGTCAACATTCGGAGAGTTTCTAATCAAACAGCCAGAGGTACCATCAAAGCAAGGAACTCCTGTCCCAAGAACCTTGGGAGCAGTGTTCTCCCTCCTGCTGGGAGAAAGGTGGGAAACGGGCATCAGAAGAGCATGTTATGAAACTTTTATTCTCATTTGCGCGTGTTTGAGGACAGTTTCTCTCTCGTTGAAATGACGTGAATACCCGCCCAATCAAGCAGGATTACCAGGCAAGCCTGTTTCACAAGGAAGAAAACGAAGAAAACGAAGACAGCAATATTAAAGAGTTGAAGACGAGGAGGTTGAAGGGACCTTATGCAGATTGCCTAATATGGCTTATTTAGTCCAGCCTAATGGAGTGGAATTCAAGCATCTGGTGTGTGCTATATGTGGCTACCTGACTACATATTGGGTTGGGATAAAGATATTCACTTCTACGTGCAATACAATACAAGCTTTGCAACGTGGAATAGCGGCAACTTGTCTAAGGACATGTAGGGTAATGAGACAGTCTTACTGTCAGATCCATCGAGTCTAACCTCTGAAAGAATGAGTTGAGAAACAAATGTATATTGTTTCAAGATATATCTAACACTAACAAAAATTAAAAATATGTTAATCACCCTCTAAAAAAGAAGGAAAGGAAAAGGAACAAAAAATATATGTGAGATCATGAGGAAATGGAAATGGAAATCAACTAATCAAAGCCCTCAGTTTCACCAACACCAAGGAACCCCTCCTAGCCAACAAACCCCAGGTTCCCAACAGCCCGATCATGGTCACCAGCCATGTCCGATACGTAAAGAGAGATTCCTCCCTCACACGCCCCACATATGTCTTCTTCTGCCTCACCCGCAGCTGCTGCGCACCATACCCATCCAATATGAAGTCGGCCCAATTAACCCTAGACAGAATCTTCTGATACTGCACCACAGTTCCCGACCAGTTATTTGTAACCTTGCCGTCCGCACGCTTATACCAGCTTCGACAGCTCGGATGCGCAAACGATGTCGTCTCAAGTGTACTCTGTAGCTCGTCGTTAAAAGTATCAACACGCTTGGGATCCGGTAAGATCGCGAGCGATCCGCCTACTTGGCGTGCTTTGAGCACCGCGTTGATCATCGCCTGAATGTACTTGGTCTGCGCCTCGATCATAAGGATTATAGAGTTGTGGCCTAGGTTCGTGTTGGGGCCATAGAGCATGCCGAAGTTGGGGAGGGATTCGACGGTAATTCCGTACAGGGCGCAGGCGCCATCGGACCATATATCCGAGAGCGCTCGGCCGTTTATCCCGTAGACCTGGATCGGGTGCATGAATTCAACAGTGCGGAAACCCGTTGCTAGTACAATGACGTCGAATTCGTGCTCGGCGCCGTCCACTTTGATGCCATTCTTGGTAATTTGGGTGATGGGGCTTGTTTCGAGAGTGACGTTGTCGCGTAGGAAGGTTGGGAAGTAGTCGTCGCTGATAATGACGCGCTTGCAACCTACTGGGTAGTCGGGGACTAGCTTTTCCCACAGTTCCGGGCGGTTGGGGAGTTGTTTCTTCATCAATTCCAGGCTGGCTGTGCGGGCATGCGTCGCGTATTTCGAGTCCTGGTCCGCAATGGCGCCGTGGAAATCCTCTCTCAGGTCCATCATCCAGCTACGTAATTTCCAAAGGGAAGGCGGGAAGTATTGAAATAGTGCCCTAATAGGCTTGGGGATCGCAGTATCTAATCTCGGTACAACCCAGTTAGGTGTTCTTTGAAATACAGTTAGCTGAGCGACGTCAGGAGCGATTACTGGGATTATCTGAGCAGCCGTTGCCCCTACAGAAATTTTTATCAGCTACTACATCTGTGCAAGAGGAGAGAAAACGGAAATCAAAAACACGAAAACCTTACCATTCCCGATAATGCCAACCCGCTTTCCCTTGAGATCATAGGTCCAATCCCACCGAGCAGAATGAATGATCTTTCCCTGGAAACCTTCTATTCCTGGAATTGACGGATAGGCGGGCGAATTGAGCTGGCCAACGGCAGAAACAAGGAAATCTGATGTGAGCGTATATTGGTCTGTAAATTCCGCGTCTTTCGACTCGCCTGCTACTTTTATCGCGGTCCGCCATTTGCGGGTTTTGTCGTCCCATCTGGCTTCCTCGACGGCGGAATTGAAACGAATGAAACGGAACAGCTGGTACTTCTCGGCTACAGTATGAAGGTACCTCTGTGATAGCTTTAGTTAGAGTCGGAAAAACGAGAATCAGATGTCGGTAAAGGGAGAGTGGGCACGCCTCGTACAAGAATCTCCTCCTGGCCGGGGTACAGCCTTGTCCAACTCGGGTTTTGTTCAAAAGAATAGCTGTAAAGATGAGAGTTGACTGGCCTGATATTAGCAAGAAAAATCCCAAATTGAACGAGAACAAGGCATTTCTTGAAAGTAGAAACATACTGTCACAGCAACAGCCTGGATATTTGTTATCGCGCCATGTCCCACCAAGTCCTCCGCTCTTTTCGAGGATTACGAAGTTGTGAATATTATTATTCAACAAACTAATAGCCGTGCACATACCTGTTGCGACGCGGACGGGGTTAGCAACTAAGCTTCCGGTACATATAAAGGATGAGTCCCTTGGATCTCTAACATACCAGAAATACCAGCGCCAATAATCACCACAGCGGCCTCTGTGTAATTATTATTCCCCACCTCCTTTTGAGGATAGCATTTGTCTGACACCATGGCTATTTTACTCTAATAATGTTTACGGAAGGAACCGCAGGAGAGGGAAAAAAGCGAGAAAAGAAAGAAAGGCAGCAAATGCCCCTAGCTCAGCCGGGAGATATTTCAAATATTTGAAAGAAAGTGTTCAACAGAGTCAATCGACGACCCGATTGAGGCTCTTGACAGATGATGCAGCTGCAGGCAGTTATAAAGAACCACAGCTACGCATCACTGCAGCATCACAGGCCCATTAATTCTGACTTACCCGAGCCGGCTAATAATTAATCTTGAGCCCATCTCCACAAACTCCCTGGGAAAATCCTCTACATCTCATCAGAGTGAGCCACCTTCTTTCTTGAGGGGAGGGCGCTATGGACGGGGTAACAGGGTGGGGATCCCCATGATCCGAGGAAGCTATCAAGCTCCTGGTTCTTCTTGCTGTAGGTGGCTTTAGCCAAGGTTGAAAAGGCCGAGGGGCCTCATCCTGATCCGATAGGATGTCCGAATACAAGGAAACCCGAAAGGGCCGACATATTGATGGCTTCCCGTAAGCTTTTTGGTGCTTGGGCTTCAATCATCACGAGCAATAGTGAGCTAGCTCCCAAGTGTCTTGTGCATGCGGCTTCATGGCCGTAGTAAATGGCCGGGTATCTAGATGTCTGCCATGGACAAACATGCTGGATATCAACAGAAGTCTAGGGGCGCGTGGCATACTATACTAGGGAGTACGGGGTAGCTGGTTAGAGTTCGGTGATGGGGCTGGTTTGGAGCGGTGAAGCGGGGAGCAGCAAACCCGAGCCGAGGCTAATATTCCAAGGATATTACGGCGGCAGCCTATAACGACATTTGAGTCAAATGGAGGCTGCCCTGCCGTAGATATAATAATAACCACGCACTCGGCCTTGGTGAAATAGTAGGAGCCGATGAGGACTCGAGGGAGGAGGGACTGCAATCGACAGGGACCGGCTTAAACCTTGGAATGTATGTTATATATATACGCACCACGGTTTTTTTCCTTGGAAGGAAACGAAGGCTCCTACTCAAGCACTTCACTGGTGGGAAGGGGTAAATTTTAAATGAACGAAAACTAAATAAAAAGAAGACGAGGAAAAAGAAAACATTAATTGCTACATACAGTACATACATACATACATCTATCAAATTCCTCCTATCCGAGCGATTTTGGGTTAGGGGAAGTTCCATACATCTCCCGTGTCAGGAGTAGGATTGGGAGAAAGTTTGATAGATATTTCATGGGTAGGGGCCGTTTGGACGTTGGCTGTGGGGGAATTTGCGGGGATATATAGTTGATGGGAATAATGGGGGATAGGATATAGGGTCAACTGCAGATATTTCGGGTATTTAAGAAATGAGAACTCTGGATGGGGGGTTGTGTCCAAAGAAAAATACACGAAGACAACAAAGGAAAAGGGGAAAGAAAAACAGAGGCTAGGGATATAGTAGATAAATGAATAGAGTGCCCAAATAACGCTATGCTAATGCTTAAAAAACTGTACGCGAGAAGGGTAATTTGGAAAAGAATAGGATGGAATTACTTCTCTTGGGCTTTTTTTCTTTTCCTTTTTCTTTTCCTTTTTCTGTTTGAAAGGGATGGGGGGGATCTTGTCTCTTTCGGTTTTCTAAAATATTAAGAAATTGAAATTTGGTGTTTTCTCCAGAGAGGAGAAATTAATCTTAACATTATGTCATTTTCAACGGACTTGTCAGTCAATCAGTGATTCATAAAATCCGGACGCTTCAAGTGTTTTCGACTCGACTCGGTCAAAGGAACAATTGATAAATTTTCCCTTCCGGACGGCTCTCGGCTATTTGGGTTTCCGCCAGTAATATTGCTATCTCATGAACTTGAGTTAACAAAACTATGGAAAAATAAACGAAATGGGACATAGAAAATGGGACACGGGAATGAGAAAGATGGGCGATTTAAGTGGAGTGTCTCGAACCTTGTGTTGTTTTCTGCAACTCCGCAACCCAGGTTTCATCAAGTCATTAACAACAGCCTCCTTTCGCTTTTCATCCTCGTCCAGGTCGGGAATGTAGTAAAACTCGCTTTCCAAGGGTTTGCCTGCAGCGTCTTTACCTTCCCGGCTCACTTCCCCAATGCAAGCGACTGTGCCGATGATAGATTTGATCTCCGGGATAGAAAAAGCGCCATTACTTGAAGGGGCCTTCTTCCATAGCTCTGAGGGGAGTTGGCTGATAATCGTCGAGAGTGGGGTTGATGACAATCGAGAAAATGCGAGCTGATTTACAACGTGGTTCTGTACTTTATGCTTGAGAGTATGCTGGTTATCCTCGGTTTTGGCAGGTTTAGTTGTGGTGGTGCTCTGGCGGGGTGAAACAACATGTTTTCGAGTATTGACAAGGGGAGATCGAACAGGAGAGGTGCCTGCGTTGAATGAAGCCATACGGGGAAGGATATTATCCCCAAAGGGGCCAAAAGAATGGACGATCGGGTCGTTTTCTTCGTCATGTTCTGATAGCTCTTCGACCTTCCCATCGCAAGAGCTAGTCATGGAGTTCTGAAGATTCCCATTATTGCAAGGGCTCGAAGCTACCTCTATAAGCTGGGAGACGGACTTGAAATCCTTTTGACGAGTGGGAGATGGTTCATCTTCATATACAACCACGGCACTATGCACTGAGCGGCTGGGAGTCAACAAAGGGGTTTCAGAAGGTTGGAGAGCTTGAACAGCAGGAGACGGAGATACTGGGGAAGCGAGTCGTCCACGGCTTCGTAGAGGGCTGGTTGGGAGCGGGTGCGAGGCAGTACGAGGTTTTCTCACGGGGGAACTCTCTTCCCAGGTCTGATCGGACGTAGTAGTCGAAGCAGAGTCCTTTCGCTCGTGCCTGGGCCACTGGACTAACACTCGTGCATCTTGCACGTCGATCATTACATCTGCGTCTTTGATATCAGAGGTGAAAGTTTTGCCCTTGTTCAATTCATAAGTTTTTCCTTGACAATGCAATTTGATTCCATTCCACCCAGTACAAAGAATCTCAATCCTATCTCGATCAAACGGGTTTGTCGAAGGCTTATATGTGGCTTGAACATGGATTCGCGAAATCAATCGACTGGCTGACAGTTGAAAATGGCAAGAGGCGCTTGATCTACCCATCAGAATGGACTCCCCTGACAGCGGTAGCGTTACCGAAGGCACAGTCGCTAATGGAGCTCTTTCAGAAACCATTGAGTGTGTTCGCTTAAGGCTCGGGCGAGCTGCCTGCACGCGAGGAGGGGAGGAGGTCAAGATTGCGGTAGAAGAGGTGGGAACTGGGGTTGGATATGTCGACGCTTCATCACCGGACTCGCGTGCCAGACGTTTATAGGGACGAGGCAAGGACGGAGAAGACGAGGGTTCGAAGGCCGGGAGAAGAGAGGCAGGCCTCTTCACGCCGGCGATGGGAGACAAGAGGGTGTCTGCTCTCGGGGGAGAGGACTCCATTCTGAGCAATGAGGAGCCGGAACACGTATTAGTCGAGCAGTTTATCCCTTCTAGAACCCTAGTCTCTGAAAAAATCGCGTCGAAGTCCACCAATTGCTCGTGGAACGGGCTATATAAAAAGAGGCTCACGCTTGGAACACTTTTAAAGTAGAAAAGACAAAAGCTTAGAACAAATGATATAATAGCAAATGATAGGACAAGAAAACCGAAAAGAAAAGCAAAAAAGAAGAAATACAGGAACCTCTCAGGAGGGAGAGGGCAGAGAGAAGAGAGAATTGGCGGATAGAGGAGGTTGTGTGGGAAATGGAAGCAGAAAGATGAGTGAGCAGACGCCAGGGCGAGAAGCACACGCTTGCTCGACTCTACGCGTGTCAACAGCTCCACCAGCCAGGGCTCGCGGTGCGCGGCTAAAAGCACTGCAAACAATAATGGATAGCAAATAGACTGCAGGAGCCGGAACAGCCCAAAATATAAACCAGCCTCTCTTCTAATACTCTCAAGTCCGACAATATTAAACCTTCCCTGTGAATGTCTTCTCTTCATCCACATCACTGGCAGTAAACAACCCGCCCCGGCTTGCTGCTAAGCGTGTATGGAAATCACGTGAAATTTGGTTTGCAATTTTAAATTGACGCTATTCCCTAACAGGATGTTCTAATTTTGCCCCGCTATCACGTGCTCCGATCTGATAAGCAAAAAAGGCGAAAAAAACCACAGCCAGCAAGTTATCTTCTACAGCAGAAGAATGGCGAAAATATCAGGAAAATAATAATACATCATTAGTAATACAAACAGCACCCGTAGACTATAAGAGGGTTACTCTGTGGATACCTGTGCTGTAACCGTCTAGTCGCATCACCACGTTTGTTGACTGTGCGTTGGTGCTGACCTGTCTAGATAGATATACGGAGTATATCCATCCATATCTATATCCGCACTCGCCCTCTCTCTAGATCAACTACCCACAGCATTTTTGGATAGGCCCTATTTATATGAACACTACTTCTCAGCAGAGAAACGTTACAGCCCTCGATCTTATTCTGGCGACTCTCATTTCGGATCCTAAGCCGCCTCCAACGCAAAATATTAGAACGATTTAATGGGAGAACCTACTATTACCAACCCCGCGCGGGGAGTTGCGCCGAAAAAAGGTGAAGACCTGGCTTTCATAAAATAACTATTACTCTCTCCTGATTCCTGTATTGACAACTTTACTGCAGTATGGACCACTCTAATCACCAACTCCGACTACCTCCCGGGCCTCCTCACCCTAGACTACTCACTGAAAAAAGTCGGCTCCAAATACCCCCTCGTAGCGCTTTACACAGACTCCTTCCCACCAGAGGGACATTCGGCGTTACAAGTGAGGGGCATCCCAGCCAAGCATATCCCTTATCTCCTCCCTGCCGCCCACAAGGATTACAGTAATGACACCCGCTTCTACGACTGCTGGAGCAAGCTAACTCCCTTCTCGCTTGTGGAATATGATCGCGTCGTCCAGTTGGACAGCGACATGCTGGTGCTGCGCAACATGGACGAGCTGATGGAGATGGAGCTGGACGATCCAGCGCTGAAGGGGGAGGGCCTCCGCGTTTTCGCTGCGAGCCATGCGTGCGTGTGTAACCCGTTGAAGAAACCGCATTATCCCAAAGACTGGTTCGCCGTTCCAAACCCCTTGCCAATTCCGCAAAAACCATACCTACCCAATACATGAAACAGCCCCCCGTTAACACAATCGCCACAGGATCCCATCCAACTGCGCCCTGACAACCCAACATTCAGACCCTACCAGCGCGCAAACACAAGGCGCTCCCGCAACCGCTGGCCTAGCCGTGCTCAACGGAGGCCTCCAGGTCGTCAATCCTTCTACCGCTATTTACGAGAAAATCCTCGCCGTCCTGCAAACCCCGTCCTCAACATCCAACTACGCCTTCGCTGACCAGTCGCTGCTCTCAGATCTGTTCCCGGGTCGCTGGGTCCCGTTGCCGTATATTTATAATGCCCTGAAGACGTTACGGTGGGAAGGGGTGCATAGTGCGATCTGGAGGGATATAGAAGTTAAGAATGTGCATTATATTTTGAGTCCGAAGCCGTGGGATGAGAAGGAGGAGGAGAAGGAAAAGGAGAAAGCGCAGGTAGATGAGACGCACCGCTGGTGGTGGAGGGTTAATAGAGAGAGATTGGAAGAGGAGGAGAAGAGCGGGATAAAGGCGGATGGTTTTTAGTAAGTGGTTATTTTTTTGGATATTGTTGGATATCTATTGCTCTTTTTTTTTTTTCTGTCCCCTGGCAGCTTGGACTAGAAGATACCCTTTTAGCTCTGATTTTATCGATTTTGATACCTCGGGTTCGGATAGAGCAATTGAAAAGATTGAATGAGAGATTATATAAATTGATATTTCACGCTGGATATCTCCTTGTAGGTTAAAAGCGCCACATGCGATTTGCCTGGCTCTACATATTACCTCTAGTTATTTTCCCAAATGTGAACAGAATTCTACATGGCATCATATTATGGGACTAACCATAAAATCTTATTTTCCGCCAAGCCCAAATTCCCAGCTCCCAATTCCCGATTCCCGTTAGCATTCCAATTCTCATTTCCCAATAACCAAAAGACAGACGGATTTAAGAACACTACTGAAGGGAAAAAATCATAAATAAATCAAGAAGCGCGGACAGTATCCCCAATTGGCTTGCCATGATACCACTGGGTAAATGTTTTGAAAGCTGCATCGTTGCCGTGAGTGAAATCGTACAGCTTGGTTGGACGCACGACCAGAGTCTCATCCTCGAAATATACTTCGAGTACTCGGGCTTTGAATCCCATGAGCGATATCAACAAAACCTATTAATACATTTGTTAGTGTACTGCATCCTCAAAAAAGGTCGGAATGAAGTGATCAAGAACTAGCTGCTAATGTGTATTTGTTAGATCCCCTGAGGCAACCGCGGCCACCGATAGGGGCTTACGCCGCAGAAAAAGATGCCACGTAGTAGCTAGATTCATAATAGTAACAACCAACTACTCCGAATACTACCAACAGTATTCGCTTTCATGTAGAGGGGAAGGTAAATAGACATGTATTTGTACATGTACTGTACATACCGGCGAGATCATGTGAGAAGCGAACCGGGCCTGGCGAAACTGCCCATGCATAATTTTGAGGACGGGAAGCAATTCGCCGCGGAGGATTGTGGATTCTGTGGCCATCAAGCTATTATTGTACATGACTCCTTTGACGTGTGGGTGGGTCGAGCCATCCATATCAGATAGGCGGTAGAAGCCGTATTGGGGTTAGTTAAATTCATATAAGCCCGTGAAAGGGTATTCTCCGACACTTGATACAAGTTAGGTGGATGAAATGGTAGATTCAAAGAATTTGATGGATTTGCGTAAAATACCATTTCTCAGTCCAAGGAGCGCTATCCACTTTGCAATCCTCAATGCACGTGCTGATGTAATCGCAGAGGTATAGATATAGATTGATTTTTTAGGCGCGATCCATAGGCCGGGTGAAAGCATCTGTCGTTTCATCATCTAAGCCTCTGTATGGATCTCTATAGCTATCGTCATAAAGCCCTGGCATCAAATCTTCGCGATATGCAGCGAAAAACCTCGGTCTGTCGGGGGTGAGGCTTCGTCCAAAATCATGGGAACAACACGAATACTGAGCTATTCTAGTTGCTCCGAACCCAATTCATGATCTTGAAGGGCCCGGACAGCTCGCCCAACTTTCACCAAAGCTTTGCGCATGTCCTGGTGGGCGGGTGTCCGCACAACCGGTTCTGACATGATGTTTATAGTGGTCGTCGTCGTGATATTCAATCCGATGGTGGGCTCGAAAAGTAATAGAGGAGCTGTAGAGCTTTGTTTGTATCACCTTGTGTTGACTAGGTTGCATCATATTGGCAACTGAAAATAAGGAAAATGGTTCGAATGATGAAACGGATGAAATGAAATGAAACATCAAAAGTTGGACGATTCCTTCAGTCATATCAAAATGATATTGAATAATTTATGCTCACTAGCGCTCTAGCCGACCCCTGTCAAAACAGCAACAAAACAGTACTCTTCAAAGAGAATCAAGTCACCTATACCCTCTCACAAAGGACGAGCAGATTGTGAATTGCGCCCTCGTCATCTTTTTAAATGCATTGACAATTCATTTCAATCTCCCAAACAAATGGACCCTATTTATTATCTTGGCACGATCTCTTCGTGAGGGGCAAGGGGGCCAAGTGCGAGAGCGAGAATTGATTGAGGTTGTTCAAGGTTTCTGATAGTCTTTGGTTACCACTGGTTTTTGCTGATGGATGAACAGTGGGAGAGGTTGTTGCTTCTGGTTTATTTTATGAATGTTATTCTTTTATTAGAGATAGATTGATAGATTACATTTTGATATTTATTTCTTTCCGCGTCGCTCATTTGTTTTTATTCCAAGACAACAAAGCAATCGCAATATGAAAAAGCCTTATATTCAAGAAATACTAAAAAAGCTCATCTCCTTGTGTCGGTAGGCCTCCCTATAAACAATATGAGACTCTGCGATCCTTGCGTTCATTTTAGAGAGCTGCCACTCTGATATCAATAGAATCACTCGCACACAGCCCCACCCACCTCCAAAACATTTTTGTCAGATTCTAAAGGTGAAGCTGATCATCTTAGTCCCCCAGAGATAATACAATACGATATTGTGCAAGACACTGAGGCAAAAGAGCGGTTGGTTCCTCATAGTGGGATCTGTTGCGGTTGAGGGAAAAGGGTCCCCGCGCGTCAAACGCGCTGTCTGCGTTTGTTAGGTTTAAGCTAAGCTGCCCGGCGCTAACGCTAGCGCTCAGCTCCCACCTGGGAAGGCTGGCGCAAATTTGTACCCGCTGCTCCTTCGTGAGTGAGTGGTGAGCACTGCTGTGCAAAGCATCAAAGCATTTTGAGATAAATGCACAGAAAACACCACAAAACTTAGCTATTGAGTTTTAAAAGATATTTAAGATATCTCTTAATATTAACAAGCTCTTTCATTCTTCTTTCATTTGAAAATATAACATGAAGAAAGAAAACACATGAGAATTGGCACATCAGTGATGCTTTGCAGTGGTGCTCACCACCCACCGATTGAAGATAGTGAGAGTGGCAGCCTAAAATATTTTAAAATATTTTAGAGAAAAAAGTTGTTAAGTTTTAAAATGAACAGTTTGGCCCTTCATCATAGCAACAAAAAAAAAAAAAAAGAAAAGAAAAAAGAAAAGAAAAAAGAAACAAAGAACACTAGAAACGCAGGTATTGGTATAATAAATGACCTAAGAAGACAAGTAGGAAAATAAATTAAAAAAAAGACTTCGAGTTAAAAGCGAGGTAACATAACATAATAAAAAGGAGTAATAGTAATAAGTAAATAGTTTTCCTCCCGAGGCAGCAGGGTGGAGGGGGTTGGGGGGACGTGTGCCGGAAAAGGAAAGCTTTTATTGTGTGCATATGACACCGTCCACCATGCCATCTCAAGAAGAGCAGGAGAAAGGACGGGGCGGTAAGCGAGCGGAGAGACAGAGGCGATTTTGTGAAAAGTTTTGAAGGAAGAAGAAAGGGGGAAAGAAGAATATAAAACTGGTAAAATGGCCTCGTTGATTCATATAGATTGTGATTGTTCAATCTCCCCTATCCCCCCACATCGTAGAAAGCGAGTTTTCTTTGGCCCTTGGAATTGACATTGCTGGGCTGGAGCGTGAAAACAAGATAGACGAAAAGGAAAAGAAGAAAATTAGTCGCTGAACACATAGGTTGCAGTGCCTGATCTAACGTTGACCTATAAAGATAAAACGAATTATGTCGTCAGCAATGGAAATTTCAAAATGTGGGATATTCCTCACGTTGGTGGTGCACGTGACTAGGGGAAAGGGACAAAAAACTTACGGTGCACCCATCCTCATTGGATCCATTCGCGTCCCAGAACAAGCCGTTCTCATACTTGCACTTTCCACCCAGATCACTGCCTTGGATCTCAATTTTGAAGTCAAGCTTCGCGTTGGTGGTTGGTTTGTTCTGAAAAATGGAGATGAAAGTCGCTCCATCCCGCTTGCCAACGCCCAAGTTGATAGGAGCGAAGTTGCCGATTGGGCGGCTTCCATCACCCCATTGGCAGCCCTCTTGGATCGAGACTCCCTTGGGGTTGACGTAATACTGAGCGGAGGTGGGCTTATTCTCCCAGACATAGTAGCTGCCAGCATCAGGGCATGTTAGCGGCTGGGTGGAGCCTGGTGTGGCAGAAAGTGGGACAGTTTCGGATTCAGTGCCTGAGAGGGATTTGTTAGAACATGTTTATTTGATTCCGAATGTGAAATGGGATGACAGTATGATAACTTACCAGGGTAATCGGTACGGCAAACGGCAACGACCTTGTTCATAGTATTCTTGACCTCGACGCCACCGGCACCCTTCATACAAAGCTTCTTAGAGAGGGATGGGTTTGTGAGGCGGAGCTTGCCACCGGAACATTCCAAGCCACCAACCGACTGGCCAGTCGCACCTTGAGTCGAAGGCCACTGGGTCTTTTGGTAACCAGGAGGACAAGCGTAAGAGCACATGGATCCATCCTCACACCTATCACCCTCGATGCCGGTGCGAATATCGGTAACTGAGGAGTCTTTCACGGTGACATATTGAATACCACTCCATCCGCCAAGACCAAGCCAGTCCAAAGAGATGGCGCCGTAATCCGACGGGAATTCAGAGCAGGAAATCTTTCCGTCAGGGAACTCGCTGTCGAGCCCGGAGCCGCCCATTGGCGGTGGTGGTGGTGGTTTGGGGATGGAAATGGGGGGAATTTCCACCTTTGGGATTTCCACCTTTGGGATTTCAATCTTAGGAATTTCAACCTTAGGAGGGTCAATGCTCGGGGACGGGGTAGGAGTTGGTTCGGGCTTCTCGTAGAATTCACCCGCCTTGAGCGCGGTGACTGAGGGTTGTGGAGCGCAAGCGTCGTCCGAGACAGCTGGATCGGCCCACTGCAAGGACCCATCTTTAATACCTTTGCAGGCTTCCTTCCCGTCAATAAGTTCACCATCCAACTCATACGCATAGACGGTTGGTCCAGCAACGACGACGACTTCGGTTGCGTCTGGGGCGCGCTTCACATGATGATGGCGATGGTGATTGTGTCTGTGAGGCTGGGCAGCGGCTAGGGAGCCGGCCGCAGCGACGGTCAAAACAACGGAAGCGGTAAACTTCATAGTTGGAGTCTTTTCTGTTCAAACGACGTCAAGCCGCACGTGTTGAGAGTAAGGACTGGCGCGAGGTCTCTCGGAGACCCCTATTTTCTTGTCGGGACGGACGAGAGCAACAAGCTGAGCTCCCAGGCGACAAAAGCGTCTATTCGAGATGGCCATTGTTAGAGCGATAACTACTAGTTAAAGGGGGTGGAGAGAGATGTCAAGACGGGGCCCCATTCGAAGTCTAGGAAAGACAGAGCGCAACGATGGTAGGGATCATGTGCCTCAGGATCTTTCCTGGGTGGTGGTCCGTCTCAGGCGATGTGAACTTGCATCGCAAAACAGGAAGAGGAAATCATCAACATCATAGTACTAGCACAACGTACACTGGAAATATCAAATATCAACAGTCAACGACACGGTCAATCAATGTGGGCTCCTTTATACAAGCTGGAGTAGCGGTGGTAGAGACGGGTTCGATTCGTGCGGGCTAAGCAGTCGGCTGAGGGAACGTGAGGATGAATTGACCAGGGAACGGACTGGGTGCTGGGGGAGCCTGCCGGAGAGAGTGCGGAAAGCAAGACACAGGAGCTGTTGAATTTTAAATTTCCGAATGAGCGTGAGAGGAAGACGACACGGTCTTCCAAGTGGGAGGGAAAAGAAAAGGCACTGGAGGAGGGTGAGTAGCAGAGAATGGTGAAGGTGACGGAAGAGAGTGTTGAGAAGAGCGAGCGAGGAGACGGAGACGGAGACGGAGACGGGAGCGAGGAAGGAACGGTAAGCGAGAGAATAACAACAATAATACGGTGCCTGGTAATGTCAGTACGCCCGCTGTACAGGAGATACAGTACATTGCACCCCCGTCCCTCTACAAATACACACACAACCCCTTGTCAGTGCACGTAATAACCTGCGTATGCCTTCATTACAAGGCTAGAACCCTTGGCGGTTACTCAGGTGTTACCGGATGTGGTACCTCGCAAATTCGCAATAGACACAGCCAGACCGCCGCCCCATACCGCCCCATACCGCCGCCGAGTCTGATACGGTGATGCCTAGGCAGCCTCGCTGAGGTCAGCCAATAATAGTATACATCCCGGCCAACGTGTGGAGACTCTGAGATGCGCGATTTAAGCCTCACCAAACATTTCAAGATTGGGCGAGGAAGGTGTGGATTGACGTGGCGCAAGCCCTGGAGGACCCCTTGAAGAATAATGTACGGAGTATCCAGGCTTGCGTGCTTGTTGGTACAGAAAACCCCTTTTGCATCTTACCGCAGCTATCTCTCCATCTGTCTGGCCGTTGCGTGCACAGAACTCTGTGGAGATACTAGAGCATTGTTAGGATGGCTAACTATTTATTATTACATATATGCGTATGTAAACTGGGTTAGGCCCAACACGTTACCAGTGAAGAATCCACATTTACAATAATAATACATTCGCAGTATGCAGCATACAGATTAAGTTACCCCCTTTCAAAACCTTAAGAAAAAGCAAGAAACTCAGGCGTAACAAAAAATACTTCCTGTAATAATATGTATTTTCTTATTAAAAGTTAGGCGTGGCTGTTAGTTTTTAGCTTTGTGACTATTGGCTGTCACTGCCACCGGTTGGCTGGAACCTCCCGGTGCCTGACCCACGAATCGACGAGCCCCGGTTGGGTAACGTAACTTGGGTTGGATCCTTGGAACCTTGGAATCAAACAATAACCTGCTGCAAACCCAGCCAATGAGGGCCATGACTTCAAGCGATGCTTTTTGTTTTGTTTTTTAATTATCATTTTTGGAGCTGTTTTTCACCCAACAATCAGTGTTATGTTTCGCAATAATGCAAAAAATGCTGTTTAAGCGCCAGGGTTTTGGTTCTTTGTCAGCTGAACTCTTTCCTCCGTTTCATCCCTTGACCTTGAACACAGTTCATTCATAGCTGGCAGCAGCACGGGAATAATGATTTCCAACCGTTATATCTAACTATCTCAACGACTGGTGCCAGCTGCCACCCCCTAATAAGAGCAAAGCGGGCGGCTTGCCAACCCCAGTGGCTGCACACTTGGGCACAAATGCACACCGCAGACAACAACAGAAACAATAATAATGAGGGGGACCTTTTTTGTAAGTGATGATCAAGCCAGACTAGAGTTTTTTTGAGCAGATTCCCATGAGGATCTGCAGTGGCCTCCCCTCCCACTTGCAAGTTTGCCCCAGGCCATTTTTCAGGCTCTGAGGGCCGGCGGCGGGGCTAGCGCAGGTCCGGCCCTTTTGTTTCTTCTTCTTTTCAGAGACACTACTCCGTCTGCGCGCATACGCTGTACGCAGGCGGAAACCAACTTATCATCCGGCGGTACGACGCTTACGAAGCCTTCTCCCCTTTTCTTGAGCAAAGCCACAGATGGCGCCACTCCGGATAATTATTATTCCAGGTCCGGGAGGCTCGGACGGACGGGAACCTCTTCACATGGCCCGTGCCAAGGTTTCCAATAACCGTGGTTTATCAAACTTGGGACTTCCAAGTTTTAGTAGTTTCAGTTGCCAAAAGATCTTTACTATACAATTCGTTCTTCTTCTTATTATTATTGGTGTGTTAATCGCCATATACGGATATGTATGGCCAGAGGAATCGAAATCTTTAGGCTTGGAAGTGCCACCCCTGCAGTTGCTAGGACAAACGGCTCATGTACTCCGAGTTGACCTTGGACAACCCTCGCGCCTATTTGATATCTGCCATATTGACTAGCTTAGGACAATCACATGGACTTTTCCTTCAACACTTGCTAAAATATTTGGTTGCTTTAAATACGCTTATCCCATAACTACCGGAAGAGAATGCGGCACGGCCTCTACTCCAGTCAGCAAGCAACGCTTACCACCGCATCGCGCATCCCGAGGTGGCCCTGTCTGAATTGGGTGAACTCCTGAGAGGAGAGAGACCCTTGTCAAGTCAAGATTTCTGGATATGTAAACAATGATGTCGCCCTCATCTTTCCCTTCTTTAGCAACACTCTCAATAGGATATATGATCTTCTTCTTAGCACTCTTAACAAACTACAAGACCATTCGTCCCCATCATTGTTGCACATCAACTTTTCTAGTGATATATTTCGTTATATTTGTATCTATACTTCCATCTCTCGTTAGCATGGCTTCTCTATACAATCTTTTGGAGTATGGCTCTGATGAGGAACAACAGACCACCCCGGTTATCCCTGTCCCGAACTTACATAACTTCGGTAGCTTTCGTCATGGCAGGCGCTCTGAAGCGAGCTAATATATTCCCTATGGCCTGATGGGAGGATTTGCTGTGAAATTGATGGGAGGGGTGCGGGAGACTCGAGATGTCGACATTGCGTTCCAGGCCCCTGGGAAGATGCGCCACCTCTGAAGGGTTGTGGAAATTGAACCTCGATATGTACATACATACATGTACAACGACTTAAATGAGTGAACATATGCTTATTCGAGAGTTAGTTTGGTTATCCCCAATACAAAGCTTCTTAATATTATGAAGGTCTTTGTCCTCACCGGCCCCCCATATGACAACTGTTCAGAATCAATGCGCATCGAGGTAGATCTTATTGGAAGCGGTGAAGATACTCTGTGTCCAAAAATCAAAGATCATAATTCAGTATTCATTTTCTAACCAATATATCAGATCAGAATACTGTGAGACAGATATATTAACAATGAACATATAATAACAGTGATTATGAATTTATAAAAGTTTGTCTATCTACAATTGATGACAAAACAGACAACCAGCGCTCCACCACAAACTCGCTCAATTTTTCGAATAAGAAACCGCCGATAGATCCATCGAATAGCCCTTGATCCTACGAGCATTTTGACCCCAACACCAACCTCATACCAAAGCAGTCCGTGGGAGCTGAGCACCAATCGCCAAATCCTATCTGTCTCCACCAGTTCGGGAAATAGATCGATCTATATCATCAATCTGCTTTACTTACTACGTAGTAAAATGGCGGCTTTCATGTCTCGCTCTAGCGCTAATGATCTGCTTGATATTCAGCACCTCCTTCTGAATAATAGAGATGAAATCAAAACGTTTATCCACCGCTTGGACCCAGAAGCCGTTACATGTTTCTTCGAGACCGTAAGTCCTGAAAACCACGCTTATTGAAACACCTTCTTTGGGCGCTAAATCAAAAGAGCGAGTGGTTTCTTTTTTTTCTCTCTTTGGCTCTTCAGTATGTGGAATATTTATGGGCTACATTAAATACTGGCCACTGGATTCCGCCTCGGCTTCGTATCTGCGCACATGTCTGTCATTTTCTCGTTGTTTCGGTCTCTGAGTATATATTGTTAGAGAAACTAGAGTACTCTAGCTGTAGCTATGTAGCACCACTTGATTTGAGCTTTGTAGCTCAAATTGTGGATTGAATTTATGCGTGAAACATTATGCGTGTAATAGTGATGATAAGTGGAAAATCAACTTATCATGAAGTTTGAAATGCTCCGTGAGTATGTGCTGAGAATGATGATGTTTTCAATGTCATGTGAATGAACATGGGTGAGTACCGGGGTTCAATGCTCAGATAGTTAAGGTTTGCGGCTGCGGAATAATATTTCACCTAGTGCAATATCCGGAATAACTGCTTGACCGCACTCCGATGATTTTTTCACTTGGAGAACTTCGGGTTGACAGGACGGAGAGCCATTACTGAGGATATCAGTCGAAAGGAACAAGGCACAGGATAAAACGAGTCATGGCTGTGACTTCTGGTGTTCTCACCATCAAACCCACCTCTGGGACCCCTTACCAATTGAATAATGACCAGGTAGGTTTTTCTTTTCTCATCTTCGCCCAACTAGAGCGGAGCTCCAATGTAGAGGAGATTTATATGCTGATCGCGAGAGAAATATTGTCTATAGGTTACTCGGGCTTCATCCGCGCTTCTCCGGCATATAAAAGCGGAGGAGGAAAAGAAGGCTCTGGAATCGACGAAGAAGGACCTCCTGGCTAATAACGACGATGAAGACGACGACGACGCCGAAGACTCGGTAGATGCTACTCCTGTCTGGCTCGTCGTCACCACCAAAAAACATATCGTGGACAAAAACCGATTAAAACCAGGCAAAATCCCTGTCCCGCACTCCCTGAACACCTCCCCTTCTCTCAGTGTCTGCCTCATAACAGCCGATCCACAACGCGCGGTGAAGGATGTAATTGCCGACCCTCAATTCCCAGCAACCTTGTCGTCGCGCATTACGAAAGTCATCGGCTACACTAAACTCAAGACTAAATATAAGAGCTTCGAGAGTCGACGACGGCTTCTATCGGAGCATGATGTCTTTTTGGCCGATGATCGGATTATTATGAGGTTGGTGGAGACCCTCGGAAAGATATTTTACAAATCCAGCAAGCGTCCGGTCCCGATTCGCATTGCGGAAGTGCAGAAGGTTGGAGGTAAAAGAGTGAAGAAGGAAGATAGGAAGAGACCACCAACCGATGAGAAGTATTCTGCTGTGGCATCTCCGGCTGTCGTTGCAAAGGAGATCGAGAAGACTCTGGCCAGTGTCCCTGTACATTTGGCGTCTGCCGCTACGACTTCTGTACGTGTTGGTTCTGCGAAATTTACTCCAGAGAAGTTGGTGGAAAATGTTGAAGCCGTTGTTCAGGGTATGACAGAAAAGTTTGTTTCGAAGGGATGGAGGAATATCAAGGCTCTACATCTGAAGGGTGCGAATACAATGGCGATGCCCATTTGGCTTGCGAGTGAATTATGGGTTGATGAAGGTGATGTTCGAGAAGATGAGGATCCCAAGGCTATTGAAGGGTCAAAGAAAACAAGCAAGAAGCGCAAATCGACTGGGGAGCTGCAACCTATGCAGTCGAAGAAACCAAAGACTGCCGAGAAGGAAGAGGATGACGATGCTGAATTGATCGCGTCGAGGAAAGCCAAGCTTCAAGCTCAAAAGGCTCGAGCTTTATCAGACGGTGATAAGGTCAATGGGAGCAAGGCCGCCGTCGCCACCGCTCCCGAAGGGGCTACCACCTCTAGCAAAAAGAAGCGAAAGTCCGTTTCAAAGTCCTGATGATGGGTTTTCCTATTTTGTGTACACATGTTCAAGTATTGTTGTTCTTAGATTGAGTTCGGCGTTCTTTTGTGTAGTGCCTGCCGCCTCCAATTTTTAGGAAATGATAGTTTATCGGGCGAAGTTTCGATACCCATAATAACAAAAAAGTCATTATCGAGCGTCAGACATTTTCTATGATTATTCGACTGCAACCAATTTTGGTCAAGTAATTAATTAATTGTATCTCATGTTATGCTCGCCGCTCTTGAGCGGCTTTCGGCCAAATCAGCTTTGCCGTGAATTTCCGAAGGCCCGCTTAGTCATCCAGATTCCGGCGTTCGGTTTGCGGCAAACAACTTCTCCCCTCCGAAATATCATGAGAAACAGGAAATCCAAAACGCAAACCAACCCAATTATACCCATTGATCTCACCTGGCAAGGTTCTCTTGTACGAACCAGGAGGCTAGGAAAGAACCAAACGATATTGAATTCAACGGAAGCTTCCTCCTGTCTTACCATCAGCCATGAATTCCGTTCTTGCTAGAAACTCCATTCTTCGGGCGGCCGCTCCGCTGCGACCTCAACCCGTTTATCGGTCACAGCTCTCAGCACTTTCCCGGCTTCTTTCTACGCTTGCGGTTCTTGAGCAGCGCGATGGAAAGATCCAAGGTTCCTCCCTCTCGGCGATCACTGCTGCACAGAAACTGGGCGGCTCCGTAACTGCTTTTGTGGCAGGCGGTGGTGTGAAAAGCAGTGCGGCGGCAGAGGCTGCAAAGATTAAGGGTTTGGATAAGGTTGTTGCCGTGGACAATGCTGCTTATGACAAGGTATGCCACGGTTTTTGTCCGTTGCAAATGAACAGATAGCAGCCTGTTGTTACTTTAGACAGCTTCAATTGTTTTTGTAGTTAGAGAGGCTGTCGGGTTACGTTCAATGCTTGTCCCGGTGACCATTTGAGATAACCAAGAGAAATGAATATATGCTAACCATGTACCTGCTCTGCGAATATAGGGATTGCCCGAGAACTATGCTCCCCTTCTTGTTGAGAATATCAAGAAGGAAGGATTTACGCACATCATCGCTGCTCACAGTGCTTTTGGCAAGAATGTTTTGCCCCGAGTTGCAGCACTCCTAGACGTCCAGCAAGTATCTGATATCACGGCCATTGAAAGCGAAGATAGTGGGTTGGCCCCATACCCCATGATCATGAATGCTTTTATTATTGTGCTGACTCCCATTTCATAGCTTTTGTCCGACCCATTTATGCCGGTAATGCTATTCTGACCGTCCAATCCACGGATCCCGTGAAGGTCATCACAGTCCGAGGAACCGCATTCCAAGCAGGCGAAACAACAGGGGGCTCGGCAGAAATCATTGATGGTGCCGATCCCAACGTACCATCCCCCACAGAATGGGTATCGGAGGACTTAGCCAAGTCTGACCGCCCTGATCTTGGCACTGCTTCCCGCGTCGTCTCTGGCGGACGGGGTCTTAAATCGAAAGAGGAATTCGACAGACTGATGCCGCCACTCGCGGATGCTCTGGGCGCTGCCATCGGTGCCTCTCGCGCGGCGGTTGACAGCGGTTTCGCGGATAACAGTCTTCAGGTCGGCCAGACCGGTAAGAACGTTGCGCCTGAACTATACATTTGCGTGGGTATCTCTGGAGCCATCCAGCATCTTGCCGGTATGAAAGATAGCAAGGTCATTGCTGCAATCAACAAGGATCCCGACGCGCCGATTTTCCAGGTTGCAGATGTTGGATTGGTAGGAGATCTATTTGAGAAGGTACCCGAATTGACTGAGAAGCTGAAGAAGTGAAAATAGCTGTATTTTGTTCTCCATTTATTCTTTGTTTTACATATATTTATATTTTTATGGTTTTCACTTGTTTCCTTTGGAGTCATTGATAGCATTCCCACGTTTTCTCCTTTCTTTCTCGCTTCCTTATTAGAGACAATTTTTCTTCAGAACAATTGCCTGTACTGAAATCGCTGTTCATACTTATGTACAGTACAAACAAAGATGCATTGCATGAATAAAAGAAACAGTATTCTGGAGTTTTGGTAGGTGATTCGATCGGTATAATTTCCAAATGATTTGCATGTCATCACAACAAGACGGTGTCGTGGTGTAGTTGGTTATCACGTGAGTCTAACACACTCAAGGTCCCCAGTTCGAGCCTGGGCGACATCATCTCTTTTTGCGAAAAAAAATAAAATATATATATATCTATTTTCAATTTTTCATATTTACCTCCAAGCCGGGCATTTTGCTTTCCCTCCCTTCATTTTTTTCTTGCTCTTTCCTTAGTTGAGTATCTTTTAAAACTGTCCTTCATACAAAAGGAAAGAAAACAAGAACAAAAAGCACGTGACATAAAAGCCCTAACTAGAATCATTTTTTCTACCGTGCCGACACCGTCAAGATGACGAACAACTCGATGGAATCCATGCAGAGAAATACAAAACAAAAACAAAAAAAAAAGGAATCTGACGCTGTCCAGGCTCGAACTGGAGACCTTGAGTGTGTTAGACTCACGTGATAACCAACTACACCACAGTGCCTTTGCTTGTGCAGGCCTTTTACCCTTCATGGGACAGAAGAAATTTTGGTCTGGTGGGCCAGCATTCTTCGTTCGGCTTTTGGACGCTTGGGTTCAGAAGGCCGAAAGACAATTTCTACCAGCGTGTTCAGGCGACTCGAGTCAGACTGATTCATGCATGCTGAAAGGAGGCATACGAGGGCGATAAGAGAAGAAGCGAATGGTGCATGTATCTTGTGGGGAGGACTTCATGAATAATAGGCTAATATGCGATTTTGAAAGTTTCTTGCATCAATCTCCAATTGTTTGTTTTCCCTCAGCTATAGATTTTTTTTTTCTTCGTTTCTTCAAACTTCAAGACGAGTTCGCTCGCCCTCATCTTCGTCTCTTGTTGCACGGAATCGAGAAAAGGAGACGTTTCATTTCCCAAAAATGAATTGGATAACTAACTAATCAATTCCAGAGGTTTTCGACGTCATAATCAAAAATCCACAAGAAATAAGCGTCCTGTCAGCGGGGTTGGTGCAGGGCTTGGGTGAGTAAGCGCGGCGCTAACATTCGCCGAAACCAATCTGCGTCTTGTTTAGCTTGTCGCTGTCCAATATTGGAAATCAACACCTCAAACGAATACGGGATGTCGAGTCAGCAAGAACGGAGGGTGTGGAGAAATCATCTCGAAGTCTTCAGTGATGGCTATTGGGCCCTTCTCGCGTGCGCAAGCGTGGAGAGATCTTTGGTCAACACACCTGGTCGCTGAGAAGTCTACTTGTTGTCTGGCACAAGGCAAGGTGGAAGGTTGGGACGGGCTCCTCGCCCTCCCAGTCCGACATCGAACAGCGGTGTTGATTATGAAACTTTCATTTCTCGAGCCGCCCTTTACTATGGAAATCAATGAGTCACCCTAGTCGCTCAAGAGCGGCCTGGGATGCACGAATGCGCCCGAAAAGACCTTGGCCAGAGGTTTGATGCTCTGCTATCGTTGGTTGATGCTGACGTAAATTGGGCCAGCCTGACAGTCTGGACTTCATCATAACATGCATGAATACGATTGGTTCCCTTAGGCACATTTTTTATGAGCTGTCCCAACGGGCTGGCCGGTTTAATTAGTTATGACCAGTTTCGAGTTTTTCATCGGTGCATCGGTGATCAAGAACGTCGACCCTTGTTACATGCGGTAAACTTGTGAGGTATGGGGGTGAAGACACAGTATAAGAAGAGGGTTCAATCCATCTCTTAACCTACATATTTCTTCTCTCCATCATCAATTCAAAGTACCAAAGCTCTGAAAGAATTCTCTATTCTCAAAGAACATCAAAGAAGACTTTTCTCAACTTGACTTTATATACCCTCACGATATCTCAAATAGGATCATTTTCCTGAAGCAGCCATTCCTGTGCAACGTTTAATATCAAATCCTATCGCGTCCTGACGAGCTGCCTCTCTATCAAGCCGTCCGCAAAACAACAACGGAAATTGTTATCTTCATCTTTCGACGAAAATATCATTTTATCAGAAAATCCTAAACATGGCTTTGAACTCTTCCTCTAATCCTGCCTCCGTAGCGACTACAACTACCTCTACTCCTCGTGAGAGCTCTTCATCCTCAGTTCGAAGTTCATCATCCATCGCGAGAATGAAGGCCATCCTTCATCAGTCGGCAAAGAAACCCTGCCAAACAAAGACCCAAACAAGTTCGAAGAACGTCCCCACTATCATGGAGGCCCGTGCTTCATACTTCGCAACCAGATAGCCATCCAGACGCGATAGAGTGGCCTATATGCCCTGCCTATTTCGACCAGTTATCTGATAGATGGAATAATTAGTGAGAAATGACGTGTTTGGCTGGGAGCATGTTTGGTGTTGAGATTCCCTGTTGTGTCTATTTCCTTATTATGATACTTTCTTGTCTTTGTTTCCTGCCCTTTTCTGCTATTCCATCTTCATTTGTTATTTTCTTGTTACGACAGTATGCTGGTTCCTAAGGAGGTGTTTCATTGCCTCTCAGAAGGAAAATTCTAGTTTGCGAACGGGTGTGCGCCATATATCTTCCAACTTTAATTCTGATGCCTTGCTGTTCTCTTCATGTCTTTTTGCTCCTTGTTTTGACTGGTTCATTTTCATCTATAATGAACCACCTGATATTAACAATATTAAGAATAAGAAATCAAAATATCACATCTGATTTTACTACATATTTCCTCATCATGAAATATTTCACAGAGTAGCTAATCCTCTCAATGTAGAGAAATCTTTTGAAAAGTTTCAGCCTGGGTGCATGCAGGGCGACCAAATCCTTATTGGCCCTGATACTTGATCATGAGCAACCTTGAAAGTACCGTTCATGCAACGCGCAGGCAGAAATAAAAATTTTTTAAGTTTGAGCCCAGTGATCGTCACAGAAGACACGCAAGGTTCTGAACATGGTCCTATCCACTTCCTCTTACCTAGGTACATGTAACCACCAGTCGGCGTCGCTTTCGGGAATGGGTTGTTGACGGGACTTGACCGAACTAGCTCGGCTTCGGAACCGGGGGCGGCTTGGTGATCTAATAAGATGATAAGATCAAGCAGTATGCGTCAGTCAGCCCTACAGGGGTGTCAGGCTATTTCTAGGCGCTAATTCGGCCAGACACGACTCTGGATCTAGGTATAAGGGGAAGCTACTTCTCATGACCATAGGATTACGTGGGAGGTGTTCTAGAAGAATCTGATCTAAGATCCTGGAAGTTTGCGTCAACGGGTTTGAGGCTCTAGGCATGGAATGCTCGAAAGAAAAGCTGCCGGTTGGTGGGTTCCCGGCCCAGACTGGCGTTGCCAAAAGGAGCCCAATTTATATGCCGCTGTCTTGATTCTTTTTATCAGGCAGGCACATTTTTCACAGTTGTTGGCGGGAAAAGTCTCCGTTGCGCAGCTTGACAAACCGAAGCTATTTTCAAGGACTTACGACGAGGATCCGTCATGGTGGCGAGATACCTCCTTAGCATCGTGGGAACGACTGATTATGATTGAATCACTGTAAGTTATTGTAGAAACTGTGCAGATGCGTAGGTAAATAAAAAAGGTGCCTGGAGGGAACTCCCATGAATACTCCATACAGGATATCTCCCTCCTCAACCCCTATTGCATCTCTTAAACCTAGGCTGATCCTATATTTCATCCCCAACAGAAAGAATCCCGTGAACACCTGATGGGATGTGCTGAGGATACGCCATTCCACCTGCCACCCTCCGAATGTCTCCCAGGGTATGGCTCCCAACAAAGCCAGATACTATCCGTCCAGGGACTCGTTTGCCAAAGTCAGTCATTGCCGTGGCACGCCAGCCCTCACCCTTAGCTTCGGTTGATGTGATGACCTGCTGAGGACCATTGAGATATCAAGTGGAAGCCTGGAAATGTACGATCAGCGAGAATAATAAAATTGGAAAGAAATACCACCTACCGCCTACAAAACAAAACAACTGGACGGCCTTCCTTTTGCGTGCCGCAAATCTTTATCCAGCGTTTAATTATAAGTTAGGTGTAGACGTGTAGAGCCTTCTATTTCTTGTGATGGAACGACGAGGGAAAAAGCCCCTGGCCGTCGACACAAGTTGCAACGAGCGGTATATGTGTTTGCTTCCCCGCCATACTGATTACTGCTGCACGCGAGAGCCCTCACTGCGGGCTCTCAGGCAGTGCACTCCATTCTGCCAGATCACATTGCCCATGAATATGCCCGCCGTGTCAGACATCTCTCCATGTATGTCTGTCTAGATCCATTTGCACCTGAGTCGGGCGTTCTCTAATTTTGGTAGCTGCCGTATCCGCGCCATATCCATGTGCAGTGGGATTGGATACTTGACCAATGGGTGTTTCGAACTCCTTTCCTGTAACGACGTAGTATATTAAGGAACCAAAACAAGCGATGTCATACTCATTTGATATGCCGCCCTCGTTGATTTCGTTTCAATATTTATATGTTCAGGGTCGTTGCCGAACGTTCGCGAGTTGATTAATTTTAGCGGCTGTTTATCCGTTCTTAAGAAGCTCGGTGCAGAAAAACCACCCATACGGACACACTTTGAATGTGCATATGGGATGGCAGCAACAGCATCCAGCGTCGAGTTTAGTTGCTTGGGCCTGTCACTTGCCACAAGCCCATCTCCTGCAGAATGGGGAGATGCGGGTGTATCTCAAACAACCATTCCTCGAATCCTAAATGTTCACGTATCCTTCTTTCGGGTTCTCGTAGACAATCATCTAGAGGGACTGATTCTTGTAAAGCCAGAAGGGACTGTCGCGCTCCGGAATGCACCTTCAGCGTACCAATTTTCAATTATTGAGCCAAGCCAAAGAATCAGCAGCTGGCCCATGTAGTTGAGTTGAATAGACCAAATTCGCGCTGCGGTTCGGTTATATCATCACATATCACAGCACCGACTTGGTTCCATACGTGGATAACTTACCGGGATTTTGCGTCTCTGAAATTTGCTCTCTTGATACCAATTTGATCCGTAGACCACTGCACCAACAGCAGGTTCAACAGTTATGAGAGCGGTTACCGATTTGACTCATGAGGCTGCGCGTATTCACGCGGGTGACACTGTATCAGCCCCCTGAAATTTCAATAATTTAACACTTACGTAAATAAAAAGCTGATTAGAAAATCACAAATCACAAATTAGTCCTAGGTACAAAATAGGTACTTTTGTTTGTTCATCTGGACCCTTTTCCCTCCACAGGAAGCTGACAGAATAGTCCATACTCAGGCATCAGATATAGATATGGTTCCTTGACGATGGATAGCGAATAACTTTCACACTCCAACCGTCACACAACTCAATTTCGCGTCATTGATATACACCCAGTAGCCACTAGCTGTGAGCTCGGGGAAAGAATGGCTATCCCCAAGCTTGCCCTCGACACGCACCATCCTCGCCCATCCTGAAACATCAACTCTGGCATGACGCCACTCCTTGGTTCCCATCAAAGCATCCTCTTTCCAGGATTTGCTTTCTGGAACAGGCGGCATCCCTAGTAGCGGGTTGATGGGGACATATGAAGTATTGATTGGCATGCTGAGTCTGGACAGGAGCGTTAGGGGAGAGAATTGGAGGACGACAAATGGTTGGTCTGGGGTGGACGGCAAGGATATTTCCACCCTGGAGTAGGGCATGGTGGAAGATGGCGTATCTGATGGGACGAATTTAAAACTCGCCAACTGGTTTTATTGTTTCTCTGTTAGCTGGACTAGCTCTATCAGATTCTCAAGACACCATCAAAAGATATTGGAATAGAATACATACATGTTTAGGGATATTCCAATTTTTGCGCCCTGCATTGCATTTAATACAATTATCAGCGAAATGCCAAAAGCGGGATGTAATACTGCGGGAAGAAGCAACATACCATTGTAAATGGATTCCTTGCGGGAAACATATATCCTCGTTACCCGCGGGTTGCTCGTTTTTTTACCAGGGACTTCAAACCATCCCGGGATCCACAAGATTTCATCATACGGACCTAACAGTCAGATGAAAAGGATGAGCAGTGTCTTCCTCCTCAACCATTCTCCCAGGAAGAATAAGAATAATGATAATAACAAAAGCAACCGCCTTACCGACGGGAGATTCTAGATATCTCACGATCATGACAGTGCATGCACCCCCCTTGAACTGACCGCTTGCAGCAGGATCAGCAAACGGCGACTGAGCTTCCAAGTCTGCGTAAGATGCGTCTGGAATTCCCTTTGCTCGACCGACGGAGCAGAAAAATTGGCTTTTCATGCCCAGCCATGGCGACGGTTTGTCTGCGAATGGCACATCGCTAGTTACCTGTGCATTTCCCTCGACACCTTTGCTCGTTGTTGATTCTGACATTTTAGGAGATATACCACCTGAGTAGTTAGTTCATCTCACTGAAGAACATTTATTCAAGCAAGATCCCCCCTCTGGAAACGATTTGAGGAATGAGCTGGATGTGCAGAGCGGAGAGATAGGGGCTGGAATCGGTAACTTAACTTCATGTTCCCTCGACAGCTATTCCACCGCTGTCCGTAATAGCTCTTGGCATTTTCTTTCAGGAATACGAATTTGTCTCATTTGAGGAAGCAGATACATACGAGCTAGCAGCTTTTTGCTTGGGACTTTTTTCAATGATATCTGATCAAAGCTGACATTTCGGACTAGATTACAAATTCCCGCAGCCTGTTTAAGCTTATAGGGTCCTGCTTACGCTTGGTGCTTGATCTACAGGGCTTTTGCTCCACTCCGGCAAAGCCCTAACTAGGGGTTGCTCAAGGGTCATGTCAGAATAATAACAGGAGGGTTCAATCGTCCAAAGCAGCCCAGCCTAAATCAGACAAACGCAGGACATGGAATATGTAGCAAGCTCGCTGATTTAGTGGGGAATAAATCTTCTGGAGATCACAGTAGATTCCCTATCGCGATTTTGGTAATAGGCCGTAAGGGTTTGGAGGGAGATAGGTAATCCCTTGGATTCAGGGCACATTTTTCTCTAGCTGTCAAAGAGGGAGATAAATGTGAAGAGTTAGCTATGGTTCGCGCGTAGAGTAATGAAAATACCTGCGTCGAAAATGACAGGCGTGGAGATGCACACCAACATGGCGCTTCAGTGGGTTTCGTAAATCTTCAGACTGATTGTTATGTGCGGAAATAGATGTCCGTTGTGTTCTTTGATGAACAATCATCACTTGCTTGCTGCCGGATGCGCAAGGGGTACAGGACTGTCAACTTGGAACTTCCTGGTGACACTTTAGGTACCTGATCAATCAAAAAGAAATATTCAAATACAAAGTCAAGCTCTTAAACAGCGAAAGTAATCTCATCAGCAATAACATAACGCTACTTATATGCCAAGTGGGCTGAATCGCGCTTCAGGGTATATGTAGTTTGCTAATCAACCGATTTTCTATCTACAGCCCCGATAATAACTCTTTCAGCGTCACCCGTTTACGGACGGCATTCGAATACCCTTCATGAAATCCAACCCATGCCGGATTATTCCCTGCTTTAGCTGGTGCAGCAGCAGCAGAACCGCCAGTACCACGAGAACCGGGCCGCGCTTCGTTCACGACTACTCGGCCAAAGAAATCACGTTTCGGTCCATTGAGCCTGGGTGGAAGCTTATATAGGTTTGAGCCATTGCGACCGTTGATTTCATTGGAGTCATTGTTGTCATCGCGAGAGAAATTGTCGCTTTTGGGTCCGTTTAACCTTGCCTGGCCTGCTTGAGAGCGCTGGCGGAGGATTTCTTTTTCGTATTCCTGCTGTAGGACCTGACGGATTGCGTATCGGACGGGTGCCGAAGATCCGCTGCCTTTCAGCTTGGAAAACATGGTTAATGTGTCGAGAGGTCTAGATGTGATCTTGTTAGCTATGGAATGTTCATATCGATTACAGTCGAGAGGCAGATGTGTAGGGTGAAATTTGTGAACGGGGGATAACACAGGAGAGACCTACGGCTCCATCCTGTAAATCCAGCCATCGTGGAAACCAGTTTCGCTCTCTACCCTTGTATTCTCAAATTTTACTCCTACACCACTCATTACTCTCACTGCCGACTTGACAAGTGCGCGTTCAGTGTCCTTGCGTACGCTAGCAACACCTCTTTGACTGCCGCTTCCACCAACAATCACAGGTTTTATTTCAGGAGCTAGCATTCTGGTGAGATTCGGAATGAGGTCGATGATAATTGATTCGGTGGAGCGGAACGTGCGAAGAAGAGGAGGGGAGAAGGTCGATTGGAATTCTGTTATGATGGCACGGTTCTGTTTCTGGGCTTCATAAGATGCGAAATCCGCCTTTGGGCCTGAAAAGGGGTGCTCGCCTTCGTTGTCTTCATTGTCCATTTGGGCCTTATGGCCATCCCAGTTTTGTCGGTTGGAAGAAGAAAAAAGGTGGTGGAATGCGACAACAGACTGGCTAAGATATGGATTGAGTTCCCAGTCTTGATTCGCGTAGACCTTGGATGATATCATGTCATGAAAATGCAGCCACTCGTAGGCGGTATTTGGTTTGGAGAGAATAGTATCATCTTGATACGTCTTGGTTGGATAAACAGCAAAGCACTCCGTAATGCAGCGGTCATATTCGCCTGCAGCATCAACCATTTCCCTTAGACGATTAATTGCATGATGTTTGCGAAGGTCAGAGACCCCAACAGGAATTTTGGCGTTGCCACCCAAAAAGGGGTCTTGGAAAGTTTGTGCAGAGATGGGTGCATTTGGGAAACCTGCGCCATCGAGGAAAACCCTCTCAACAATATCTTTCGTTCCGCCACGTCCTAACCCACGAGCTGATGAGCCATCTCTGGTCGCGTCGTTTAGGATGTGTTGCTCGACCCATTTTCTTGTGAGTCTGATGTCTCCTGTTACACTAGTAGCACGGAGTTTATGTGCTATCCATTCTCCAGCCACTAGAACCCCTCGAATATCGCCCTCCCCAACGCCGCGGTTGTTTGTACGGCGGTCCCTGCTGCTAGTCATACCCCACGAAGCTTCACAAAGCCGTCTCACTCCGTCTCCGTCACACGGGATTCCCTCCCTTTCGAATACAGTCTTCATTCGCAAAACCACCTTGTCCAGAGACGCTTGTCGAACATGGATAATTTCAGCGATCGAGGAAGATCGCAATGGGCGAAGGCTAGGGTGGTAAACATCATTGCATATCAGAATTAGCGGCCTAAGGAGGCGGAATTTGTCTCCCTTTCTCGACCCCCTTTTATGAGTCGAGGTAGATTCTGAGGCGTTGCTGGAATTCCTTTGGTCCAACATAACCAGATCAATCAATGCTTTCATGAAACCTCCCTCACCTCCACCACCCGAGCCACTTACAACGCCATCAACCTCATCAACAACGATGCAAACAGGTTTGCCAGGCTTTCGAATTCTTTTGCCACCAGCGTCGACGGACACCCCCTTCACATTCTCAGTGCCGACTGCATCTCGGATTCGACCCTTGACAACGTCTCGACTTCGTTCGTCACTCGCATTGATCTCGAGTACTTCATATCCTGCCTGCCTTGCGCATACGTGAGCGAGAGTAGTTTTACCAAGCCCAGGTGGTCCAGTGAGAAGTAGAACTTTCCGGTGAGCGTGTTCTTCGAAACTATTTGCCATGGGTGCTTTTGGTTTTAGCTTTGCTAGGCCTGGAAATACGATGGGATCCCACCCCTTAAGCCAGCGTAAAACAGACCGATGCGTCCGCTCATCACCAATCAGATCTTTAAATCGTCTTGCACGGTATTTTTCGGTCCACATAAGATTTGATTCTTTACTTGCCAGAGGAACATCAGCGATTTCAATAGATGGTTGGTGAGCAGGAAGCCGCGAGAGACGGGTGCTTCCCTGAGCATCTTCGATTGTGATATCGTCAAGTAGTTTGTGAATGTCGATTCCATAGTAGCTTTTCTTTGCTCTGTCTGGAGCTGTTATTGAACGTTCCGCAATTGTGTGCTCATAAGAAACAGGGGCAGCCGGCTTTCTCTTTCGCAGATTAATAACTTTACCAGAACACGTACGGATCGTCGCCAGTTCCTTCGAAGTCGCTTCCGCTTCCATGCGAGTCGGAAATAAGAATCTGGAGCTGTTCGCCTTCCCAATAGTATTGGGGACGGGTGGCGCACTCATATATAGAGGGTTTGTGCTCAATGCCGTATTCGATAGAGAGGCATTGCGATTCTTATCCTGGGATCCAGGGTTGTTGTTGAAATTGGAAAATGGGTGTATGTCGTGCTCGTCGTCCTCTTCATCAAGAAAAGGTCCTATTGTCCTATGGCGTTTAGGAGATAAGGCTGTAACAGCGTCGTCAGGCTTCCTTTTCCCTTGATGTGCATGCAAAACTCCTTTAAGCCCTAACAGCGACTCATTGTTGGAACAAGGTGGCATATCCATATTGATCGAGGGAGATAGAGAGGGAATTAGGGTCTCGGATGATTGATGTGGCGGATAATGCTGTGTGCATATTACCCAAGATATGTACACGGAGAGCTGCCTTGGTTGTTAGTTCTACTAGCAATTAACTTCTCCCATCTTGCTAGATCCAGAATCTTAGAGCAAGGCCACTCAAATTTGATGACCTGGTCTAGCTCAAGATAACATAGATATTCCGCGTACCTGTATATAACTTTACTCTATTCGCGGCGCAAAGGTTAACGCCGGATTATATCGTTCAGAAATCATGAAGCTGTATATCACTTAAACAATTTGCGCTCCTAAACCGAGGGTGTGATTATTGTTATTGTTATGACTATTTTTGTCGATACGAATAATTCGCAAACTGGCGTCGTTGAGCGATCTGATGCCGCAACTTCACGCACGCGAAAGCGCGTTGAAGTCGCGTTCCAGGCCCGGATTCCAATCGGAGGGCCGGCTAATAATTAATCCGATAACGACATTGTTGGATTTTAAGGGCTGCCGTACACTGCTTTACAGGCTAGCCCATATTAGGTTAAGGGAAAAGAGCCTCCGATCGCAAGTTTTTGGGCGAGTGATTTACTGGAGACAAGTCAGATCCGTGTACAAGTGGACGCTACAGGTATACCGACCGGTACATCCCCAGCCCATCAAGCTTGACATTGCGACTAGGCCCGCGTAATCGCCATTTTCAGAGCGCTTGAGTTTTCGCGTTTTGTTTTGCGGGTTTCCGAAGGAGAACGCTCCTATTCGACAGTATCTATCCCCTATCCTGCGCAGGCGGATAGCCTGGACCGACCAAGCCTGTAACCTTTTTATTTCTTTGTGCCACATCCAGAATGGAGGATCTAAATGCAACTTCAGGCGAGGTGGTTACCGATACCCCAGCCGTCACCGCTCCCCAGGATGGGCAATCGGTAACTGAGGCTCCCGCCGCCACACTTTCTCCTAGCCACGTCTCAGGTTGGTTGCGCCTGCTGCCATTATTGGGGTTTTAAATGTTTTGTGTGCATGCTTATCATACGCTCTGTAATTTAGGCTCGCCATCCAAACCAATTTCGCTTGCTAAAGCAGACCAAGACGTCCCGATTTCAGATAATCCGTTGGATGCGCCCGCATCCCCAAAGCCCCAGAACGAAGAGCTAGAAAAGGAAGACGAGAAAATGGGGGGAACGGATACAGATGCGAAAAAGGAAAACGGTGTGGGAGACGAAGCTGCTGAAAATTCCGCAACACAGCAACCACCAGTCGAAAATGTTGATGGCCAACCCGCGCAGACGAAAGCTTCCTTGGAGGCTTCAGCGCGCTCGCACCTGGTAGCCCAAACACACGCTATTATCCTTCCAAGCTACACGAGCTGGTTTGATATGAACACGATTCATACTGTTGAGAAGAAAGCGCTTCCTGAATTTTTCAATAGCCGAAACCGCAGCAAAACTCCTGCCATCTACAAAGATTATCGCGATTTCATGATCAACACCTACCGCTTGAACCCTGTCGAGTATCTTACTGTCACTGCCTGCCGACGAAACTTGGCAGGTGATGTGTGTGCTATTATGCGTGTGCACTCATTCCTTGAGCACTGGGGACTGATCAACTACCAGGTATGCGTCTGCAGTGCAATGAAGATGTATATCGTTTGGCTAACTTGCAATACAGGTGGATCCCCAGACAAGGCCTTCCAATATTGGTCCTCCTATGACAGGTCACTTCAGGGTCACAGCAGACACTCCTCGAGGTTTGCAACCGTTCCAGCCAGCTCCTAACGCAATCGTCACGCCTGGTAAACCCCACCCATCTACTGAACGAGCCGCATCTGCTACGCCAATTCCAAAAGGCGATCTCAATCTAGAGATTCGTCGCAATATCTATGACGAAAAGGGGAAAGGCATTACACCAGCTGAGGACAAGGAGAAGCAGACAAATGGCGAAGCCGCAGCCACAAACGGCACTGGCGGCGATTCTTCAATCAAGACAATGGAAGCTGCAGCGAAGGAACCAAAGAAGATCTTCCACTGCTATTCTTGTGGTATCGACTGCACACGGTTACGATTCCATTATGCAAAATCTGCTCCCGTGTCGACTAATCCCAATGCCCCCGATACCAAGTATGATCTCTGCCCGAATTGCTTCCTGCAAGGTAGGCTACCATCATCTCACCACGCTTCCGACTTCGTCAAATTGGAGGATAGTCCGTACACCACAATCCCAGATAGAGATGCTCCGTGGAGTAACTCCGAACTCCTCCTCCTTCTGGAGGGTCTGGAGAATTTCGACGACAACTGGCGACAGATTGCTCGTCATGTTGGCACACGCACATCGGAAGAATGTGTCATGAAATTCCTTCAGCTCGAAATCGAAGATAAATATTTAGAAGACACCCAGGATAGCTCTCTGATCCGCGCGATGAGCGGAAGAGAGCCCATTAGCCAACTTGACAACCCCGTTCTCTCCGTTGTATCCTACTTGGCCGAAATGGCCGAACCAGCGGTTGCAGCGGCCGCTGCCGGTCGATCAGTCGAGGAAATACGTCGCGAGCTCCAGAAACAACTCGACAGAGGCTTTGCAGGTACCTCACCTACGGACAATAAAGATAAGGATAAGGATATGGACAAGGACGAAGCCAAGGATAAGGACAAGGGCAAAGAAGGAGAGGCCATGAAGTCTGAAGATTCGATGGAAATCGACGTTGCAACCGAACCTGAATCATCAGCTGTTGTACGGAGTACGGGTGGGGACAAACAATCCTCGCGTCCTTCTATCGCAACGATTGGTTTGGCTACTGCTGCTGCCCGCGCAGCCGCTTTTGCTTCCAACGAAGAAAGAGAAATGACCCGCCTGGTAGCGGCGGCCGTTAACATAACACTGCAGAAATTCGACATCAAGCTTGCCCAGTTCACCGAGCTCGAAAAGATTGTTGAAGCCGAGCGGAGAGATTTGGAGCAAGGCCGGCAACAACTTTTCCTTGACCGCATGGCACTTAAAAAGAGAATTAAGGAAGTTCAGGATCTGCTTAAATCTGCTAGCCTGGAGGGGCCTGAGGAAGGCGCTGCTATGGCGGCTGATGCGGGAACGGTGGGGATTGGTGAACGTTATGGGTTCCAGCAACCCGCTGCTGGACAAGCGGCGGTTCCTCCTCCACCCAGTGCGCAAGGTGGCGAGTACAAAACTTTTGAGATTTAAAAAAAACAAAAGAAATGAATAATTGCTTATATCGCTCTGGAAATTTAAAGGAGGGGATGGAGAAGATATAAGTTGTTGAGCGAAGGATGATTTGATGTTCGATGGGGGTGTTAAAGTCGAGTTAATAAAATTAGGGGGTTTAACCCTACTACTGCCCTGTGCCTGGGACGGGGCTCTTCTGTCTTTTTTTTCCTTTCTTTGCTACCAACGGCGCAAGTTCTATGGATAGGTCACCTTACTTTCTCTTTCTATTTTCTTTTTTTTAATTCTAGGGGCGGTTCTACAGCTGGGGGAGTTATTTTCATTTAGGTTCTGTTTTTACATTCGCTCGTTTGTTCGTTCTCGACTCGAGCATACCTGCCCCCCCATATCTGGACTGTCAGAGAGAGGGAGCCCAGGAAAGGAAGCCCTTAATTAATATTCTTCCCACTACATTCAGTTCAAAAGCCCCTGTTCACTTTTCGCGTCTCAGTGAGTTAACTTATTTTCGGTTAAAAGGTTTGAGGTAATTGGAATTTTTTGCCCCTTCTCCTTTTCTCCATTTCCTCACCCAACATGTGTACGATCCGATCTAACAATCGAAATTTCATTCGCGAATTCTAGTTTTTTCCCTATTATTTTCGATCTTAATGGCGGATCAGGGTTATTTTCAATCCCCCCCGGGGTCTCAACTTTCATCACAGGGTTCCTTGTTATTCCTTGTTGTGTCTGCCTTTTAAAATGCAATTGCTTTACTCTTGTACAGTAGTGGTAGAAAATAAATGTGACTGGCTGGTTTGAGTTCTCTTCTATGTTTGCCATTTATCTCCTACAGAGTCGTTGATTTGGGATGAATAGATTTCTGGTTGAATAACCACGGTTTTTCGTCCCCTTTCGAGTAGCATTTTCAGGCTCAATGAATTAAGAGGCGCTGTGACATATTAGCTGTAATGGTAATGTGCTGTACACATATATTCCGTGCTATATATACATAGATTATTGCCATTAATGGTGTACCCCTTTCCCGGTTATATAATATAGACTGCTCTAAACCAGTTAGATCAGGCTATGATTACCCCGTACACTATTCAAGCCTCCGCTTCTTTCTACGATTTTCGGATAATTCCTCCTCAACGAAGATGGTATCTGGCCCGAATTCTTCCCATTCACTGCGATACAAAACACGATCTCGCCAGTCTATCAAATCCTGTTTCGATTTTTGAGTGCCTGACAGCCTGACCACCGCGATTTTATCGTCGCCTCCCATTTCTATGTCTGAGTCCTCGTGTTCAGGCAAGAGGGATCGTGGCGGGGATTGGTTCAGTAGTTTCCAAAGGCGGAGCTCTTCAATGCGGCTGGATTTCTGGTCCATGGATGCAGCGTGTATTTCTTCGGGGTCCAAGTGTGACTCATCTTCGTCGTCGTCGGATGTGGTTTTGCTTGGTGTAGAAGGGTCCGATACCCCTGAGACAGAATCGTTGCCAGGCGACTCTTCGGCTTCTGATTGGTTTTCAGATACAGCCACAGATAGCGCAACGCTGCTAGCACGGGAGGTCCTTGATCTGGTGCCTTCTAGCGATAGTTCCTCCTCAACTTCGTTGTATGTGAGCGGAAGAGGTTTGCAGCCCTTGCGATGTCGTATGTCCGCAACGTCCAGATTATGACGTCGTGGAGCACCTATCCAAAACTGTCGAGAATTGTGACTCATTCTCAGGATGTCCACCGCTGCTCCTACATCTTCCCTTCTTATTAGCTTTGCGCGCTCATATCCACCGCGCTGCAGCGAGCGTAAACGGGACATAGCAAAAAATATAGAGGAATGTACTAAGCGGCGCGTGAGGCTGACTGCTAAGGCATAAAAGTCGGAAAATGCCTCGCAGGTCAGGGACGGTGTTTCACCATCAACACTGAGGTGGTACCAATTATCCTCGATTCTATTTTGGCCGGCATTCATGAATATCCGCTCCGAAAGCAGAACCCAGTTGCCGGCATTCAGCAGTTGCGAAGTAGCTATTATACTTGGTGGTGGATGTGAGTTGTCTGGAGCTTCATTTCCACCATCGTCTGAGCGACCCCGCTCAGCATCTAGCTCATTCTCAACCATCGCCGCAACGTGGCGATCAACAAGCCACATGTCTCCATATTTCCGCCTGCCCATTGTATTTTTGGTCTGCTCGTCCTGTCGAGATAATGCCAGCGCATTGTCTTCTAAAGCCTGACAGCATTCCTCGCTAATCTCTGAGGCCGCGGGCACGTCGGAGAGAATAAGCGGTTTGCCATAACGGGTTTTAAGTTGCTGACTCTCAAGTCCACGATGTAGAGCGGCGAGGTAATCCCGTATCTCCATCTCAGATTTTGATCCAAGAAGCGAAGCTATTTCTGGAATCCTATCTTTGCCCTTCCTTTCAAGGGCGTTGAATAACATCTCTTTCTCTTTAGAGCTCCAAGTAATAATCCCGAGCTGTGAAGTTGCAAAGCCAGATCCACTTGCATCCACCCCCCTATCAACTGCGCTGTGTACAAAGTCATTAAAGAGCTCGACATAGCTGTCAGAAGGAAGCCTCCTATCAGTTCGCGAACCGTTTCTCCATGATTTAGAATGCACGGTTGCCGAACCGCTGGACTGGGGTCTTGAAGGTCTTGAAGGGCTGCTCAATTCTGTGCTTGACTCAAGCCGAAGTTTTTGTAATGGTGGCGATGATATGGCGAAGCCTGTAGGAAATACCCCACGGCCAAAGGAGTTATTATCGGAGGAGTCCTCTTCTTCGTCCGGGTCGTAAGCACTTGCCGTGCTGTTCATGTTTAAGAATGGCTACCAATCGCGAGCTCCACCGCTGGTTAACATGTTCTGAACACCTTCGAGGATCCGCTGGTAGAAACAACATGACACCTTAACTCCTAACCAAGAAATGTAATGCAAAAATAATAGTCATGGGAGTGAAAATTGTTCGATCGTGGCCACGTTGATACTTTCAACAAATCGTGTTGTTTTCAATCAGAGAAACAATTTGAAATATCTTGCGCTTTAGAGTTGAGTTTACCCTCAACAGTTTGCATTGTTTGCATCCAGCATCCCAGCCATCCCGAAACTAATCTCCGCCACAGCTTGACCATGTTTGAGCTGAGTGACCATTGATTAACAACAGCCATGGAAGATGAGGTGGTTGACGAAATGTATGCGAGAATTCAGGTGCGCTGCTGCCTATGGGAATTACCTACTTAGCCATCGATCCCTCTCCTCTGCAGCAGCAGCAGCAGCAACAGCAGCAAAATCCGCCACACCCCACTTGCCTTGCTCTTTACTCCCAACCACTGATTTTCGGCTTCGGAGTTACCAAGAAGAATGTATACAGTCTGTCCTCTCATATTTGGAGAAGGGCCACAAAAGGCTAGGTATTTCGCTAGCAACGGGGAGTGGGAAAACTGTGAGCAGTACACTTCATATTTGCCCACCTCGGACCCTTTCGCTAACTTCTGATTGGGACAGGTAATTTTTACACAGCTGATCGATCGCATTCCTCCCCGCGATGAAATCGCGAAACAAACCCTTATTCTAGTCCATCGAAAGGAGCTGGTAGAACAGGCAGCAAAGCACTGCATGCTTGCCTACCCGGGGAAGACCATCGAAATTGAAATGGGGAATAGTCACGCAACAGGAACAGCGGAAATAACCATAGCGTCCATCCGCAGCCTCCTTTCAAAAGGGCGGATTGAAAAGTTTGACCCGGAGAGATATAAACTCATTTTGGTGGATGAAGCACACCACATCGTGGCTCCGTCGTATAGAGAAGCGCTTGAATATTTCGGCTTGAATGAAGCGTCGGAAGGATCTCCAGCGCTCGTTGGCGTGTCGGCAACTTTTTCGCGATTCGATGGACTGAAGTTGGGAGCTGCTATTGACCACATCGTCTACCATAAGGATTACATCGATATGATTGGTGAAAAGTGGCTTGCTGATGCGGTCTTCACGACGGTGAATTCCAGAGCTGATCTGTCAAAAGTTTCGGATGCGCCTAATGGCGATTTTCAGACCGGTCAGTTATCAGCAGCAGTTAACACTGACACAATAAACGACATTACTGTCCGAGCTTGGCTCTCCAGGGCGAGGGAGAGAAAATCAACCCTCGTTTTTGGGGTCGACATTGAGCACGTCAAGTGCCTTACTGAGAGATTCCGCAGGTTTGGCATCGATGCGAGATATATTACCAGTCAGACTCCCAAAGATCTCCGTACCAATGAACTTGAAGCTTTCCGCAACCAAGAATACCCAGTTTTGGTAAACTGCGGACTTTTTACAGAGGGAACAGACATCCCTAATATTGATTGTGTGCTTCTTGCACGCCCGACGAGATCTAAAAACCTTTTGATCCAAATGATTGGAAGAGGATTAAGACTATATCCGGGGAAGAAGAACTGCCATATCATTGATATGGTTGCGTCTCTTGACACTGGTGTGACTACCACGCCTACCCTATTTGGCCTTCACCCGGACGAAGGACTTGATGAAACCAAGATGGAGGACATAGAGAAACTCAAAGGCCACGAAGGGGATGGCTTTAAATCAAAACCGAAGCCCTCCGCGATTTCTGCGGATAAAGTGACAGTTGATTTTACCGATTATGATTCCGTACATGATTTGCTTCAGGATACTTCAGGCGAAAGACATATTCGTTCACTAAGCAAAAATGCTTGGGTATCAGTGAGCCCTGATCGATATGTGCTGAATGCGCCCTCTGGAAGAATCACAATCGCCGGGGATGACGCCGGCTTGTATTCGGTATCTCATGTTAGAGCTTTAAGCCCTACTTCACATTCAAAAAGCCCGTTCAGCCGCCCCCGAGAGATCGCCTCGTCACTTGAATTGGCCCAAGCAGTGCACGCCGCCGATACGCTGGCTAGCCGCATTTTTCCGCCGGTTTTTGTGGCCACATGGCAACCATGGAGAAAGAAGTACGCTAGCCATGGCCAGATTGCGTTTCTTAACAAGCATCTTCCATTCGATAATCAGATTAAGCCAGGGGATATTACGAAAGGTGATGCAGCGGATATGATTACGAAGGTCAAGCACGGGGCCAAGGGGCAGTTCAAGAACATAATCGCCATCAAACGGCGTCTGGACAGAGAAAAGACCAAGGAATCTAGGCTAGAGGAGCTGAAGAGCAGGGAGGAAGTTAAAGTTGGTCCGCTCAATTAGAAAACTTTTTTGGTTACTCGTTGAGTTGTGTGCGCTGTGTAAAATGATACCCATGTATAATAATATCTGCATGTATGTGTATGTATGTATAATTAAACTTTTAAATATTCTTTGAAGACGAACATTTACTCTCTTAAGGTATGTTTCCAAAAATATGCTGTTCGTGGTGGTCTGTGCGCGACTTCCGAAAATAAGGTTTGCTTGCTTTTCTCCGAGCTCCCTATCCTATCTCAACCTCCTTTTGGTGCTTTTGTCTGTCCGTTTTTCTCGTTGCTCACCTGCTCCCCTCTCCCCCCTCTCCTTCCGCCTCCCTTTTTCTCCCACCTCTCCCCTCTCAGTCCTGGATTCGTTTTCGCACATTTCGTGGGCTTGTGCTCTTCTGTCGTAATCGAGTCGCGGATGAGTGCGCGTCCTTCAAATGCAGAGGCGCCTCTCCGGCTCACATCAACCAGACCAGTCGCATCCAGTTATTGACGCAGCGTCCGCAAGGAGACATGGGCCTGCCATTGATGGCACATGTCATTCATTTGCCCCACAGATGAACCAGCAGAAAGCGACAGATCTGTATAGCGGAGAGGAATCCAATTCATCCCTGTTCACTAGCACCCGTAGATTTGCGGGTGGCACGGCATATCCGCCTCCCCTTAACGTCCCAACTCGACAGAAAGCTGTCATGCCATTTGAATCGCAATCCTTTTCGTCAACGATAGATAAGCTGATGGAGGGCCAAAGACTACGAAGATCCCGGCTGCGAAACCCGTGGTCATGTTCTCTCCTGACACTGTCCCTGACCTTCCTGAGTGCGCTCGCCCTTTTTGGAATCATTCACTCCTACATGACCCGCCAAATCGACCCACAAGGCTGTAATACGCCTCGAATGATGCCCACTTATATTAAACTCATTGGCTTCGATACGGAACATACCCGCTTCGCGAGTAAATATGGACTATACCTGTATCGGGAGCGTGGGGTTGACGAATATAGCGAACAAGATATTGGGGTAGGGAGATATTCTGTTTTATTTTCTTTCTATTTTCCTTTTGGATTTTTGTATATTGGGTCAATCTAGCGCCAATCAATGCTAACTATTGGAATAGCTTAGGGGTGTGCCAGTATTGTTCCTCCCTGGAAATGCTGGGAGCTACAGGCAAGGCCGGTCACTAGCATCGGAAGCGTCGTTATATTTCCAGAATGTAATAAGATATGACCAGGACAAACTCAATGCGGGGACCCGAAGTTTAGATTTCTTCATGGCGGATTTCAACGAGGACATGGCGGCATTTCACGGACAAACGTTACTCGACCAGGCCGAATACGTAAACGAAGCTCTAGCCTATATACTCTCTCTCTATCATGACCCTAAACGCCCTGGGAGAGACCCGAACCTCCCAGACCCTAGCTCCGTGATTCTAATTGGTCATTCGATGGGTGGGATCGTTGCTCGAACGGTGCTTACAATGTCGAATTACCAGGCAAATTCGGTGAACACGATCATTACGATGTCAACCCCTCACGCTCGGCCTCCAGTATCGTTTGATGTAGATGTTGTTCGCACGTACAAACAGATTAATGATTACTGGCGTGAAGCATATTCTCAGAAATGGGCCAACAACAATCCGTTATGGCACGTTACTTTGATATCTATTGCTGGAGGTGGTGGGGACTCGATTGTCCCTTCTGATTATACAAGTCTATCGTCCCTTGTTCCTGAAACACACGGATTTACCGTATTCACATCCACTATCCCAAATGTTTGGACTGGAATGGATCACCTTTCCATCGCTTGGTGCGACTCGTTCCGAAAAGTAATCATTCGCTCACTTTTCGACTTGGTGGACGTTAGACGATCGTCCCAGACGAAGCAGAGAGCGGAAAGAATGAGCGTATTCAAAAAATGGTACCTCACGGGGATGGAAGCCATTTCTGAAAGGACTCTCCCACAAAAAGGTCAGTTTTTCATCATCAGCTATCCGTTCATTTTCCATACTTACCGGTTTCACAGACCCGACAACACTCTTGACTTTGGAAGATAATACAAATTCAATTCTACCCCAAGGGCAGCGGCTAGTTTTGCGCAGTTTTGGTAACCGCCAGTTACCCAAAGCGCATCTTCTTCCCGTTCCTCCCCAAGGCGCTTCAGGGAAAAAGTTTACCCTTCTAACAGATCAACGTCTTGATCCTCCTGGTGGCAACGGGAAACTAGAAGTCTTATTCTGTAGTGTCTTCCCTTTGCGAGCTGGCCATTCAGCTGCCCTCTTATCTTTGAATATGGATCTCTCAGGCGGCAGCGCCGGTTCCACTCGGTTGGCTTGCAAGAGTGCCGTAGAGGATGTAATACATCTTCCAGCATCGACACGCTCGTCCAAGTTCGCTTTCGATGATGCTATTCCATTTTCATATCTGCAATATAACTTGGAGGATCTGGTGGAGCATCAATTCGTAGCTGTTGTTGACAAAGCTTCCAAACATTCCTCGGGTTGGCTTGTTGCGGAATTTTCAGACAGCTCCGACGCTCTCATCCAAACCAAGGTTGGACTTGGCCGCCTGTTGGGTGCCGGACTTAATATTCGACTTCCTGCAGAACGACCAATGTTGACCGAAGTGAAAATACCCGCTCTATACTCGAGTCTCTTAGCTTATAAGCTGAGAGTCGGCAAACAGCCGTGCGGTGAGCATGCTGAGCTGTTTACTCCCCTACTACGACAGTATATTTCGGAACCACATGAATCGAAGTACTTTGTCAATGTCAAAGAAGCCGATATCAACTTGCATGGTGTTGCACCCTATATGCCTCCCCACCTTCGAGAGCAAAGTGCTATTCGTGGCATTTCGTTTCAGCTTTGGTCTGACCCTAGCTGCAATGCCTCAATGGAGCTTTCGTTGCGTGTGGACGTTATCGGTAGCATGGGGAAACTTGCCATGCGATATCGTACGGTCTTTGCGGCGCTTCCACTTCTTGTGATTGCACTAGTTCTCCGGAAGCAGTTCCAGATATATGACAAAACAGGTTTGTCCTACTACCTCCACGCTTTTGAACGGATTCTGACTTTATTAGGCGTTTTTATCCCTTTCTCGGAGGCACTGGATCATTGTCTCCGATTCTCATTACCGCTCTTATTCACCATACTGACATTTGTTGCAACATCTTTGGCAACATCAACCTCTGGAATGGACAACCCGGAGAAAGTATTAATGGATTGGCGATCGAACTCCACCGAAACTGTCATAGACTTCACTAGGAACGATTTACTTTTGGGCTCTCAAGATAGCTTTTTCTGGTTCTTGATCCCATTGTTTGGTCTGATCAGCATCGGATTGTGCGCTGTGGTAAATTACATTGTCGTGGCTTTGATTTATGGCCTGTCGACAGTCCGTAGAATGTTGGTATCACGCCGAGGGTACATAAAACATGATGACCCAAAGTAAGCTGATTCACAGCAATAACAACGCCCGAGGTGTATCTTGAAATTTTTGCTGACTTGCCTTTAGACCTGCGGCGATTTACCCATCACTCTCTCCGAGACAAAGGATCATTAACTCCGCTGTTTTACTGTGTTTCGTGGCAACTGTCATTCCATATCAGTTCGCGTATCTCGTAGCATGCATTGTGCAATTAGCAACCTGCGTGCAGACTTTGCAATATGCGAGAGAAACGGTGAGCATAACTCCCAATTCACATTGCCCTCGTAAGTTTAATTAGCTGATGCTGATAAATGAGAGCAGAAATCGAACTCGCAGTATAATTTCTACAATTACGTTCATTCCGTCTTCGTCCTTATGCTATGGATACTACCGGTTAATGTCCTTGTGTTTGCGGTTTGGGTTCACAATCTCGCTGTCCACTGGTGGACGCCGTTCGCATCGCATCACAATGTCTTATCTATAATGCCATTTATACTTCTCGTGGAGACGCTCACAAATGGGAATATGATCCCAAGAGTAACCTCAAGGTACGTGGTATTCTGAGTTAACCCCCTGGAACCGGAATACTCCCGTTCGCTGCCCCGCCTTGTTGCCTTCAACCTTAACATGTTCTTCTTTATAATCCAGATTGCGACATATCACTTCGGCCTTATTTATTATCCTCGCTGTATATGCCGCGCTCTACGGAGTCACATATGCATATCTCCTTCATCACATTGCCAATGTAGTCACTGCGTGGCTTGTTTGTGTACATTTTGCCAGCAGTGGTTTCTTGCTCCAGAATTTAAGCCAAGCCTTCGAGAGCTCGGGCTTCGGTGAAGACGGGCCTCCGGCAACTAATGGTCATGTTAAAAAGCTCCCTTAAAGTATTACTGTTTATAATTTTATCCCCTTTTTCCTTCATCACTTTTTTGTAACTTTTTATAAGCGAATAGCTGGCATTTGACGGTGTTTTTCTGCTTTTGTTCTTCTCGCTGTGCGTATGATTGTTACCATTAAACCTAATTGGCGTTAGAGAATTATTTTCCTTTTATTCTCAACGGTTGTACGAGGGATGATATCCCAGCTAGAGACCCCGCGTTTTCTTATTTGTGTTTTCTTCTTCCTTTTTCACGCTTTATGTTCCTTTCGTCATATTATATGCCTAGTTTTTATTTGTTGGTACGTGATAGCATGCTATTATTAATGCAGGTTGGTTACTCCTTTTCCTTCTTAGCGTCTGAGAGGCCGTACATGTATATACAGACATTGTTTTCCCAGGCTCATTTAACCGCTCTTGCCTTCATGGAAGGCGTATTGCTTCTGTCCATCCATAGGTCATCATTCTTATGGGCAGGGACTCTTCGATTGATTTCTTCTTCTTTTTTTCTTCCTTTTTTCTTTTTTCTTTTTCTTTTTCTTCTCTTCTTATTTCTATTCTTTTAATATTGATCCATCCTCCTGTCAACCTCTCTTCTTATGGTCACTATTGCGTAACCTGGTCGGTACATGTCAATATTATAAATGATATATCTTACTAAATTTTTATGTTTTAGTATAATAGTTCCTCGTTCTCTTCTTACCTTTCGCATCAAAATACATGACAAACTATTACAGCGTACGTAGCTTGATGTAAAATGCTGGTGCCTCCAGCTTCAGTGGGGCTCAGCCTCGCAGGGCAGCCTTGTCTCTCGAATTCTGGAGCGAGTGGAATTTATTCGTGCTGGCAATAGGCAGTTGGAATTGGAGACTTGATGGAGCGAGAAATTCTGGCTACCGTGCGCGCCCGGCTGTTATATACTGCGCTTGAAAATTGTGGTACAGTCCCCGAGAATTTAGTAGTCAGGGGACGAAGTATGTGGTGTGGAGGAATCCGTTTGTGTGGCTGGATTTATTTATTGAACTCCCTTCTGTTGGCAAGAACTGCAGTGACATAAACATTGTATATTTGCTTTAAGTAGTAAAACCTATAAAAAAACAAAATGCAGATCCCGTATCGACCTAAAGTAGATTAGAGGTATTTATTATATACATTGAACAGACAGTGCTTCATAGGTATCTTAGCAGGAAATGACTCGTTAAGACATATAAAACGTGCACACACGTAGAACAGGAAAAGAAAGATCAAAAGGACAGACAGAAGGAATCCAAAAAAATCCTAATTAGTCAACGTCACTTTCTCATTCAGCCACTTCTCCCCGCCCGCCTTAATGACCTCCTCAAAAATCCACTCCCCAACATCCGCCCGCTGGATTGAATGTCCCAAGGCAGGCTTTTTTTCCGTCCCGACCTTCAAAGTCTTCCACCCCTTTCCACTAGCGATGGAATGATCACCAACCAGCAGTGTCGGACGAACAGCAATGGCGCCTCTCAGAAGTTGTTTAGAGGGCATATCAAAGAGAACGTGCTCCATCTTCTTTTTGTCCTTATGGGGGACTGAGAGGAAGTGATAGAGAGGGAGGAGGAGGAGCGGTACATCTCCCGGCCCAGATGAGATGCCTGTGGTGGAGACAACCACGAGGATGGGTTTCTCCTTTTCAGTTACTGTGGACGGTTGCAGTGCTTCCACAGCGGATAGAATGGAATTGGTGCCAGTTTCGCAAATGGTCGGGTTATCGAGGGTGACGGGTTGAAGCGCCGCTGTGAGTTTGGGTGTTCCGCCCAGCCCGGATATTATGAGTGAAGCCATTTTGCCATTGTTTTTCTCTGGAGAGATTGTGCGCTTGGCGGCTTCAACATCAGTCGCATCACCTTGGATGATTGTCAAGTTATGGTCGATTGTCGCCTGGTCAAGCCCCTGTGAAAGGAGCTGGTCTTGAAGTTTTGAGGGGGTTCGAGCGAGGGCGCTTGCTTTGTATCCATTCTTGAGAGCAAAGGTCAGACAAGAATTTGCGCAGCCGCCCGTGGCGCCAAAGAAAGCAATATTTATCAAGTTATCAGTGGTGGTGGTAGACATGATGCTTCCTAAATGTGGGTCCAAGGTGGTTGAGGAATAGGATATAAAGATAATTTTCCACAATTCGTTTGCGGCTTTTGAAGAAATAAGTCAACAGTTAAGCAGATGAGCCGGATAATGGCAAGCTTTTCGAATTTGAGAGAATAATTAGAAAGGGGGGGAAATAGTTGTCACAATTGCTACATGGAGTTTCTAAACGGGAATCGGGAGAGTTTTTATATCCATTCAGTACCCCTGTTGAAACGTTAACTGGAAGTGACGTTGCGGCGCCGTGAGGATACAATAATAATTAATCAAGCCGTGCGGACGTAAAATTCCTCTTTCATGAAATAGTTGCCTAAGTTAGGCCGATCGACTCGGATATTTATATCCATGACGCCAAGTTGCGCCGTGATAACATCGCCAAGCGGTCAGCTTTTACAAGGCCGAGCTAATCCCGCAGCGGGAAAGCGCCGGAGTGAAGATGCCCCGACCACGTGATGCAATAAGCCCTAATGATATTCATGGACATCAAAGTTGGTCCGATTGTTTCCTGCAAGTCTACTACTACTCTGTAAGACTCTGTGAGTTGTATGCCCACTGTAAATTGACAGTGCCGTTAATTTGACGATCGGTTTTGATGGGGTGAAAAGCTAGCCCCGTTTGCCAATTGCTGTGCAGCCAATACGTTCGTGCTTCCAGCACGCCCAATTGAAAAGTGTGGGTGGGCATCGTGGGAATAGCCAAGCTCACATAGCCCTATCAATGATATCATAGGGCTATAGTTACATGTCGATACCCGAAGCATCGAGATCTCTGTGCTTGCAATCTTGCGTTCTGCGCTATGTCGTGTACCTGCAGATGCAGCTCCCGTTCACACTCCGCATCTTGCATAAAGAACTTGATTGGGCGTCGAACCTTTCGAGAAATTACGTCCGAACAACCACGGCAGAACCGAAGAGTGTGTGCTGGCTTCTAGCCGCATGGGTATCCGGCTTGGCCTGTTGCAGTTGAGAGGTTGCGGGAACAATATATAACTAGAGGTTATACCTCATAACCCGGTTGCACGGATTCTATTCTAAAAGTACGCTATCTGGCCCTAGCCCAAACACACTTATCTCTGCTACGCAGTAGAGTCTTGAGATGAGGTAGCTAGTTGGAAACCGCTAAAATGATCAACTAGATCGACAGGATGAAAACATCGAACCCCTGCATTATTATTGCTCTCCCCGGGTCTTAAACGAGACCCGATCTGGGCAGTTACTAGAATGGTGCTGGTCTTGTAGTGATGCAGGGGCGGTTGTGAGTGTTCGTCCGTGGGTCGTAAATGGGAGACCTATGCAAAATAAATAAATAAATAAAATAAGTTATGTGGTCTTCAATGGAGACTGGATATATTTATGTCACAAGGGAAGCATATGTAACGTTGTTTGATTTGTAAGCATACGAGATATGTGGATGAATAAATCCTAGGAAAGTAATATCAACTGTAAATTCACAATAGAACAACAAACAAACTGTCAATAATGGAGAAGAGTCCCTCGTTGCCTATTTTAGCCCCGCTTCCCGATAAATTTCGTTCCTCTCACATTAGCAGGTTCTCTTTGAGCAGGTACTATACATAGCCAATAAAACACTAAAAATGAAAATAAATATCACCTTGAAATAGGGCAATTTCGCAAATATATCTTCATGGCGAGGTACCTCACCCTGTTTTTCCCTGTGCTAAATCCCGGAACGCTCCTGCTGGTATATAGCGTCATTCACGATATAATCTGTCCATTGCTCGCAGGTCTTGTGCCATGTGTGAGGGATGTCAAGTGCCTTTGCAATATCCGAGTAACGTTCGACAAATTGTACTGCAAGCCCTTCGTGCGCATGCCATGCCTAGAGTATAGAACCCGCCGGGGTACGTTTAGTTAGATATATTCATTGGCAGGATTATACGCAGCATATTATTTTTGAGTAAAATTTTTTAGGTACAGAAGTAAACAAAAGGTTCCAACTTACGATGTGACAATGTGCTAGCCACGCACCGGGGTTATCTGTCGGAAATGCAATGGCCACCCACCCACGATCAGGCAACATAACAGTGTCTCGACGAGGTGGGTTCGTGAAGTTGAGTCGTTCGGGCCCGGGGAAGTCGCCTCTCCCTGTACCGAGAACGGAGAAGTCATGGCCGTGCAGGTGGATTGGGTGTGGAACGTTAACGATGCTGCCAGGGATAGCCTGGATAATCCAATATGTCCACTATTCGTAACGAATATTAGGGCCTGTGCTAGTAGAGAGAGTGCTCGTAATAAAGGAAAGAAAAGAGAATGAAGCGTCTTGGAGGGGGAGACATACCACATTTGCTTCTGGTAACTCGATTACGTTCAACTTCGGGGCAAAGCTTGTATTTCGATCAAGGACATATTGAAGAGTAGGATATTCCCAGTCTGTTTCAATAGGGATCCCGTTTATTTTCCAGTGAACTATGTTTTGGCCTGGTGAAGTAACTTCAGGCTCGAAGGTGACGTTAAGATCTTTCACTTCTCGGATGAAATGCTCCGATGGCACATCAATTGGAACAAATGGAACGAGACCTTGTTCATCGTCACAACTTTGCGTGTAGTTGCTTGCTACTGATGTGGGCTCCGCATTCGGGTCTGCGCCTTTATATCTGAAGATACTTTTTATCCTCCCGTTCATCGCGTTCTCACCACACCCTCTTTGAACTTCAGCTCGAAACCAGTAGTTGTCTATCTCCTGGTCGGCGTGAATGATTACATCATAACGTTGGCCTGCTCCCTTGTCAGTATGTGGGATGAATAAAATTTATGGGCATGATTTTGTTACATACCGATCCCAAGAAACAGCCAGTCAGTCTGGTATGGAAGGATGGCAACGAAGTCGCTTGAAATTACCGTGAAAAGGTGATTATCCAAATGGACTTTGAAATAATTGTCTACTGATGTATTTATCAATCGTAAGCGGTATGACTTCCCCTTTTGAATTGTATTTTCGTGATATTTCCCTCCGCCATTTGCGTTCACCATTGTCCCATTAATCAAGCCATTCTCAGCAACAGGAGGGATGCCAAGCAGTGCATTTTCCCATGCTGTGCGGTAATACCAGTCTTGGATAGGCATCGTTCCGAGGTCAATATCATAGTTGGCTGAAGCTGGCCCTGAGATCTCAATGGCCCCTAAAACACCATCGCCGTACCTGTGCAATTTTAATCTAAGCAACCAAAGCTCCAAGTTAAAATCATGGGACATGGAACTCACTGTACAGTATGGTGGCTATGATACCATGATGTCCCATATTGAGTACATTTAAATTCGTACGTTTTTGATGCTCCGGGAGCAATGGGGCCTTCATATTGAGAGTTAGCTAGTGGAGTTGTGGAACATCGATATCGGCCGTTGGCAACATACATTCTGTGACTCCGTTTGTCCCATCTTGATGGCCAGTATGCTGCTGACGAATTCCGTGCCAATGTATGCTTGTTCTTCCCAACCCAGCCGTCATTAATAAAATTAACAGAAGTTTATTAAATAGACATTGTTACTCACCCATTATTCTGTAGATTGTTTTTCACATGGATTCGAAGAGTGTCACCCCAGTCTGCAAATATTTGTTAGGAACCGAACTACACAACGGTAGAGATTGATTGACGTACTCGCTCGAATGGTTGGACCTGGAAATTGACCATTTATCGCCAAGACCAGCCTTTCAACCCCGTCAGGGGCTAAAGTTATATTGCTTACTTCAAGAAGATACTAACAAAGCGGAAGTCAGCTGGAAGGTTTTGTGTTGAGTTTGGTTTTGGATCAAAGGAAGGGCGGCAAACCTCGACCACTTTTCCAGTTTCCGGCCACTTCGTGCCAAAGTTTGTAGTGATATCAAAGCCTCCACCCCAGCAAGCGCGGTTCTTGGGGCTATTCTTGCAATGTTTATCTGATACAAACCCGGGCGGACCTTTCGCGGAAATTGGATGATATGTATTCGACTGGGCGGCACATATTGATGAACCTAAAAGTATCCAAAGGAAGTAAATGATTATTGACAAGTCTAAGCTTGTATTCCTTCGTGAAGTCATAGCTTGGTATAATGATAACAGCAACCCGGGGGGGATTGTTAATCGCAACAAGAAAAGTCAATATGAGGGCTCGTTAAGCAGGGGAACGGATCTTCAGGTATATTAAGACAAATATGTAAGGTTTATTGAACGAGAGGCACAAGAATTAATATAATGGACTGTGAAGGAAAAATAAACATTCTAACATAGGAATTAAGAGCGTTGATAATGGAGTTTTATATTTTCCAAACGGGATTGAACTGATGGAGATTGAGGTCGCATGTATAGAGGCAAGGACAAGGTAAGGGGTAGTACCGGTGTCCATCGTATGAAAGATGTGGTACAGACTGCACGCGATCGACGGCAGCAGAAAAGTGCGATGACCAAAATTGCACAGAAGCAAAAGCCTCGTTAGAATTAGAACCAATAGGATACCAGAAAGAGGGAACTCCAGCCGAAGAAAAACACACGAGCGTCGGAATCATACAAAGGGATAGAAGTAATCGAGACCGCCACAGTCCTCAGTAATCCATATCACGGCATCTGAGGTCCTTTCCAGATGGCTATACGAGAACGACATCGAACCATGTAGGACGCCCGCCAAGGTAAGGGCATGCGTATGTCAAGAATACCATGAGCCGAATATGGCTAAAAAAGGATGATATTATTCTTGTGTTCCTTGACGACGTGTATAGGTTGCTATAAACAACCGGAATTCGGAAGACCCTAACAAGGAAATCATTTCAGAGTGCTCCATCGCAGGATTCTAGACCAGGTCAAGCTCGGTTTAAAATCAGATTGTCCTCAGGATGAATCCTGAGGAAAATGAAAAGGCGCTTAACAAGAAATATGAAATATTGCAGATTTGTGGCTCTTGCACCTCTATATGTGACTCAATGTACCCCGGCTGGAAGGGACAGAGTAGTACATGTGCAAGTTTCGTTCGCATGGGAAGTCAGACACGACTCGGACCGCAATGAATCGGGCCCCACAATAATCTAAATCAGTAGATCGGGTTTCTTAGAACACGGACCTGAAAGCAAAAATAGTAGCATAATATGCCACGGAAGATTTATTTTCCTGCGGGTAGGCAGCGCGAGTTGGGACAATCGAACATACCGCAAGGAGCTGTTTCGAAATTAGAAAGCAAACGCATGGACTTCAGGACCAAGCCGGTCCTACTAACTGTAGATTCAAGGACATGTTATGAATGCTCTTGCTTTAGCCATCGAAATATACAGCCTGGAGCCCTGGCAACGAAGCCGTAAATTCGATGCCAGAGGGTCTCTCGAGTTGCACAATCATAGTTGAGGAATAGGAAAGGGAGAGAACAAAAGAAAAGATTAAGATAATACGGTGAAAGCATGATCTCGTCATAAGGCCTAAATCGCATTGGTCCCGAAAACCAAAGGGCCTTGTCGAGATGTTATTGGATCTTTTGTAGGGACTTATGGCAGGATCTAAACTCGACAGGTAGCGCCGTGGTCTATAAATATCATATGTACGTACGCCGTATTTGGAGCACGAGGCCATAATCAGCTTGCCGACTGTCAAATAGGTGGTGAATACGTCATGATTCGCCATGTCGAACCTGGGCTTCCCGAAACGAGTTGTTGGCGAAGCCTCACGATGGAGCTACATTGGCCGCCAAGGTAGCAGATATGTAAGAGTTCCTTGCGAAGCCTATGCCCTTTGAGGCCTTATTTCATAATTTCTGAAACATGATCATTGATCAGCTTGGGCAGTGTTCAGGAAGGTTACCGAGCTAGGTATTTGGATATGTGTCTCATGAACGTACAGAGTAGCACCGTCATCAACAACCCCGAGCACACACGCAGGTCTCGCTCTGGGCTGGAAAGTCACATCGTTGGTTTCCTTGGTGACGGGAACAGAATGGCGGGTAGCCACTGTCCCAGGGAAATATTTCAAGAACTGATTCCGAAGATTGGCGAATTCGGGGTAATGGTGAGCGGTGGACCAAAGCGTCGTCAATGAGGAGGAGGAGGTGAGAGGTTGGCTGAGGTTGCCGGGTCCGACCTGGGCTTGCGGCTCGGCAAACCACCACCTTTTAGCCTTGAGCCACAACAGTGAACCCGCTTATCTAGTGATCTATTGCTCCTGCAAGCCCGAACACCACGAGCTGAGGAGCTTGCACACGTCAATCATGGCAGTATTTCCTCTGCATGGGCATTGGCCTCGAACGGTGTCCGGTTGGGCGTGTCCCCAGAGCTTATCATGAGCAGTGATTGCCCAATTTATTACCCATTGACTCGCCCGATAGGCCAACGTGCTAATATTCCCCCCTTTGTGCCCGCACGAGATATCCCTTGCATCGAAATATGTCCGAGAGATTCCGTATTTTGGGATTCACCCTTCTGGCAACCCTCACTATTTTGTCAGGGGACAGATTGATATTCTGGAAGGGTACAGACTGCTCCTTTTATTGGCACTCCATAAGATAAACAACAGGCAGAACGTCCCTGCTTCTTTCTGCACTGCCATTTTCTAATAATGGTTGCGGGTTTGGGACAATGCCCTTGGCAACTAGAATACCATGCTGCCCGGGATGCGGCCAGGAAAAACACAAAACACTCTGCAAAATTAATCTGTGGAAAATTACCACGAGCAAACTATCAGGAAACGGAGAACTCTCGGCGTCTTCTTCAGGAAGCCCGGGCCCCAAATACCCAGCAGATTATGGCTTCAGTACTACTAACTCTCTGGTGTTAGTAGAGGGGCCGTGATCGGAGCCCGAGAAACCGGGTGGAAAGCCGATTGCCACTACTACTGACTACGGGATAGACTCTGCCGTGTTGATCCTGTGGGACCTGCCAAGCCGGCTTGGCCATCTCGAAACCGGCGTATCCCGATATTGCTAATTTCTTACTACATTTCTCGTTTTACTCATTCAGCACCATGGAGCCTTCCAGTGAAGAGTTTGTGGAAACCCGTGCTTACATTGACCGGGCAAATATTGATTTTGGAGGACCTACACATGTCTGGACCTCAGTATAATATTCCACTAGCCATCTTTTTCGTCCCCATGTGCTTTGCAGTGAGTGATCGCCTATGTCATGCATGATTCGGCGATAATTAGCACCACACTGACCCCTTGCATATAGAGGTTCCTAGCAACATTCTTGGAAAATTTAAGCGACCGTTGACGTATATTGGAATTCTGACCCTTGGCTGGAGTATTGTCATGACACTCACATGTGTCGTGAAAAATTTCACTAGACTTGTAGTTACCCGCTTTCTGCTCGGTTGGAGTATGTCCCGCCATTAAATCTCGCCAGGGTTTTTTTTTTTTTTTTTTTTTTTTTTTTTTTTTTTTTTTTTTTTTTTTTTTTTCCCTTATCTGTGTCCCTTTGACTGACAGTTGTCCTCTCCTTTGAAATATACAGCTAGTGCCTTAGTTGGCACATTTTCGGTCCTGAAGCTGGACGGTATCGGCGGGCTTGAAGGCTGGGGGTGGATCTTCCTTGCTGAAGGCGCAGCTTCTAGGAGTTGCCTGCTGTTTCATTCTAGTTGACACCCCGTCGCTCTCCACCAGCTGGCTCGAGCCACAAGACATCTGATATCTAGAGCTCCGGCTGCTACCTTGAGAAGGAAAAGCCCAAGTATCCAACCGGCTTTGGCTCGTCATTTGCATTCGCCAGTGCAGGCGTTCTTGCTGCTTTGGCGCTAGAGTTCATCTTCACGACCAAGAACAAACGCGGCGCGACGTTGTCGGCAGAAGAAATACATGCCAAATCTACGGATGAGCAAATATAGAGGATGGGAGATCGATCACCGCTTTTTAAGTATAAGCTTTAGTGGGGAGAGGTGATACTACACAAGCACATCAATTCAATATTGATTTCAGTGGCATGTCCGAACTCCCTTTTTACAATGTGGATAGAAATGGCGGTGTAAATAGATTTCGACAGAAGCAACTATGATGGGATAATTTGGATCTAGATCCTTCCTAGATCATACTCCGTATTTAAAACTTGATTCAATGATATTCTTTGCTGATCGAAGCTATTTGACTTGCACATCATCCAGATGATTATGTTTCACTAAACTTGCCAAAGAGATTGATTCTCTTGATGGAGAGGGAATTATAATAATAATTCATAATACCTAGCCCTGCTTCAAAAGAATACAAAAAGAGTTTTTAATAATACGAAGGTTTAAACACAGACAGACGTATACAGGGTGAATGTCTGGAGAGAACTTGATGGGATAGTTAAGCTATCACCCCCATAAGCTTCAAAATTCACGGACAATGCCCTCGTCGTCAAGTTTCAGGAGATTTGCGTGCCTGGCTTTGCCAGTCCTAAACCTGATCCATCAACCAATTATTCCCATGCGCCTGTAGTTGGCAACTGGCCAACCTAACCTGCCTCATGAAAAAGGTCGAATGGACCCGATCACTACAGGTTGGACAAGCTATCCCTAGATAGAGCTACTAGGCCAAACATGTCCATCCTGGAGTATTTGCGTCACATCCAACTGCCTCCTCAGAAGCCAAACAACCCCATTTCCACCTGCGCTCCTTTACAGCTGGGCATATCGCAGCATCAATTCCGCCTCCTCCACAACTAGTGTCCTCTCCCATAACCATTCCTTCACACGCCGAAAATATCCGTGATCATCTACGCGATTTCAAACATGACAGATGGGGCTGGGTAATCTACCGCTGCACATACAGCGACGACAACGCATGGGCCCGATTTCAGCAAATCATCAATGAACGATCCCGCCAGAGAATGGCGGAGCCCGATGTGCCCCCCGAAGTTGCAAACAACCTCGAATGGAAATTAGTGTCCGACCCGACAACACTCGACGGCGCGTCGCGGGACCAACTCCGTGCTCGCTTCCGCACTTGGGCGGCTGAGGCACGAGCGACCGGAAAGCATTTATTTGACTGGCTTGAGATCACAGCGGTATATGTCTTTTATCCAAGTCGACGAGGAAGCGTTGTGGAGTGTGGTTGAAGGGGATCCGGATGATACTCTGGATGGGAGCTGGGTTCATCTCGTGCGCGCGGGCGATCACGACTTTGATCGCAGCGCGAAAGCTGAAGAGGACGAAGATGATGGAGAGGTAGAGGATGAGGGCTGGATGATGATTGCGGCATACACGATTGGACCGGATTTCTACGATGTAATAGGGCCAGAGCCCGAGGCTTGGTATAAATTGTTTCTACTCGCCCCCGCCTGGATTTGTTGTTTATTGATACTTTCGTATAATGGTTGACGGTGCGCCAAACTATTATCAATATAAAAGCAGAAAGCAGAGAAATGTGTTAAAAGAAAACCGGGGGGGGGACATCCTCATCCTTCCTACGCACACATTATCCGGTACAGCACTAGTCAATCAATGCTTATGGCTTGACACAGTCTAGAGTCTTGAACGGTGCAGTTGAGAGACAGTCTACAGACTATTTTCTCTACCGTCCTCAACGCTAGAAATCTAGACTTTGACGTGTGCCAATCTGCAGAACTAGCACCTCAGATATCAACCCGACTTCTTACACAAATTAGAGGTACTCTACTTCTATGGCCTCGCCGTTAGTGATGATAACAGCAACACTCCCAGCTAACACCTTTCTCCTAAACAATCCGACTTCAATGTTACTCAGCGGCAACGAAGAACTTCAGATTTTTCATATTCCCGGGAATTAATACTTTCGAATTCAATTGACTAAACTACGTACTGGCCCAGAAAACCAAAGTTTGCGGAATGAATCAAACATGTCTGTGAGTGAACTCCATAGAAACCCATAGAACTCCATTGGTAACATATACATCAAGACGATGAAGCATTATTATTATTATGGAAACTCAGGGGACAGGCCCAAACTTTATTACAACTTACATCCGAACGTATAGTCCCTATGCTGTTCAATCATGCAATTTGACACTATCACCGAACAACCCCATGGTTGGATTTGAAATTGTTCGCCTCCATTTCATACATTTCCCGCGCCATTAGTCTATCCCTTTTTATCTAGTCTGAAAACGGAAACTGTTAGTCCAGGAGACATGCATAAGCCGGGTTAGTTGGGCTTCAAAGTAAACGGCTTGTCCCATGCAACTAGAGTTGCAGTTCTGAAGATTTCTTCCAATCTGGCCAGACTTTCCAACATGCAGTGCTGAGGGGTATTCTTTTATTTTATTCTATTTCTTATTTTGGTTGGGGGAGGGAAGGGGAAAGGGAGAGGGGACTCACCATCAAGCAGGGAGTTACATTTTGATATCGCTTCGCATCTTGTTGTGTCAATGCTGCGACGGTTTCAAACAGGGCTGGATGGAGAGTCTTCACTTTCAACGGGATTGCATTCTGAAATCACCCTGTCCTTGATCTCATCCTCTGTCATTTGGGCAGAGGGCTTAGCCACAGGGGTGTTTATCGGTTGGATGTTTCGGGGTTCATTTGTTTGTTGCTGTGTGGCATCTGACTCTCTGGTAGCGGCATCCGTGTTTTGGTCTGATTGATGGCCGTCGACCGCAGGAGGAATGTCTCTGACTCGGATACTCTCTGAAGACCCTTTTGCAGCTTCCACTGGGGCTGGGGCTGGGGATGGAGCTGGAGTAGGCACTGGAGTTGGAGCATGCACTGGAGCTGGAGCAGGCGCTGGAGCAGGCGCTGGAGCAGGCGCTGGAGCAGGCGCTGGAGCAGGCGCTGGAGCAGCCTGCCGTGGAAGAGGATAGCGTGGATTCCCCAAAGCCATCGCGACTTGGGCACGCTCTACTTCAGACAATTGACGACGTGGCTGGTTTGCTTCTCGGAAATGATATCCCTGGCGCGATCTATCCTGTCCAGAGAGGTGGACTCCCTGTCCCTGGAGCTCGTGGCTCTCATCTTCCGACCGCGGCCTATATCGCCTTTTCTTCCTGCGATGACAACCTAGCCAAGTACAACAGATCCTCCCGAGGGTATTAACTACATAAAGTAGTACCATGAGGAATCTCATGGTATCCGATGTGGTTTTGGATCGACTGCGAAAAGGTGAGTGTATGCTATATAATCCAGACAGCCACGAGTCACTTACTACTGCAGTGCGCACCCCAATGTGGCTCCCTCTTTGCGATCCGCAGGACAACAAAGCTAGGTAAAGAGGTATGGCACAGCAGCAGCGCAAAACATATTTTATTGAACGGATGATGGGAGAAACGAAACGGAGCAACAGAAAAATCACTCTAACTCATTGCAACCGAGTTCGAAAAACAAGTGACGCCAATGGAATGGCAAATACAATCTCCCATGTAAAAGAAAAGGAAAAGGAGCGCGAAGACAGGAATAGAGAGCAAGCAATCAATAAACGAGTGACTTTAAGTGACTACGCAGTAAACGAGTGACTGACCGAAGCGGATATTTAACACATATATATAAATAAATATATCGCGGCGAGAAAGGAAAACACAAGAGAAGAAGAGAAAAATTGAACAGGGAGAGATATTTATGCCATGCACCCAGCTGCTGGACGAGAAGGAGCAAGTGGTTATTGATAATGGGCTTCCCAATGGCAGGCACCCCCCCTGCTGTTCTCTTTCTGGTGTCCTTGTTGAAAGTAACCGAGGCCGACATGTACATGTACATGTACATATGCACCTATCTATGTGCTGTACATACATTACTCGGTGGGTTTCCAGCGTCAACGATTCTGCCTTGACATCTTTTTCAATAATGAAATTCCGCTTGGAGAAATACGAATTAGGGGTTGCCATATCACGTGGTCATGGAAGATAACCTTTGGATTGGGAGAAGGATAACTATATAAACTGATCCTGAACATCCTTCTCCCAACCAACAAACTCACCCTCGCTTTGGATTATACGAATACTGTTCTGCAAGCTGCGAAAATATTGGTCTCCAAGCTATAAATTGTGTTTTGCTGCATTTCTTGGCAACTAGCTGATATACCTAAATGCCAATACCCAATAGATTCTATTGGGCATAGTTAACTTCCAACGTTGTTTCCTAGAGCATTGTATGTACATGTACATCATGCAGCGCAGCACTTGCATCCAGAATCCAGATGATAATTGATGATATTTAAGTATATGTAGCATAGAATAGTGAGTGCGTAACGGGATACAGCACCCGATGATTCTTGGCATCGAGAACATGAGCCGCTGGGCGATTTGGCGCCGACGTCGTGGGGGGGTGGGGTCGGTCTGGTGCTAACTTCAAAACGAACTTCGTCATAACCCACAAAGCGAACTAAAATAGAACTTGGAGAGGGAGCCAAGATGGAGTGGGACATTACGCATTATTCGTACGCTGTAGTTGATGCCCTACGCTGACGACCCTCGCTAGCATGAGACTAGGATCTGATACGCCGGCTTGCCCCCAAGTTGACCTCGCTGCCAATATGCAACGTCAAGAGTTTGATCATTTGGCCTGCGGCAGAGCACCAGGCCGACAGGCTCCCATGTCTCGATCTTGATCAAGAGTTCAAGGATTATTGGGCTGGGATTCCAAGCCTCGAAGATCGAATCCGATGCAAAAAGGGAGTCTTCTCTTGTGATTGGCCATTAAATCAGATCAATCCCGAGCCTAGGATGCGAGCAGAGCTTCATTGGACAGGATTTAGAATCCACCAGAGTGCTGCCGCCACTAGGACTACGCAGTAACTACACAGTAACTACGTCAAGCTATTTTGAGATCTGAAACGGTGCGACATCAGTTGTGGCATGCTCTGCCCCATCCACTTTCTTCGCGCTCTCATTGCTCAGCTGTGCAACACGATTCTGCTCAAGCTCTGCTAGCGCCTATGCCATGATGCATTCCATGCTCCAGATTCGATTTAGAAGTGCCTATCATTCATTCTAAACAAGATGAAGAAGCCCTTGTCCTTCGTCCTGGCCACAACGATATCAATAATGGCCTTTGATGGATTCCCTCGGTCGCTTCTTTCTCCTTCCTTGTTACCTACCGTCGCTATTCATTACTTGGGTTAATATTCAATTTTAGGTTCTTTCTTGTTATTCTGTAAGTAGTGGAAACCATCAGATAATTTATTCTACCTCAGAAACCATGTTTGCTAATTCACATTCTTCTCGCTGCGGATAGCTGGTGTTGCTAATAACTGCTGACCCTGGTGGCCAGTGGCTTTTATTTTTCTCCTCTACGCGTCGGTGTCAACTTCGACGCCTTCGTCACTTTCGCTGAATTACCAGCTCCCAGCCATCTTCTCGCCTGACTTATGCTTTTTCCTATTCTTTCATATATGAAATAGGCCTTCCACGATGCGAATAGCATCAGTGCCCCTCTATACTTTCACAATCTTTGCAGTTATTCAATCCGCTTTCCCGAAACATACGCTGGAACTGCCAATTTTTCGCCAATCTATGAATCTTCATGAAAAAACCCATCGCGATGCCTTTGACCGGCTTCATATTGGATTTGGTTTAGAGAAGAGAGCACCATCACCTCAGCAGGATGCTCCGAAGTCCCCCACGGAACAGAATCCTCCAGCAGAGACCTCAGAATTGGCTTCAGCGCCTGTATTTGATGAACAGCAGTTCAACGCGTCCGCAACGACGGCTTGCCTCAGGGCTCTTGAAGACTTGGAGAGTGTTGTGAACCCGTCTGGCATGGCGGCTTGCTTCAATATACCCTATTTTGACAAAGAAACCGGTGCATTCGAAGCTGATCTCAGAGTTTATCAAGTGAATGAACCCTCGGGCGAATTTGCGGGAATCCCACATTCTGAGTATACATTGGAAATGAACATACCACAGGCTACAATTTCGGATCCCCTTCGACTCGTTGACGACACACTAGACGGCCAGCAAGAGATGGTATTGTTACAGGAATTCCGCCATTTCGGACAAATATCAACATTGCTACAACTTGACAAACTTGCACAGTATGTTTTTATCTCCAGACTAATTCCATCGCTGCTCTGTAATCCCAAACCTTCCCGAGTATCCCGTCTTCGTATTTTGAAGACGCAGAATGCCTCCTAACCCGACACTTACAGAGACGATCTCCGCGTCCTCTTAATCCCCAACATAACTGTCGGCGCCTCAAATCCACAAAGCCAGGAACTCGTCATGACCACATTATCCTCCGACACACTATCATACGTTGCGGGGTTCTTCACAAATGAAGACAACTCCCCTGTCAACATCACCGTCCCCGATGTCAGCTCCAGACTCCCGGACATTGTAGCTGCAGCCACAGCATTCGTCTTGCCAGGCACGACTCTAGGTATCTTCCCCACGGGCCTGATAATAACAGGTATTTGGTCCGGGGTCTTTTTGGGTGCTGTGGGATACGGAACTTTGACTCGCATGAAGTTCCGCGATCATTATCGCCGACGGCTACGGATGGCAGCGGCGAGGGCGCAGGGAAATGCGAGGATTTAGGGATAATGGATATTGGGGGTTTGGGGATTTTAGAATGTATTATACAGTTCTCTCTCTCTCTCTCTCTCTCTCTCTCTCTTTTCTTTTATTTATTTATTTTTTTCTTTCATTTTTCTTCTTTGCTTCATACCCTACAAGGGAAAGATCATACAAGATTGTACTGTACATAAATATTGAACTTCATAGATATCTAAGATATCACCCCGTATTACACCTGTTCATGGAAAAGCACAGTGTGTCAATATGTAGCCTTTTTTTCAAAACAAACTTATTCTGTGATTGTCAAATGACCTTGTTCCCCCCATATATTTACAACTCCTTGCAAATCCACGTCAATTTCCGGATTCATTCCTAAATCTGCTAACTTAACTCGCCATATTATCTTAACAACCAAAGAACCGAAAGTTTTCCTTTGAAGAATGATGACTTCCCAGGCAGGTCTCAACGTCAATTCTGTCGCAGACAACTCAAATAGAGAGGTGGGCCGGGAGGGAAGGACAGACAGAAAGAAAAGAAAGGAAAAAAAAGAAACAGTTGACAAACTGGAGAGCAGGCGTCTCAGTTTGCGAAAAAGGAAAACCCTAGCACAAGTTAGAGGGCCGATATAAAGACATAAAGGAAATACTTAACATTGGTTGCGCTCGAAACACAGTACACTCCAGTCACGCGCAATAGGGGAGAAACGGAAAAGCAAAAGAAGAAAAGAAACGTTAATGTTGCGCGCCTGTCGGCCCTATACCTTGTGAAAACCAGGCGCCTGAAGCGGGTGAATTCCTTCACATTCCCTCCGATACCCTGCAGATGTTTCCTATCATAGAACGCGGCTGCGTTGGAAAGAAAATCACACGTCCATAAATGCCACACTGGTATTGGTTTATTACCGATCATACTAGCAGCGAAGGAGCTGGTATCATGCCTCTGCAACGACCTTAGTGAGCACCAGAAAATTTGTTTTTTCCCGGGTAAATCAATAATATCTCGTCCCTATCCTGCGGGAGGCGGGGAGTAAGGCTGGGATGCCTAGCACCTAGAGTCTTTTTGCCCGGATAGATTAATATCTCATCTCTATCCTGACTATAGGAACCCTTTTGCCGTGGGAAAGTTAATAATATCTCTTCCCTTTCTTAACGAGGTGCACGGCGATGATGACCGGAAAAAGAACTAGAAGATTGATCTTGTAGCGGGATAATTAATATTTCGTTTCCTTCTGGGTGATGATCGCCTGCCGTCCTACGCGCTCGTCCGCCCACTGGGGATTCACCCATCCGGGACACGGTCACAGAATAATCCTCATCATCATAATCATCTACCGTCGTTCGCTGCGAACTATCTAGACCCGTGCCACACATTCCTCGTCTTCTCGAGGAGCTTGCTTCGTGAGTGCCAGGGGCTGCTATTTCCTCTATGCAATCAGCGTATCGTCCAGGCGATTCGGGAACTTGTCTCTCCAGAAATTGAAAACTGAGGTGCAAGGAAATGATAAAAATGGGGGGAAGACACAAGGCAATCTCCTACTCACCCTCCGGTATCCTTTCAAATTGTTGGTATGGAGGTGGAGGTTCTATCGTCGGGATATCATAAATGGGAGGGAGGGTTGCCATCGCCATTATTCTCCAATGGGCCGCCTGTGTTGGCCCTCTCGGTGAGCCCTCGCCGAACCTACGTCTTCTGGATCCATGATACATTTTTTTTCGACTAAGGGAATTTCTCCCTTTCGTTTGTGCAAGGGTATAATTATCCTTATTATCCTTATTGAAGCGGAGGAAGAATCTGATTACTGTAGCATCGACAAAAAAAAAAGGAAAGAAAAGAAAAAAAGAAAAAAAGACAGAATGATCGATATCGTAGAATGGGAAAGAGAAAGGAGAACAGTTCTTATTCTTCTGCTGTGCCTGCTTTATATCCCTAGGTATGTGTGGGTAGATAGATGTAACTCGAAGTTATGTATGAAACTAAGAAACGAATACGCACCCCTTTTATACTCATTGATAGACTGGGCAAACTTTGGAAGTCGCTTGGGTAGTTGATCGTAGAATTGTGCAGGATATTTCACTCATGTTAGTTAAATCATTAAATATGCCTCTAGAGAAGCAAATGCGAGTAGCTGCAATGGATTCACAGACAGTGTGATGTATTAGACACATGGTTTGTACCTATCCACTTCATTGAAGGAAACAAATCAAACATTTAGAAGAGAAAATGCATTTCTCATAAGATGTATCCTTGCATGAATTCAAGGACAGGGTTTCCCATAACCTCTGAGGGAAGTACTGATATTTCTCAGTGTTTCAAAACCTTTCACAATATTTAACAAACAAATGTATGTATATTGATATAATGAACTGTGAAATATGTATGACAGAGGCTATATATCTAGATATATATAATTTATAACCCAACAACCATGTATGTGCTGGGATAAGGTGCCCTTGTTCTTTGCTGTACATAACACACGAGCCTGATGTGCACTCATTTGCAAAGCCTTTTCTTTTCTTTTCCTTTTCTTTCATTTCTTTTTTTTTTCTTCTTTTCTTCTTTTTTTTAAAAAAAAACACCGAAAAACAGAATTAATAGTAATATGTAACAAAGACAAATGGTGGTATGTAAAAACGGAAGACCTATATATGCATTGACTAAGCAGAAGCCCCCCGGCCCCGACCGACTATGCAATTTTGGGACAAGAACAGTAAACTCCTGACCGCAAACCGGTGCGAAGCCCCAACAGAACCGGATTTCTATAAAAGAAACCGCCCTTAATATCCAAGAAAACCAATATCGACAGACAAATCCCTCAGCTTCTGAAACTATACATGCGAACTTCAGAATCTTCACTGCCAGTCGCAAAACGGCTATCGCTCAGGCCAATGCAAGTGATCGGGCCTGAATGGTGGCCTGTAAAAGTCCGCTCACACCGCCCAGTGCGAGGATCCCAGACTTTAGACATGTTGTCTTGCGCACCAGAGACAAGACGTAGAGTGTCTGCGCCCAGAGCCCATACACCTTCTACATGGCCGAAGAATGTCCGCAGACATCGCCCGGTGGTTACCTCCCAGAGGCGAAGGGTGCAGTCGAGAGAGGCCGTGAGCATGTATCGTGGCGGATAGGGGCGTCCATCTTTGAATAACTCGTTAAATAATGGTGACATCGAGTGTGAGGGTGGAGGGGAACGGGCGGGCCGAAGCTGGTGCTGTTGGTCAGATGAAGGATCGTGGTGGTGGTGGTGAAATTCATCACCTGAAGTCGTGCTTTGGCCGTCATCTGCGCATTCAGCGTCGTGTTCCTCGAATTCGAATTCACGCGGTAGTGGGAGGACCTGTTGGACATGCCCGACGTGGCCTTCGTAGGAGTGGATGACATTGCCTGTATCGAGATCCCAGAGGCGGACGGTCAGATCGTCCGAGGCGGTGAATACCGTACGAGAGGCCGTGTCTACTTTGACAGAGTTGACCCAGTCATTGTGGCCGCGGAGGACGCGAGTTGATTTATCTTCGAAGTTCCATATCTTTACTGTGTTGTCCATCGAGCCGGAGGCAAGGATTGTGGAATCGAAGTGGAGGCAGATAACTCCATCTTGGTGGCCCGTATAGGTCGAAATGCACTCTCCGGTGCGCCAATTCCAAACTTTAATAGTCCGGTCAAGACTACCACTGATCAACTTGGTGTCATCGAACTGGAGACATCTAATTCCGGATTGATGACCACGTAGAGTGCGTAACTCCTGCCCTGTGTCGGTATCCCAGATTTTGATGGTGGTATCGTATGATCCCGTAGCCAGAATATTGTCCTCGAACTGTAAACACATAACACCATTCGTGTGGCCTCTGAATATCTTCGTGGTGCAACGACCGTGCTTCCAGTTGATGCCGACTTTGAATCGATCCTTGTACACATCTTTCCATGGTCGGAATCGAGTTTTGAAATAGTCTTCAGCGCCTGAATGCCAATTGCCTGGAGATTGTGATCTTTTCGACGAATTTGACAGGATTGAGAGTTGCTTCCCAGAGGTTTTTAGGTCGTGATCTTTTTCTGTCATGGCATTTAACGGTTCCTTCTCTACACCGCGTCCAGTAGCCCGCATTTGAATCTGGGGTTTAGAATCTCGGAGTCTCTTTCGATCCAGAAGCGGTAAACCCCATCCACACTTTTGGCATTTGCGATCAATGTGTTGTTCACACATCCTATGCCAAACGACATCATCGTCAGCAAGATATTTCCAACGCCGCGAGACCTGCGCCGCTTTACACAACGATACTGTGTCTAAGTAGGAAAGGATTTTGAAAGATATCTCCGTTGGTAGGGCAGCAAGAAAATCGATTCTGATCAGGTCGCGAACGCTAGCAGACAAAAAGGAGAGCTGAGGGAAACAGCATTGAGCAAGAAGACCCTGCAGCATTAGGTTTCGGTGTTTGGACGGAGCGGCGGAAAACATAGACCAGAAGTGGGCGATACTTCGTTGGTCAGCTTGGGAGAGGGTGTGCAGTTCCTAAATGCGTTTCAGATTAGCCAAAATTAGTCGAACAAAACCAGAGACATGGCCTTTCTTTTTCAATTTCTGATCTTTCCACTAAATCCACATACCTGTTGCATCTGGTCCATTGTCAACTCGTCCGCTTGGCGTCGACATTTTAGGTCCGGCCTGTGTCGGTAGCAGTACTTAGAATTGGGATTCCGTTCAATCTTTTGCGGTTCGAATCGATTCATTGGCGCGTAGTGATCACGGATATGCTTGGTAAGAAACGGAGCAATATTTTTATCCGCTTGACGTGGAGATGGGATCATGGACATGTTATCGTCTACAGTAGTCTCTTCTGAGTCCTGCTGTGACTGCGAGGCATCTGGTAGCGAAGTCGTTGAAGGGCGAATATCTGAGGTATCGGGTTCGAGGGTAGATTCCGATAGTTTTCTTCGTTTTCGGGGAGAGCCGTCAGCATCCCGTCTGAGCGCCTGGGGACGAGTGGCACCGTCGATGGCCCCAGTTGGTGGGTTGACGGCGAAATTCGACGCCATGGTCGAGAGGCTGATGAGCTGCATGGCAGGGCCGAAAATTGACCGTTACTGATAGTCTAGTTGGACGATACAGGCAGGATATTGCTAGATTCTGCTAGCGGATATAGTTTAATGGTGGATAGGTAGGAAATTGCGAGGTTGGGATGGTTAGGAGGAGCAAGAAGTAGGGATGTTCCGCGGCGGAGTGGTTGTGAGCAAATCGGCGACGAGAGGGAGAGATATTGCCCGAAACGGAAATACGGCACAAAGGGACTCTATCTACAGCTCTCTATCCTGTCGCCTATAGTGACCTCTGTAGCCATGTCTCGCCTCGGTCGACTTGGGAGGTTTCGCAATAGATATAACCCCGCCTGGTAGTCTGGTCGCCTGGTCGCTGGTCGTCTGGAGTTGTTGTTAGCTGGATCGTCCGCGGTTCTTCAACAGTCTCTGTCTCGGTTGCCACACCCTGACGCGATAGAGGCGGATCTGGTGCCATCGGCCATTAGGCCGGATGCAGTATAGCGCTCTTCTCTGACCCCCAAGGTATTGGAGGCACGTGACCACTCTCCTGAGCTTCCCGAGGTCCCCGACGTCGTTTGCTCAACTTCTGTCACATCACTTACCTCAGACAGTTACTAGTAACCAGGTTGTGTATGGCGTCTTTGCTATTTAATATTAGCTGTTGAATAACATGATGCTCTACTGGCTTTCTTTACCTGTTTGTCATGACTAAGCATTATATTGTCCTGTAGTAGCTAGTTGGAGAAGCCTGCCTACATTTAACCCAAAGCGACGACTTCTTTCATTTACCCACCTTGGACTACAGCAGCACAGAGCGAAGCAGAGGATCTAGCAGTGTCCCGCTTCCTAGTCCAGATAGTATAGGCTCATACGCGGAGCACGTTGAAAGTATAGTCTTCCTCCGGTAAGCCGAACACCTTATTTTCTCCTCGAATCGCACAATTTTCGAATCCTGCCAATGGATTGAATTTGATGGTTGTATACCATGGAGCGGAGCTGTTAGCGCCCGCCCTCTCTATATTAATTTATTAACCTTAGCCTTTTCCAACTTTGGAGGGGGAGTTATTTTACAAACCTTGTATTATCGCCTCTGCAGTTTGGTTCTCCTACATCGCGATTCGCAATTTTCTCTGAATTTCCCATCCTTGATATCTCGCTCGCACCTATAAAAAACTCAGAAATACTTCTAAAGGCCCGTGACATTTGCTAATATCTGTTTAGGATGATGATATCGTACCCTGCTGATGTTCGGGCACAGATAGCGAGGTAGATACGTTGTCCCATCCGATCGCCCCCGTACCGCAGACTCAAAACCATGTAATCCCAATTAGCTCGACACAGCCGCCACCGAACTTACGGCGAATCGAAATCTGAGAGACACCCCAGGATCTGCAAAATCATACGCAGTAAGAATAGAAATATAAAATAGGAGGGGAAAAGAAGTAAGAAAAAAGAAAAAGAGAAGAGGAGATAAATTTTCCTTGCACTTTTTCAGGATGTCACCATCGCCATATCAAGTCCATCTGGGTGCAGATCAAATGGATGACATGGAAGCCAGTATTTCATCCCAGCCGCCCGACCTGGAAACTCTAGTCTCGCATCTAGTGGCAGCAAAGCGCTCTCTATCGTCTATTCATCATGTGTGGCGAGCCAATGAAATCGTTACTACTGCCCGGGCTGCTCTGGAAGAGAGTGTCATCATATCGTCACGCACCAGCTTTCTTAGGCGGGGCCTAGATGAGCAGCTCAAGCTGTTATATGATGTGAGAACTGAAGTTGAGCGAGTGGCCCATCAGGGCCGATCGGAATTTGCGGCTGCGCTCAAGGAAATGGATACCGTCGGCGAGCGGCTGAATGAAACCCTAGACATGCTGCGCGATACGACAGTCGAAGCTGCGTTTAGACCCGCAGGGGAGGAGCCAAAAACCCTATATGATTTCGTCGATGATCGCGGCGTGGAAGATCTTCAGTCGTTGCTAAAGACCTCGATTGATAATACTAACGCTGCACAAGCTGAACTAGATCAGTCTAACCGTGCATTCGACAACGATATCCATTCAATCCACCAAGCTTTGAGCAAATATCGCGATGTAGTTAAAAGGCGCTTGGGCTCGTCATCATCCTTGTCTTCTTCATCACCCTCCGCGTCACGAGTCAGCATTCCATCCCCATCTTATATCCCGGAGCTTTTGCGTTCCCTGGAGGCCCATGCCCGCGGTATGGCTGACCTCCTGGAATCCTTGGTTAGGCATTTTGACCTCTGTGTAACAGCCGTAAAGCATACTGAAGGTGGCGGTGCTGCTGCTCGCTCTATCACCGGCGATCTCCCAACAGGTGTTGGGGTAGGAGTCAGTGTTGGGAATGAAATCCAAGATGACAGTGGCAGTGGCAACCTTCACGCACCGCTCGAACCGATGACAAAAACAGAATATCAAGAAATGATAAACGTGTTAACAAAAGACGCGTCCGAAGCCGAAGATGTCGTTTTAGAAATCCAGGACCGCATCGCTGAGATGGAAGCAACTCTTGAACGGGTGCTGGAGCACCGCAATGCGCTTCACTCCATCTACACATCGACCACAGATATTTTCCACCGCTTGTCAACATTAGCCTCGTCACAGTTGGCCGATTACATCGCTCAAGCGCACGCTTTTACTCGGGTCTGGAACGAGGAGCAGGAGCATATCCAGGCTGGCATGGCCGAGCTTGTCGATCTTCGTAGCCTCTACGCTGGCTTCCTAGACGCTTACGACAGGTTAATCATGGAAGTTACACGTCGTAAAGCTGTCCGCTTCGCTGTTGACAAGGTCCTCAAAAAAACGAGACTAGAGCTCAACAGGTTATTTGAGGACGACGCGCGTGCCCGTGAGGTGTTTAGGACGGAGTATGGAGATTACTTGCCATCGGATATCTGGCCGGGTCTTGGTCGATGTCCTGCACGGGTAGAGTTTAAAAGAGTTTCTGGCGGGAAGCTGGATGATGGAGGGGAAGTTGTTGACATGTCTGCGGAGAAACAGGCAGTGGAACGAGATGAGCAATCGAATGGGGCCGGGGATGATGGTGGGGATGTGGGTGAGGGCGTTGCTGTTGATATGCCTGCAAGTTCCAGACACGGTGATGCCACCGCCGTTGTTGCTGTTGAGAACGATGATGATGTTGGTGGAAGCGATGATAGCATACCACAATTGCCCAAACATGTTGTCCAACAAGCGCTGGCGCGATTAAAGCTACGAGCGAAAGGGCCAAGGCTTTCTCCACCATGACCTCATGGTATCCAGGAAATATGAAGATAATAATTCAAATTTCACTTGCTCTCTGAGCTTGGGTATTATAGATATCGCATTGGAGTATTACGGCATCCAACTCGATGGATGCTTCCAGCTTTTTACAACCCCTAGAAAGAGTCAGTACCGGTCCTCCAAGTTTTCCTACGTCCTTTCAGAGATGTTTCTCCAGCAATTCATAATTTAACAGCCGACAGCATCACCCGACCAGCATAATCTTTATACTGTTAAATTTCAGCCGCCCAGTAGGTAACGGCGGTGAGAAAATGAGACAAGACTTCAGAAACCGATGATGCTGTTACATTTTCTCCTTTGACACACATTCTTGTTCTCACCACAAAATGCCCATCCATATGCAGTTCCTCTACTTTACTTAAAGAACCACACTCCCTTTAATACCGAAATCCCAGCAAGACGTGCAACGTCCAATTATGAAAAACCCAAATGATGAAATCAAAAAAGATGGCCACTGTTTTGCCCTTCAAAACGTTTGGCTCCAACCTTTCTCCCGAAAAGAAATCACCCAATCTTTCAGCATTGACATCTTATCTATCCGCTCTCTCCGCCCGCTTCCTCGCTATTTCTTTTCAATATGCCTGGCTTACTTACATACCTGTGAACATGAGTCAGTTGGTGGGGCAGTTATACCTATATTTTCCATTCACCGCAGGAACATAGTGTATTTCTCTCCGTATTATTGAGGGAATCGTCTGGAACGGGGAGGAGATGAGAGGAAGGGATTGTGATGCGGGAGAATCGGGGTATTTTTTTTATGAGAGGAATGAGGATCAAAGAGAGCTCTGATGGGTTATTACGGTTTTGTATGTTAGTATTGGAGAAATGCAGTGAATCCTTCGGAAATTTAAAAATTGGGAGACAGTTACTACCCCCTGAACCAGGGGCTGCCTAAAATTCCTTGCGTGTTCTTATGCCTATAAAAGCTATTTGGAGGCAAATTAGCGCTAGAGGTATACTTCCTCCATTCCCAATTGGTCGATTACGCTGCCGGAGTGAAAAGGAGTTTATTGTAATTAAAAATCCTCTATCATCTAATGCATCATATTCATGCTAATGTCATTAATAACCATGCAAAATCCGTTACGTACCCAATCGAAGCAATTCAAACCAATCCTTAAATGGTGGTAGGGGAAAAAAAATCACATAGCCCTACTTCTTCTTTGACCCATTGACAAGTTTCTTTTTAATGTGTTTCGGAATCTTCTTCGTTCGCTGCTCGCGCTTCTCCTCCTTCACAAGCCGTTTATGGTCCCTCTTCGCCTCCTTGTCCTCAAACCGCTTTCCTCTAGGAGGCTTCTTGGCAAATAGATCCTTGTCTTCAACTTGAGAGCCCGACTCGGACCCTTCATTTGATATAGAAACTCCTCCAGATTCGTCCGATCCTTCCTCTTCCGCATTGCCATTCACCGGAACCCGGGAGGTGGCGTCGCCTTTGTCTGCTAGCAGTTCACGATATACTAGGTCCTGGCCCTGCCCCTTCCGTAGTATCTCCACGTCACGCTCCACATCATATACCTGCTCGAGCGTCTGGGGCATATATTGTTGGCGGAAAACGGCTGCGTCGACTTCATCTTGTGCGTTGGTATCAGCATCGGCACCGCCCTCGTCCTCCATTTGCTCTCGAGTGGCAAATAACTTCTCCAATGCCTCTGACATATAGTTGGAGCTAGGGGTAGCTTTTGGCCCATCATGAGCCGTGATAAATTCGAATATAGTCCTCTCTGAGAGGGTGTGTACTCCCTTCCGTCTGAAGAAGTCCGTGACGTTCTTGATGTCCATACGGAGGAACTCCAAGCTGCGTGGGTGGTCATGCTCCACGCTCTGGCTGACGTCGATGATGTAGAGTTTACTTTTATGGTAGAGGATGTTGTACTCGCTTAGATCTGCGTGCACTAATCGACATTCCTGGTACATCGTGCGCATATGCCCGAGCAGTTCGATGTAAAGGGTTTTCCACTGTTCCTCAGGGTCTGGCCCGGTAAGATCCACGTCCTTTAATCGTGGGGCTGCAAACCCCTTAGAGTTTCCAAGAAAACCCATGACTAAAACGTGAAGTCGGAGAAAGAGAGGTTCAGGACATGGTATTCCTGCGGAGTAAAGACGCTTGAGATTTCGCATCTCCTTTTCCGCCCATACTTTGACCATTGACCGGTTGTTGGACTTATTATAGCCTTGTCTGAACCTAAACTCTCCACTGACGTACTTGTCCCTGTCCTTGAAAACTAATATACTAGTTTTATAGACCTTGATAGCTCGTTGGAGTGGTTCGCCATCATCTTCTAGGCAAGATACGGCGTGGTAAACATTTGCCTCTTTGCCTGTAGAAAGACAACCGTTTACCTCAGACACTACATTTCTGTTTATCATCTGCAGTAAAATCATGCGCGTTCTAGGATCTAACACCTGCTCTGATGTTGCCCGGTCGCTTTTATCTACCCCTCTATCGCCCTTCCCTCCCAGACCTGACTGGAGGTCATCAAGGCGTAATTTTGACGCATGTCGCGAGAGTGAAGAAATCTGGTCGTCGACATTCGCCTGCGTATTAATCGTGGGTTTCTGAGGGTTGCTTTTGGGATATTTTGATCTAGGGGCATTTGGGTCCGCAGAGACTTCTTTTAGCCGACGTTGTCTGTTGTATGATTTTGTAAGGTCCGCAGGATTGGAGGACATGAATTCGTCTTCATCAAGGTCCTCATCTGCGAAAATATCATCGTAGTATTCCTCATCCTCTTCGATTTGATCACCCGGTTGTGGCGGGGTTTGTTGCTGTGTAGGATCCAAGACAGCCGTAGGATCGGTCGCAACAGGCACTGTCACCGCCGTATTTGCAGCCATAATGAAAGATAAAAGGAAAAAAATCGTAAGAGGGCCTTGCTCCTCTTATAGCTTCTCTGGCCAGGGGCGTTGTCTTTACCCCTCCTTCAAAATTATGCCACTTCGAGTAGTGGAAGTGTGACGTTGCAAAATTTATTTTATACACGCTAAATTGTTAGCCCGACTCCCCGCCACGAAGCCCTAATGCCTAATCGGGAACGCGTCCAGCCCAATCCATTCCAACTTGCAACGCGTTTTCCCTCCATTGAAAGTGAAATTAAGACAACTCCAACTTGGGCAACTATTCAATCCTCGCCATTGCAGCGACGCATTCCTTCACTCATACGTGTCGCACAGTGATTCGGCAACGCAATTATACCCTCTTTTCCTCGTGCGGGAGGAGGTGTGGATCCCCTAGCTGAAGATGTATATCAAACAGATCATCATTCAGGGCTTCAAGAGGTGAGTAATCGAGCGCTTTATCGATAATAGTGAAGATACGAGCTGAGATTCTCTGGTGAACTATATAGCTACAAAGATCAAACGGTGATCGAACCGTTCTCCCCGAAACACAATGTTATCGTTGGACGTAACGGATCCGGGAAGAGTAACTTCTTCGCCGCGATTCGATTCGTACTTAGTGACGCATATACTCATATGGGGAGGGAGGAACGGCAGGCTCTGCTACATGTACGAAAGCCTAAGCTCATACTATTATTGCTGGGTTTGTGCCAACTGACAGCAAGTAGGAGGGCTCTGGTTCCGCGGTGATGTCAGCCTACGTTGAAATCATTTTCGATAACTCCGACGAACGATTCCCTACTGGCAGGAAAGAACTAATACTGCGGCGGACCATTGGCACAAAGAAGGATGAATATACCCTAGATCGAAAAAATGCAACCAAAGCTGATGTGATGAACTTGCTTGAGTCGGCTGGCTTCTCTCGATCGAACCCTTACTACATCGTTCCGCAAGGTCGCGTCACGACTCTGACTAATATGAAAGATTCAGAGCGTTTAGTTCTTTTGAAAGAGGTGGCGGGCACGCAGGTATATGAGGCGCGTCGCGCGGAATCATTGAAGATCATGAATGAGACGAACAATAAGAGGGCGAAAATCGACGAGTCGCTAGACTATATTAACGAGCGGCTTGCGGAGCTTGAAGAGGAGAAGGATGAACTAAAGAACTATCAAGAGAAAGACAGAGAACGTCGCTGCCTCGAATATACGATTTATTCACGGGAGCAGGCTGAAATTGCCTCTGTTCTCGAGAGTATTGAAGGCCAGCGCCAAACAGGAGTTGAAGACACAGATGCGAATCGCAACAGATTTATTCAAGGCGAGAATGATATCGCACAGATAGATGCGGAGATCTCCGAGTTAAAACAGTCAATGGAACTTCTTAAAGTGGAAAAAGCCCAGATGGAGGAGGATCGTCGAGATGTTTCGCGAGCGCTGGCACAGGCTGAACTACAGGCCAAATCCCTCTCCGAGGGGCAATCAGCCGCGCAACGAGCCAAAGCCCGCCGTGATGCGAATTTGAAGGCAGTCCAAACAGCTATAAAGGAGCGAGAGAAAGAACTCAGCAAGCTCCTCCCAGAGTTCGAAGCAAAGAAACAACAGGAAGAAACCGTGAAAGCAAAGCTGGACGAAGCAGAAACCGCGCGGCAACGTCTCTACGCAAAGCAAGGCCGCAATTCCAAATTTAGAAATAAGGCGGAACGAGATAAGTGGCTCCAACGGGAAATTCAGGATACCTATATGTCACTTTCAACAGTCAAAGCTGTAAGAATGCAAACAGAAGAAGAAATCAAGGGGCTTGAAAACGATATTGCTCTCCTGGAACCTGAGGCCGAAAGATTGCGTAAGCAGCTTGATGGTAGAGGTGATGCTATTCAATCGATGGAGCAGGAGGTGCAGGGTGCAAAGGATGAGAGAGATCGATTAATGGACCAGAGGAAGTATGTTAATCAAGTTCATGTTATCCCATTCGCCTTATTCCAAGAACATGTGCTGACAACCTAATAGAGAGTTGTGGAGAGAAGAAGCGCGTCTCGACTCAATAATATCAAATGCCTCGCAAGAGTTAGACCGTGCGGAAAGAAACCTATCTCAAATGATGGATCATAATACAAGTCGCGGACTTGCCGCTGTCCGTCGGATTAAAAGACAACTTAACCTTGAAGGTGTCTATGGTACTGTTGCTGAGCTTCTTGACGTGAATGAAAGATACCGCACTGCTGTCGAAGTTACTGCGGGCCAGAGCCTTTTTCATTATGTTGTCGACACAGATGAAACTGCTACGAAGGTGTTGGATGTTCTCCAAAAGGAAAAGTTGGGACGAGTCACATTTATGCCACTGAACCGGCTGAAACCTAAACCCGCAAATGTTCCGCGCGCCAGCGACACTATACCAATTATCGAAAAGCTGGTGTACGACAAAGCATATGAAAAAGCCTTCCAGCAAGTTTTTGGCAAGACTATCATTTGCCCCAACCTTCAAGTTGCCGCACAGTACGCTCGAAGCCACGGTATCAATGCCATTACCCCGGAAGGCGATCGGTCTGACAAGCGTGGTGCATTGACTGGTGGTTTCCACGACTCTCGCCAATCCCGCCTCGAGGGCCTGAAGGTTGTTAGCAAATGGCGAGATGAGGTTGAATCCAAGCGGAACCGAGGTATCGAGATCAGGAGGGAGCTTGAGAAGATGGATCAATTGATCACCAAAGCCGTAGGCGAACTACAGAAGCTGGAACAGCGGAGACAACAATTCCATGGGAGTAACATCCCGCTACGACAAGAGATTAAGAGCAAGCGCGACATGCTTCAGAACAAGACGGAAACTCTGGAAGCAAAACGACGTGCCCTCCGGAACATGGAAGCCAATGTTAAGGCACTGGGTGATCAAATATCTGCACATGAAGAAGAATTGTCTACGCACTTTGAGAAAGCTCTAACAAATGTTGAGGAGGCCAGACTTGATTCTCTCAATTCGACTGTCCAGGAATTAAGAAGTCAGCATTCAGAGCTATCCAGCAGTCGTAGCGAACTCGAAACTAGAAAATCAGTCATTGAAGTTGAGTTACGTGAAAACTTGAACCCGAAACTAGACCAACTTATTGGCCACGAGCTTGAAGCTGGTGATGAAGGCACACATGGGAATCTCAAGGAGAGTCAACGGGAAATTGAGCGCCTGAACAAATCCCTTGGCTCGCTCGATCGCCGTCTCAGGAAGCTGGAAGAATCGATGGAAAAGGGATCAGCTGAAATGGCCCAGTTAGAGCAGCGCAAGGCCGATGTCAAACGAGACATGGAAGACCTAGCTAAATCTATTGAAAAGCATCAACGACGTATGGAGAAGAGCATGCAGAAGAAAGCGGCGCTGACGAAGCAAGCAGCCGAATGCAGTGCAAACATCCGTGATCTTGGCGTCCTCCCTGATGATGCATTTACCAAATTCAAGAATACCGACTCCAATACGGTTGTCAAACGCCTGCACAAAGTCAACGAAGCGCTGAAGAAATACTCACATGTCAACAAACAAGCCTTTGAACAATACAACGGCTTCACAAAACAGCGAGAAACCCTGACAAAGAGACGAGAGGAGCTCGACTCTTCTCAAAAATCAATTGAAGAGCTGATCACAGTTTTAGATCATCGCAAGGATGCAGCCATCGAACTGACCTTCAAGCAAGTATCCCGTGAGTTTGCTCAAATTTTCGAGAAACTTGTCCCAGCAGGCCGAGGTCGGTTGATCATCCAGCGCAAGACAGATCGGGCACAGCAACTAGGGGATGAACTAGACTCTGATGAAGAGGAGGAACGGAGCAGCGTGGAAAACTACGTTGGTGTAGGCATCAGCGTGAGTTTCAACAGCAAGCATGACGACCAACAGCGCATCCAACAACTCAGCGGAGGACAAAAGAGTGAGTACTATAATGCAGTCACTTCTCTGTTAAACAAACCCCTTGACAATTTCTTATTCTAAGCCGAAATTTGATATCTAACCCAAACTAGGTCTTTGCGCTTTGGCCCTCGTTTTTGCCATCCAAGCTTGTGACCCCGCTCCCTTCTATCTCTTCGATGAGATCGATGCAAACCTCGACGCACAGTACCGGACCGCTGTCGCGCAGATGCTCAAGTCAATATCTGAAGAGACTAATGGCCAATTTATCTGCACGACATTCCGACCGGAGATGCTTCTCGTTGCGGAGAAATGCTATGGCGTTAGTTTCCGCAATAAAGCTAGTACCATAGATGTGGTGTCGAGGGACGAAGCATTAAAGTTCGTAGAGGAGCAGAAGTCATAAGAAAGACCTATATATGTTCTGTCATCGAATGCCTCGGCTGAGTTCATACTCCCATATGCGTTTATTTTCTCATATGTTTTTCCTTGTTTGTGGATGGCTTGGAGTTCCGGTCAGATCGGATTTTCGTTTCTATGGCTACGGTGCGATGGTTTTATTCGCCTGCTATGGTTTTGCTTCTCCGATGTTGATCTCCTGATTATTTACCTCGTTTCTAGTCGTAGTCGCCCCCTTAACTAAGGTTCGCGGCTTATTCCCAGTGATTGTCAATGTGCCCTCTTGTTTCCACTGGGACTCATTTCATCCTTTGCTTTAGTTATTCCTCAGCGCCTTTTTTATTTTTATTTTTATTTTTTATTCTTTCTCCCCTAATGTCAGTGTAATTTATTTCTCGATAAGAACTGGAATGAATTTATGCATAACTTAGGTTATTTTCTCTTTTCGTATCAATTCTATAGTTCTAAGCGTGAGAAAATCATTAACATGATCAGAAGATATGTCGATATATCTTCGCAACTTTTTCTTTTTTCTTTTTTCTTTTTTTTTTTTTTTTTGGATATATAGTATATATTCGTATAAAATCCATCCAAGGCTTGTTGTCGAGCGACATGGAATATCAGAAATCGCTCAAATCGAGCCGATAGTGACAAATAATAACGCGAAAGCAGCGCAATACTAGCTGGTAGCTGGTAAACAATGCTAGGATACCTCAATATCATCGGATTCAATCCGAGGTCTGTCAAATCGGACAGCACGAGACTGTTCCCCAGTCCACTCGACAATAATCTCATCAGGGACGCCCCGAACCACAACATGAACATGCTCAAGCG